GCACATGCACCGTCCACGCCCACTCCCACGCCCCCGCTCACCGGTTTGCGCGCCGCGCCGGGAAGGGTGCTGGATGGGGAAGGGGTTCCGGAAAGATGGGGCCGGGAAGAGGACGGGGAGAAGGATGGCGGGAGCGGAACAGGGTATAGGGCAGGTGGCGCGGTTCTCGGCGTGGAGAAATGAGAGCGGGAAGAAGGGGAGTTTGTCGCAGGGGAAGCGTATTGGGGAATTCTACACGAGGATAGGGGGAGATGTCATCACACTGCTGCTGTGGTTGTGGAGAGATGTCAGATAGTATTGTACATATATTTTCAAAGCTACACCAACTACTGACACTATCCCACCCCTCCCATCTACCCTTCCCCCATCCCCCATTCCCCGTCCTACCCCTGGCAGAAGCACCCCACAAGCGCCAGCACGCCTCAGCCGCACCTCCACGCCGAGGCGTAACCGTCGAATATCTGCATGCACGCCCGCTGCTGCCTAGCTCGTCCCATGGCATCGTGCATGCGCCACGCTGCGTCTTGGTGCCTTGCTTGGGTGTGTGTGATCTGGGCCGGTCTGCGGGACGGGGAGGACGGGGCGAGCGGAATGGGATGGGACGGGGCGAGCGGAAAGGGGGTGGAGGGTCCTGTAGTAAGGGAGATATGTCGGGGGAATAGAAATCACACATAGAAGACGGGGAGGTCATCAGTCACTGAAAAAAGAGGGTGTCAGTGGAACCGTACAGTATATTTACAAAGCCTCACTATCATACATCCCCACAGTCTCCCACAAGCACACCCCCCCCCCCCCCCAGCCACACTCGGCCTCCCCGTCCCCCCTACTTCCTCGCATCCTTCCTCTCCGCCGCCCTCCTCTTCGACCTAACCTCCGCCCTCCTCCTCTCCCCGCCATCAATCTTCCTCCCCCTCCTAATCTCCCACAACCCCTCCGCGGCCTTAATCTGCGCCCCCCCCTTAACCGGCAAGACATGACTTCCCACCACCCTCTGCGCCCCCCGAACTCTAACCCCCTTAATCTCCTCCCCGCCATTAACAGCCACCCTCTTCATCCCCGCCGTCCGCGTCGCCGTACCGACTGCTGGGCCCCCTTCAACCTCCACAACTCTCAACCTCGCAATCCCATCCTCTACCACCTTCGCATCGCCACCCGGCCCGTACTCCCCCCTCCGGAAGCGCTCGCGCCACGCTAACAGGTATCGGCGCGCGCGCGCGGGCTCGACGCCTAGGTCACGCAGCTGCGGCGAGGTGAGGCGGAAGAGCGATTCCCACGTCGGGATTTTGGAGGCGTGTTGGGAGAGGTTTCGTCCGATGAGAGAGAGGAATGTCGGCGCGTCGGGGACGAAGGGGGTGGGTTCTGGGATTGGCTGCTGGGGAATGCGGGCGTGTAGGGCGCGGGTGAGGGAGGGTTTCGTGGTGGTGGTGAGGAGGGAGGTTGTTGCGCGGTGGGCGGGTCGGGCGAACATTTTGTGTTTGGTTGGCGGTGTGGCCGTGGGTTTCTGGGGGAGAGGCGTTAGTTAGGGGATTGATGTGAGGGGGTAGGGAGGGACGCACTGTCTGTGGTTGTGGACGCTGCGATTGAGCTCGAGGTGTGTTGTCGTCGGTCGTGGTTCGAAAAGTTTAAGCTTGTACTGTTTTTGGTCCGTTGCTTACGTAAGGCTGGCACGGACCTGAGGGAGCGGAAAAACTGGGGCGGAGGGTTGTCAGCCTTGTGTATCCGGGAGGAGCCTGGCGAATCAGGGACGACGAGGCGGAAAAGTTGGGGTGAGTTCCAATGTTAATGTTCGTGGTTTGATGACCTTATCTTGATGTTATTGTTGTTGACTTGAAGGTTTTGCATGTTATGTACGCCTGAAAGAACGACTATTATAGCTACAATACACATAAGGCCGATATGGCGTTGTCCCCGCTGATTGTAGGAGCGCCCGGCGCAGATCAAGGCAGGAGTCCACCTGGGGCGAGATCAAAGCTATTCGCAGCAACGAAGGCACAGAATGGCTCAGGAAATGCGTCGCCGATTCCTGAAGCTGCGCCTGATCTGGCGGAGCAGTTGAACATGGAAGAGAAGGCGAAATACATCAAAGGTCCCTCATCACCCTCTCCACCCAGCATCACAGACAACAGTTAACACCCCACCAGGCAAGAAACTCGGAGAAGGAACCTACGCAAACGTCTACCTAGGCACCCTCCGCAGCGACCCCACCCACTTCGTCGCGATCAAGAAGATCAAAATCCAGGCCGAGTACACCGAAGGGCTCGCCCCCGACGCCGTGCGCGAACTCAAGCACCTCCAGGAGCTATCCCATCCCAACATCATAACTCTTCACTCCGTCTTCTCCTCACGCGACCAGAACCTAAACCTCGTCCTCGAGTTCCTTCCCCTCGGCGACCTGGAGATGCTTATCAAAGACGTTGAGGGCGTGCGATACGGTGCAGCGGATATCAAGGCTTGGATGGGCATGCTCAGCCGCGCTGTGTGGTTCTGCCACGCTAATGCGGTGCTGCATCGCGATATCAAGCCTAATAACTTGCTAATCGCCGCTGATGGGATGGTCAAACTTGCGGATTTCGGTCTTGCGCGCGCATTCGCGGATCCGTATAAGCAGATGACCAGCAACGTCATCACGCGCTGGTACCGCCCGCCTGAGCTGCTCTTCGGCGCGCGTCACTACTCCGGCGCCGTCGATATCTGGGCCGTCGGACTGGTATTCGCGGAGCTGCTGATCCGCACGCCCTACCTGGCTGGTGACACAGAAGTGCACCAAATCAGCCTGATCTGCCAAGCAATCGGAACACCAACAGAAGAAGTCTGGCCTGGCGTCAGCAAACTCCCCGAATACACCGTTCCCGAGCCGCACAACCCGGTCAGGGGCCGCGAGACCTACCTCGGGACCTTCGGGACCGCGGGGTACGAGGGCGTGGATCTCCTGATGGCGATGTTGGTGTTGGACCCGCGGGCGCGGATTACGGCGCAGGCGGTGCTGGAACATCCGTGGTGGAGCTGCGAGCCGAGGCCGACGAGGAAGGAGGATTTGCCGCGGAAGGGGGGTGGAGCGGAGGCGGTGGGGAAGGATATGGGGAGGGGGGCGGGGGTGGTGGGGAGTGAGGAGAGGCCGGCGGTGGCGAGGAAGTTGGATTTTGGGGCGATGAGATAGGGTAGTATGGCGGTATGAGCGGGTTGGGTTGGGGAATGGGCGTTTGGGTTTGGCGGGGAGTTTTGTGTGGTTTAGAGACAGAGGGGTTGTTTTGCAGAGATTGGGTAGAGAAAGACGGAAGTGAGATCGGGGTATTAGTTAATCAATGACAAAATATCCGCAGTGTCAAGGCGAACCGTAGACTGGGGATTTCGTCTATCCTGCATGCTTGTTGAGAAGAATATCACGTCATCTAATTTCCAATCAGTTATGCGGAAAGAGAAAAGGGTAGATCGAGTGAATTACATCAACACCCTCATCACAACGGAAAATTAACAAGTCTTTAGGTAGTCTCCATGTTTACCCTCGATTCAATACCGATGGTGACGAGAACCTGATAGCGACAGCAAAATGGGCGGCGGTGAGAAAGGAACAGCGGCGAGAAAGGAACAGCGGCAAGAAGCGGCTGGCAATAAGAGGTTGGCAAGCTTTCGATTGAGACCTGTGAGGCCGGTTCCTCCATTCCAGCCAAACCCTGTGCAATATGATATATGAATATGTCATCGGCAAGTGAAGCTGCAGAATCATATAGCCAGTTTCGCCATACACCGTCCTTCGTCGCAAGTATAGTCTCAAGATCTACCCCTGGTCGCAAAGGGGCAAAGATCTCTCTAAGATCTCCCTCCTGGAAGTGGCCGCGCCAAATGAGGCGACGACGGGGACCGTTCTCGCTTTTCTTGGGAATGGCCATCAGCCGCTTTGTGTTTGAGCGCCACTCGCGGGTTGGGGAGTTCATTCCGTTCCCGACCAAACGCAGTCAACTCCCAATCTCAACCCTGAAGAATGGGAACGGCAAGAATGGGAACGATGAGAATGGGAACGGTGAGAATGGGAACGGTGAGATTGGGAACGGTGAGATTGGGCTAGCGAGAAAAGGGGGTGGTGAGAAGGGTGTAGTGGCGAGAGACGAGCGGCAGCATATGATTAAGATCGATACATGACCGGCTACTCAAGACAACAGGTTTGTCAAATTTCTCGAATTTAACAGAGATGAAGTCGAACATCTTGTTGCCATTTGTCATCCTGATATCCGAAAGTGTGTGTGTCTTCCTTGCTTCTTCTGTCTTTGCTTCTGTCTGTGCTGCCTTTGCAACACATATTTCTTGTCGTCCTGGATTTATGGCTGCCAAGTTTGCCGTAACAATACCAATTCGTGCCTCTAGTTCTTTGACTCTGTCCCTCATGAATTCATCTGTAATGAGACCGCACATGTATCTCTCATGCTATAGCTCTGTTTGAAACATAGAAATCGTGCGGGATTCTTCTTTTCTTTAGGGAAAACTCTTCTGTAATAACCATGCTGTCCGCGATGTTCGTTGGAGTACTAGTCTACCAGTTTACTGTCAGCCGTGTTTTACTTCAACTATACGTGCCTTAATTACTGTCTTTTTTCCTACTTCACTAGTTAATTGGCAGTCCTGTGTTACTTAAAGTAGTCATATATCATTCTTCGCTCATCAAGTTGGCTCCTACTTCGTCACAGAGGTCTGGTTTCCAATTTCTGATCCCTACATCCTGCCTTTACTACACTCTCTTCTTCACATGTGGCTCATGAGCTACATACCAAAGACGCAAAGCTAACCGCATTTACCGACGTACGCTGGCCGCCATGAATTTCAACGCCGCACCAAGCAGCGGTTCCTACTGGGAACAGTGTCGGTGAGAACGGTGTCGGTGAGAACGGTGTCGGTGAGAACAGGGCAGCGAGAAAAGGGGTCGTTGCGGCGGTAGGGAATGAAACGGCGACTAGAAAACAGACGACGGCGAGAGAGGCACATTATTCGGGAAGACAGATTATTTGGGAAGGTAAATTGGTTATAGCGCACGAACATGTGCGACATAAATCTCTTCAGGCTTTTGTTGACTTCACCTGCTGGTCCACTTGTTGGAGTCATTTGTTAGAGTCACGATATAGTTATTCTTGATGCGCATTCTCTCCTAGCCCCATTGATCGGAAAGGCGCGGGTATGTCTATTTCGGCTTGCACTAGCTGATGTTTTCCCCATCTACGTATTTGTGATCCCTTAAAATGTAGTAGAAAGTGTAGATATGACATATTTTCGTTAGTGTCTTTAGTTCGGAGTTGAATAGTGCTGCTTCCATGACAGGGGATACTAGACATAGAATAAGCATCCCCGAGAAGCAAATATCGACCGAAATCCCTTTGACCACCGACAACTTTACATATACGATTGTGGATCTAGAAATACCTTAAGGCTCGAGACGGGATCAAGATCATCCGACCAGAGAGTTCACAAGAGGCGTAGAGTTCCTCCACCACGACAGTGGTCATAACATGTTTGTGTGTCCTCCCCACGCATATGGAACAATTCACGCAGCGCCAGGCGGAGGGGCGTTGTATGAAGGGAGAATGGGGCAGTGAGAAAAAGGGGTGGTGACAGGGGATGAAACGGCGACGAGAAAATGGACGGTGGCAAGAAAGGCACAACTTTGAGAAACTGAACATCGACGTACACGAAACTGAGAGCAACTGGCCGAGCACCTTTATGAAACAGAGGTAAAGATACTGCTTTAAACTGCTCACCAAACAGATAGAACTGTTTTGAAAGGGTGATAAGCGATCCAAAATATGTGACCCTTATATCTTCATTGGAGAATCGCATTGTGGTTTGGAATGACATATGTGGGAAACTTTGCACAAAATTATAGGGGTATATTCTATATAGTCACATCCAAAAACACGCTCGCTCCACCAAAATCTAAGTCCCTTCCCATCCCAACCCAACCCAAACGCCCCAAACCCACCCCTTTCAACCACCCTCTCACACCCTCCCATTCACCCCCCCCTCTTCCCCCCCCGGCATCTGCATATTCATACTCACCCCCGCCCTCCTCCACCCCAACCTCTCCCTCAACTCCCCCCTCCCCCCCAACCCAACCGCCAACTCCTCCAACGACAAACTCGGCACGACCCACCTCCCCTTCTCCTTCCCGCCCTTCCACGCACTCCCCCTCGGCCCCTGCACCTCCGGGATCCAGGCCCACGCTACGAGGGCTCCGATGCCCATTAGTGGCGCGAAGGCGATGAGGAGGTACCCGAGGTGGCGAGAGTGCGGGTCGTTTATGTGGAGGGAGGGGAGGAAGGCGACTACGACTATGGAGCCGAGTTTGCCGAGGGAGGCGGAGATGCCGTGGCAGGTTGCGCGGTAGCGGGTTGGGAAGAGCTCGGCGGGGAGGATGAAGGTTAGGGTGTTTGGACCTGGGGGGGAGTGTTAGTGGTGAGGAGTTTGGGAGGGGATGGGGAGGTAAGATCGAGAAAAAGGGGGGGGGGGACGGGAGAACAAGGGAAAAAGAGAAAGAAAAGAGGAAAGGGGAAACATACCAAGATTAAACAACAACTGCACCAACACATAAAGCGTAATAGTAAGAGCATGCAAGTCCGTATCCACAGCCCTAAAATAACTCCCCCCAATAACCGCAAAAAGCACCCCCATCCCCGCAAAACTCCACACCAACCACGACCTCCTCGGCACATAATTAATCGCCTTTATCAACAGCGCGCTCCCCACCAACGACCCCGCCGCATCCGTAATAATCGCCCTCACCCCATCCAGCCTCAGCGTCTCATAAATCCCCATCCCCGCATCCGCCGGGTTCGCCCAGCTGGGTATGAGCGCCTCGACCACCTCGACGCGCTTGGAGGACCAGAGACGCGCGATGGTGCGGGGGTTGTTGATGCCGAGGCCGTAGAAGGCGAGGTCGAGGAGGAACCAGGTTAGGGCTGTGCCGGCGAGGGTGCGGTAGTTGCCTTCGGTCCAGAAGTAGCGTTTGAGTTCGGCGTAGGAGAAGGGGTCGGGGTGCGTGGGGGTGGTGGTTGAGGTTGAGCCGGCGTCGTAGTCGTCGTCGTCGTCGTGGGGGGCGGTGGCGTGGGCGCTGTGGCGGACGGGGGCGCCGCTGACGTCGATGATGTCCATGCTTCCGTCTGAGACGGCGGAGGCGGCATCACTGTCGTCGTCGTAGTGTGCGCGCGGAGGCGGGCGGAGGCCGGGTGTGTCGTCGTCGAGACCGAGGCCGTTGGGGCGTCTGTCATCGTCGTCGTCGGCGCCAGCGACGGTGGCGCCGGGCTGGCGGAGGTATTGCTCTGTGTCTCTGAGCGCGCGAGCACCGTCCTGGTCGACGTCCAGGGTGTAGCGAGGGGATTCGGGGATGGTGAGACGGAAGCCGATGGCGATTAGGGCGGGGATGGCGCCGACGCCGATGACCCAGCGCCAGATGCTGTCGACGATCTTTTTGGCCGCTTCGTCGTCGTCTTGCATGAGGTGCAGGCCGCCGGCGCGGCCGACGGTGAGGAGGACGATGAGACCCACGAGGGAGGCCATGAGTTGGCCGATGGGCTGCATTATGAAGACTGCGGCCATCATGCGGGCGCGGGATTGGCGGGCGGCAAATCTGGAGAGGTTAGTTTTAGTTTGGAGGAATTTATTTTGCGCCTCTTGGGATAATTGACGTCTCATTGAAACCTACTCTGCGGTAATCACAGCACTAAGGGGGTACTCAGCCCCTATGCCTACCCCCACGAAGAACCGCCAGAACATCATCCATGATAGGATGGACATGGAGTCATTATACCCAGCAGAGGCCTGTGCGACGCCGAGGGTGCCGAAGATGACGACGATCAGCTCGAAACCATATAGTTTCCTACGTCCATATTTATCGGCGAGGAATCCAAAGATCAGCTGCCCAAGACACGACCCAACTAGCGTGATAATGTTGATCCTGCCCTCTCTGCCGGTGTTGTCATCAGGCCAGTAGACGAAGGCCAGACACGGGAGAATAACATTTGTAGCGAATAGGTTGTATGAGTCGGTGAAGAATCCTGAGGCGGCTACGGCCCAAACCTGCCAGTCAAAACCATTGTTATCGATATCACGGCAGATCTGCTCTCTCTTGTCGTCGTTGGTCTGGGGGGAATTTGTTAGAGGCGCGTTCTCGCGGCAGACGCCCAACAGGCAGCGGGTTTACTCACCGTGTGATGCCGGCCAACATCGGTGGGATTGATCCAGACACGCATTGGGAAGATGGAGTTGGGGGTTTAGAATGCCGAAGAGGCTACATGATAGAGATGAAGGGCGAGCAATGGGCGGGCATGCGGTAGATAATATGAGGCCATGAGACGAGGGCACGTGTGGGGGCAGAGACGTTCACGGAGCCTTGGACTTGGCAGGGCTCTCCCGGATGGTCATAGCAGGTGTCTGGGGCGTCAAATCATGGAGTTGGGGGTCGGCACGACGAGGCTGGGAGTGGAGGGTGTGGTGTCGGGAGGAGGTGGACGGGATTATGGATAGCTGGAGGAAGAGGGTAGCCTGGGGGGATGGTGGTGGGAGAGTGGTCGGGGCCGGCTGAGTCCAATAGTGCACGTACTTCCGTATTGTACTTTTGTGGATGTGTACGAACGCCTTGCCAAGGTGAGTAATGCGAGGAAGGGGAGAGGGAGGTGAGCCAAGTGAGCCAAGTGTGAGTGATATAATGAGAATCGTACGTCACTTGGCGCGGACCGGTGTGTTGGGAGGAGAGGAAAAGGGGGGCAGAAGAGAGAGGAGAAAGAGAGAGATGGAAGCAGGCAAGAGAGACGAGATGAGGAGGGAAGAATTGCACTATGAACTAGAGTATTCTATCGCGGATAGCATGGCTAGGATGACTAGGGTTATTCCTAGTATGATAGCTAAGCCTCAATTCCCAAAAGAGACGACTTTGATGTAAATGGGTAGTAGTGTATGGTGTAGTGCGTATAGAAGAGGCGGCTGAGTCGTCGGAGTGGTGTTCTCCTTGTCGACGGCGCATAGGGGATGTATGGTCAGTAGTAGAGAAAATACATACAGTTTGGTGGTAAATGCGTAAGGAAGCCGTGTACCATTGATGATAATATCCATGCTTTCGGTGTGCAGATGGGGGGTGGATGAGAAATGAGACGTCAGAAATGAGCTGCCAAAGTATCCCTCCATACAATTATGTGTTGTGAGATACTTCTACTGTCAACCCCCCATCATACTCCGCAGTGCGAACCCCTGCCCGCTCGTGCCGCCCCTGCCCGCCCTTGCCAAAGCTTAAATCCACTCACAGCGACGCATCCACCCACGTTCTCGCCGCCTCGTGCTGTGATAGGTCCGTTCTCACTTCGCTAAATACTCTTTGATTCCGGATGTCGTCGTGGTGCTTGGGATGCTGGAGAGCAAGGTACATCTCATCTCATCTCACTTTACCATCATGCACTGTTCAGTATAGTACCATTGCCCACAGCCTACTGCCCACTACAACGTCTCCCAATAATCTCTCAATAGTCTCGCCCTCAGCCACAATTCTAGTGCTGAATACTACGCCGTATACGTAGTACCACTCTGCATCTACAGGCCAGACGCTGTTCTAACAGTGGTGCACGAAGCAAGGCTATCATCACTTCTCAGTAGAGTATCCTCCTTGCCGCTTGCGCTACTGCAGACTTTCTCTTCCCCTTCGTTTCCCAACGCACCAGAGATCCAGACCGAGGAAGGCAGGGGGCCATCTATTATGGCGACTATACACAGTATCTCCCTTCCCCCTCCCCTCCATGTTATGCCGATCTGACGATCACTCAGTCTTCCCGATTCCCGAGGCCACTTGACAGTCCCTCCCTGAGACCCTGAGACCCCAACTATGGGAATTGACTCCTTCCCACGAGACGTCTCCGTGGGATAGAGCACGCTACTGTGCTCGCAGTACTCTCCTGCCTGCATTGTGCTGCACGACCACCTGCCCTAACGTAGGTCCCGCCACCACGGCCGCGTCCGTCCTGTCGCAAACTCGCCGAACCACTCACTCGCTGCCTACCTGCCTGCCTCCCCTCAACGCTGTGCTCGGGCCCCTGTTGCGCGCCATAGGCGCCATCCGATGTGCTGACCCGTCCTCTGAACTAAGGGAAAGGCAAAGGGTACTACCGGAGAATTCAGGACACGTACCCCGCCCGCGGCCATCCTACTCTACTACTGGCTGGGCGTGGGGAGCCGGGCAGTACAGTACTTTGTTACATGTCTCCCCTTCCTCGTTTTAGCTCTCTGACCACCATGCGCCTCCCAGACACTCACCATCACCCCCCCACATCCCACACGTCCCTTCTCTTCCCTTCCCTTCCCCCCACCCAACCGCCCACGTCAACCCCCCCCCATCGCCTTCCAAGTTGCCAAGTTCCCGCTCCCCATAGCCCTACCGTAGATAAATATCCATTTAGGCCATCCATCTCATGTTTTTCAGAACTTATTCCCGCCAGACTATAACTCCACTCACTCGTTCGTGATCACCCTCGGACCGCATGAACTGTATGCGGTTCGGAGAGTCGTCATGATGCCGTGCACGCGACTGCGTTATCGGCTTATACTCTTTGACCTCGTCCTCTTCTGATAACTGAAAAAAAAAGAACGGAGGCCTCGTGCCCTCCCAAAGATGGCCGCCCCAGGCTTCTCCATCAATGACCTGATCGGTGCGGCTATTCAGATTAAAAATGTCTATGATGCCTTCTTCGACAAGTACTCGAACTCGGCAACGCAGTATGAAGACCTCATCCACGAGATCACGTCCTTTGCGGAGATTGTGGAAATGAATCGGGAGGCCTTTGAGAGAGCTGGGCTGCGATATGCGCAGTATGAAGCGATCTACAAGACCTTACGCAGAGGCTACGATTTCCTCGAAAAGAACAAGCCCATACTGTCGAACAAGAAGACCCCAGAGGCGATGTGGAAGATTGCCAAGTTTTCGTATAGCCAGGACTACGTTCAGAAACTGAAAGAAACGATCCGGGCTCATAAGGCAGACCTAACAGCCCAATCTGTCCTTCATATTCTGTAAGTCCTTCACTACTTTGTTTATGCATATACCTAACAACTCGCAGGGACAAAACCACAACGCCAAATAATGGTCTAGCAGAAAAACAGGGTGAAGAGGTATGGGAAAAAAATAATCAGCGGCGGCCAACCATCAATAACCAGAACTATCCCGTCTCGCCAACCCTGGGAGGCCTTCAGATTCCAAACATACCCACCCCAGACAACACGATAATCAACAACAAATACCAATATGTGACGGTCCCTGTGAGTCCTAGCAGAAGCTCTCCGAACAGAACCCCTCCGAGCAGAAGCCTGGAAAAGCCCGGGTTCTATCACGACAGCCAGACTCTGTCTCCGCATCGGCCTCCATCGTCATATGGACCAAGCCCACAGAACAGCCCCGAGCTCTCGACGGCCGACACTATCAGGAGCTCCATCAGTCCCCGCAGTAGTCCCGTCCCTCCGCCATCCAGCCGCCTATCTAGCATCGCATCACCGCAGCTCTCCTCATGCCCCGAGCTTATTCTGCCACAGCCTGCGTTGGATTACGTCGTTGCTGAGGTGTAGGTTCCCTCTCTCCTTCCTTGGGGCCATTTTCTAACTGCAGACAGATTTTTTGGTACAAGTAAAATACCCATCAGGCGCAAGCCTGCTGGACGGCCCTCTACGTCACCAAAGTCTCCTGGCCGCGAACTCGTCATCATCAATGAGGAGAACAAAGAGCGGCTAAAGCACCGAAGTAAGTCTACCGAGTCCCACCTATTCCTCAGTCAATTAACCGCTCTCACAGTCAAGCTCGGTTCGACACAGCGCTGCTATCCATATACCTGGAACAGCGGAACCCACCCCGCTCTGGAGGTGACATTTACCCAAGGCAGCCACTCCCTATATTTCAAAGGCAAGCCGCAAGACCTCGGAACGACCATCCCGCGCTACGTATTCGCCAATATCGCCGACTTCACTGACTTCCAGTCCGCCGTGCGCAACAAGTTCTTCCTCGGCGCCTTTGCCGTAAACAAGATCTCCTCCGAGACGTCCCGAAGAAATGGTGACGCGACTTACCAGCACCTCAAGATATGGCGCGACAAGGAGACGGGCCAGTGCTCGCTCTCCTTCTATGGAAATTCTCTGGAGAAGGCGAGGGATCTAGACTTCCCGTTCAAGTATATCAAGAGGGACCCCGAGCCGACGAAGAGCGACAAGGAAATTGTCCTTCGCTTTGATCCGCTTCCGTTGAGTCAGCTCCGCACTACATCTCCATCAATCAGACAGGGATATTTTAGCTCATCGTCTGAGTCTGAATTCACCCACTCCCGCACCAACACCTTCAGCACCATTACCACAGACCGCACCACATCAACAGGTATGCTCTCTCGTTTTATCCCTTCTTCTAGAGATCCAACTAACCACATCCGCCAGGCTTCTTCAGCCGCCGCTCCACAGCCGCCTCAGCCACAACAGCCGCCACGAGCATCGCGACCATCACACCCGGCTCACGCGCCCCGTCCTTCGGCAGCCAACACTCCGACAGCGGACATTCGGTTACAAGTGACCGGCCGCCGCCGACGACGATGGAAGATCTAACGCGGAAGATGAAGTTTCTCAAGATTGCATTTCCCGATGCTGGAGGTACGTTCGCCTTACCCCTATCAGCCCATACACCCTACTCCCTATCCATGCCCCAACTCCCGTCACAGGGCCGTGAGGAACAGAAACTAACTCAAACCAGAAGCAACCCGCTTCCGCACCGCCTACAAAACAGCCATCGACGACACCCCCTCCCTCCCCATCGACTTCACCCGCGTCGACTGGCGCGGTCACCCCCACCCCAACGCACGCCTCTCATCCATGAGCGCACCCGCGGCGGTAAAGAGCGGGTATGCAGAGCTCGAAGGTACGAGGCCACGTATTAACGGTAGCACATACACCGTTGAGATGGAGGGCGAGGGGAGGTTTCCAGCAGAGATGGGGGAAGGGGGAAGGTTCCCGGCTGAGATGGGGGGGGGAGGCGAGTATGCGGTTGAGATGAGCGGGACGAATAATTATCCTGTTGAGATGGGGGAGGCGGGGGTGTATGCGGTGGAGTTGGGGGGTGGGGGGGCGTATCCGGTGGAAATGGGGGGGGGAGGGGAGTATCCTGTGGAGATGGGGGAGAGTGGGTATACGGCGGGGAGGTTTTCGGCTGAGATGAAGGGGACGCCGGATCTTTGGTAGGGAGGTGGGGGGTGTATGGGTTGTAAATGATTTTGTTTAAGCGGGCGTATGGATGGTGGGTTTGGGGGAGAGGGGGCGGGTAAAATGGGTGGGTGGGTGTATGGTAGAGGGGACAGGAGTATGTTTGGTTTTGGAGATATAATATACAAGATTTACAGTATTCCACGTGGAAACCGTTGGTTTGGGGTATGGACCTGGAGATTTGTATGATTTGGGATAAAGGAGGGGGGATAATGAAGGGTGGTTGTGTTTTCGATCTCGACAACGGGAGTTTATGTGATAAATTTGCCTGCTCATAAGGACTTACAACAACGACGCTTTCTTCCGACGACGACAAGGACAACAATACTGGATAACAAACAAAGATCATTAATTGCTACAAGCACGACAGTAAGTTTATGTTTGTTACGTTTATTATTCTTTATACACACTAACATTGCCAGCCATGGCCGAGGAGGTCAGCCCTTCTCCTCTTCCTCGTCCACAGCCCGAATCACAGCCTAGATCGAGATCGAATCAAAGCCAACCACGCAACCAGCCTACGTCAAATCCCAACCATCCTCAAGCTGACCCCGTTTTCCCTACAATGGATCTGTTTCGCGCCACCATCGCTAGACTCGAGAAAGCCAAGAAGGCTGGAACCTGGGTTCCGCCGATGATGGGTGCTGGACTTGCATACGATCTGGTGAGACATTATTTCCGGTACCAATTTGTCTACATATTGATATTTGATATGGAGCAGAGACCCCGGCGCCGGAGTTCATATCGATGGGAATATTCATCGACCTCAACCAGCCCCAGCCAGGAGAAAAGCCCCAGCCGCCGAAGAACAAAGAGCACGCATCAACCATCCTACCGGTTCTCTGCATGAAACTGGCAAAGGCTACTGAATTATTTTACCACACCATGCCGGACCATGAGATGCGGGACTGCCTTCCCAAATACGCAAAGACATGGGGATACCTCTATCGATTCTTCAGCCGGAAGATCCACGAGCACGTCTCGGCTGTCTCCCGCGCCACGCTAGATCGTGGGTTCCAACTCACCTGCACCATCGTAGCGGGGGCTATGCAGAATGGCGGATTCTACGAGATGATGAATCAGAGTAATGAGGTGCAGCGGGCGTTGGTGATTAATGGTCTCTTTAAACCGAGGCATATGTGGTATTTGTTCCGAGACCAATTCAAGGCCGTCTCCTTCCCCTTCATCTTCCACAATGGAGTTCGCACGGACCCGGATGAGGAAAGACTGCGCATTGATTTTAGGAGGCTGCTACATTGTACGACGATGATGATGATTTATGATTTTTTGAGGTTTTGCATTAGTGCTGAGAGGGAAAGGAGAAGACGCCGATCTCGCGTATTAGAGCTGGGAAGGCGATTATTAAGGCTAACTACCTTGATGTCCCGTATCATGGACATGCGCGGGGCATTGTGAAGTCTTTGAGGAGGCTATCGGCGTCTCCGGATTTTAAGGACATGGTGAGGAGGCAGAGCGGTGGTGGAGATAAGGGGGGTGGAAAGAAAGGTACTCGGGCAAAGAAGAGGAAGGAGAAGGAAGATGGACATGGGATTGCTAAGAGGAGTAAGTGAGAAAACACACTGTGAGAAGGGAGGTAGAAGCGTCCCCATGTGCCGTTTTTATTTCAATCATATATGAACCATGAAATATAGAACTAGATTATATTGGTTAGGGGCTAAAATTTATATAAAACATCAAAAATGACAAAAACATACAACGGTGGGTATTCGCTAGTGGTCACCCACCCAACTACTATTCCACCGATATCAAGCAATCCTCTAGATAATACTTAAATCGGTGCCATCCGGCCTAGTGGGTGAGCCTCGCCGCCCTTACCCTTATTTTGTGATCGCGACCACCTTGACCACCTCGACCACCCAAAAGTGGGTCCATTTTTAACAACGCGTTGTATCGCGACAGTGGACGCCCACGGATGAGTGGATGAGCATGCTGAGGAAGGTGAGGAAAGCAGGGTGAGCAGGGTGAGTAAGGTGAGCTAGATGGGTGAGAAAGGTGAGCTGGATGGGTGAGAAAGGTGAGTACGGCCGGACTAAGAAAATTATATAAAGGGCCAGCCACCCGCTTCATATTTCACAGCCGCTGTCAGCACCATATATTTTCTTTCAAGGTATCTGCTACCATAGGACGGCCAGTCCTTACTGCCGACGACAGACTTGCTATAGCACGGGGGCGAGGTTTTACTATAGAGAGTACACTATCGACAAAACCAATTGAAGGAGACTGGACTGTCTCTTGCTAGCGCGACGAAGGAGAAACATGAAGACGTGGAAAAGGTGTGGCAAGAGTATGTACAGATAGAGTCTCATCAAGTGTTCCAACTGGGCTTGCACGCATGAGAAATCATACATTCGAGCGGCTGCATATCTTGAATTTGCCATGCAGTACATCTCCTAACTTGTTGCTCTTCCGCGGCTACAATACACGGAATATAATATCTTTGTCACCTTTGCGCAAGTGTAAGTAGCGACTGTGTCCAATTTAGCATTTCCTGTCATCAGCTCCTTGTCCCAACCTGGCATGCTCTCCTTCTGATTCGCTCAGCTGATCCTCCGTGATATCAAGGGCCTTACAGCCTATACCAGTTCATATGGCATGGCCAACCTAGGCCTACCAGTTACATGGAATCTCGTTGGTAGGCTCCCAAATGTTTGTTTGTTTAACAAAGCCGCATTCCCCCAAATTGTGGTACTTAATTGCCCAGCACTTCTTACGCCCGGTGTCTTTGTAGATGCGATGCATGCGACCGTTCTTTGTGTCGATGCAGACATCTTGCTTGACACCACAACCTGTGAAGCTAAAACATCCGTCCCCACTTGACGAGACCCTGCCGCACTTGTCGCAATGGTTCCAACGACCGTGGTATCCCATCGTAACGAGAGGAATGGGAGGGGCGCCCCCGACTCCAGGTTGCGGGATAACTGTCCACTGATAGATCAAGTCTACGCCGGCGTTGTAATCAGGACATGTGCCTTGGCTGCAACCAGTACCGCCCCTCGCGAGAATGTTGTTGGGAAGATTTGGGGATTGGAAAGCCGGACCGTCCGCAATAGAGTCTTTGGCCAAGGCGGCTGTTTCGGTAATGGCGACTGGTGTGGCAACCACGGCGACGACTGCCATCGCCGTAATCAGTGCTTGCTTTAAAGAGATCATGATGAAGGGTTGTAATGTATTGTCGAAAGTTTAAGCGTGAATTGATATCCTTCTTAGGTGCTTTTAAGCTGATGTTTGTCGGTGATGCTTTTTACATTGTGAGAGTTGTCGAGATGGGAATTTATATACATAATTCTAGCCCCCAAAGTAACACTCCCTAGCAGGAGGGCGCTATGTCACTGTAAGCGAACTATGTGGGTACTTTGAATCCTTCGAATCTTTTTAATCCTCCATGTAACCCTCAAACCCTTCAATACGAGCTCACACTTACAACCGTGCAGTAGTTCACTCTTATTAGCATTCTTTTGACTGTGCAAACAGAACAACCCTTGCTGCCGAGAGACGAACCTTCCAAATCTGGCTTTCACGATGGGGTTTGCGCTCTTATAATGGTAGCTTACAGTCACATCGGTGCGCGAGTTAGAGCTATTGGACCTAAAGCCCCGGGCTGAAGTACCCCTAAGCTGGCAGCGTCGATATTTTACTCATGAAATGAGTAGCGATCATATCTAGCATGAAGTGAAGCCATGGCAATCCTGTAGCACCCCATAATCCTGCAGGAGATTCTTGGAGTCAGTTCGCCACCCCAGGTGAGTATTTAGAGCTGTGCTACGATGGTCGGCGCGGAGCTAGGTAAACCTGAACTAAAAATAAGGGTCTCACGGGGGACTACGAAATATTAGGTTGGCGCGGAGTCTGCTAAACCCGAGATACTCGAGCTAAAATCAGGGTCTCGAAGGGGCCACAAAGTGGTCCTGTAGGCCCATTAGATTTAGTATGGCTTAACTCAATACTATAGTACTCCACCATTTTAGTGCCTTGCAGTGTTGCCCGAGTACTACTCTGAATACTCGAGTACTGCTAAGCCCTTAGCAAAGAGGGGTAATATAGATTGTAGAATAGATAATTGAAGCTTCTACTTAAGCGTTCTGTATTACTTCCTGTAATGAGTGACTCTTCGCTGTCGCTAGTGCCAGCTAAGTATTAGTCTAATGCTTTAGAGCTGCTGCCCCTTATTCTAATGCCCCTTATTTCGATGCTACATATGCCTCTAAGAGTTCAATTACCTAATTCTACATTAATACTCTTTTCTAAAAGACTATTCTACTGTACTTTATTAGATACAGTACCTACTAGAATCTAATACTAATGCCTTTAAAAACTAATTATAGATATACGCTAAGCTAGCCCTTAAAGAACCTAACGACAAGCAATCTATAGAAGCATCTTTAGAAGTAGTACCTATTAGTGCATGTAGAATATAATACAATATCTTTAATTCGAAGCTTATTAACACCCTCTACTTCTGCTTCTGCTTTCTTCTAGCCTTGCTAAGCACCTAGTAATGCACTAAGTTCGTTAAAATATAGAGAGCTTGTTCTCTCTTTTATAGTATTAAATAACCTACTATTACGCCTTATTAAAAGCTAATCCTTCTAGTAATTAGTTCACTATCTAAATCCTATAGTCTTAACAGTTAGTAGAACTATAATTAGATAGGATCTATATTAACTATTCTACTATTATAAAGCACAGCTTTAAGTAGAATTATAATAGTATATTATAAGTAGTAGACAACTAGTAATAACGATAGATACTTAGTCTACTTAGAACTATTCTAAGTATATAGTAGTTATAGTATACTAGATTAATGATAATTAGTAAATAAGAAATACTATACTTAACGTTATATACCTATAAGAGCTAATCTACTCTAGTAAATACCTTGCTAAATAGTTGATAAATGTAATAGACGATTATAGTATTATACCTATAATCTTTACTATTATAAGAGATAACGCCTCTATAAATACAACTATGCTATTAGAATATAAGAAGCTAGCTTTAGTATAATCTATTACTCTAAAACAACTATAGGCTTTTATAGCAAAAGTAGGAGACATATGCTATATTAGGTATATTATTAATATTGCTATTTAAGCTACTTTAGCCTCTTTAAAAGCAACACTAGATAAAGGCCTAGAGGTATATTAGCTTAAGATTAGTGTAAGGATGCCTCCTTACTCGGGGTAGTTACGGCCGTCACGTGGCGCCATCGAGACTCGGGGCCGTTACGGGTCAGTCGCGACTGACAGCCTTAGGCACATAACGTAAGGAAGCCTTAGGCAAACAGGGAGCTAGCTGAGTCGGAGCGGCTTCGGGTATTTTAAGGGAACAGCCATACAGGGTTACACCTTCATCTTTTTTGTATCCTTTGTAGTAGACCTATAGGATTGCACCGACTTCTATCCGACTCGCACTCCCATATGCAACTTCTCGTGATACGGTGCCCTGTGTCCATACAAATAGAGAGTAGGTGTTAATTATCTAAGGTGTTAATTCGTATAGATAGGCACTCCTGCCATTTATCATTTTTAAGGCGTAGAATCACCTCTCTACTTAGTACGAGGACTTAGGATTACTAGACAATTAGGTGATTACATTAAGTGAGAATGGGTAGACTTTAAATTCAATTAGGTATAAGTAGATTCAACACTTCAATTAACATACAAGCACTCGTACGATTAGAACCTATTGCCTTCTTATTCTTAACGGGCATAAGAGTCACCTCTCTACTCAATTTCAACACTACTATATAGAACGGAAGATAATCACCCTCTATATGCTACTATACTCCTTGCACATTCTTTAACTACTTGACGTTAGCTGCTTTACTCTGCTAAAGCTTTTGTACAGACGTTAGATTAAAACCTTCGTATAGAATAGGCTAAACCATATTACAAAACTCAAGTTTCTCTCTGCATTTAAAGAAGCATTTAAAGCTACATTTATAGAGCAGAACATTAAGAGCGGCTTCTAAGCTATAGGGCTAGTTCTATACGAGCTATAGAGTGTCCTCTCTTACTTAAATCTATAGTTAAGGACTCTAACTCCTCCTATAGTTAAGAGTAACAATTGGACTTCAAAGACTCCCTAAACTATAAGGGAGCTTGATTTTCAAACAGAGCATATTAAGAACCGTGTCGTACGACATTACAATAGCTCTCCTACCTTAATTAATGATGCTATTAGCTGCCTTGTTAAGGGGGCTTAAGTTATGATGCATTCTGCTATTCTACTTAAGGTAGAAGTTAAGGCTCTACAAGCAGTAAATGAACAGAAAAAGAGGAGGGAAAGGAAGCGTAAGAGGCGTATAATGCAAGGGGGTAGTCTCTCTATACAAGAGGGAGAGGATATCCTTTAGAGTGCTAAGGTTGATGCTCAACTCTATATGGAGGTAGTAAGTAAGAGTAGTTAGTAGGTAGGTTCTATAGGCTAATAGAAGCGCTATGGCTTATGTAGTATTATAGGCTATAATTCCTATACGTGCTAGAGGCATAAGGAATTAATTACAATTAAATAAGGGTCATTATATAGGGTAGTAGTAGTGTAGTAGTAGTAATTGTTAATTCTAGTGTTTTAGTGGCTAACTAGTCTGTATAGCCAACTTATATGTGAAATACGTTACCTATCTTAGAAGGTACCTAGTAAAAGAGAGGTGCCTATTAGGAAAGGCACCTATTATAAGGATGCCTCCTTACTTAGGTTAGTTATAGCTGTTATGTAGCACTATTAAGACTTAGGGCTATTATAGGTTAGTTGTAACTAACAGCCTTTAGTATATAGTATAAGGAAGCCTTAGGTAAATAGAGAGTTAGCTAAGTTAGAGCAATTTTAGGTATTTAAGGAAATAGCTATAAAGGGTTATCTCTTTATACCCTTTTACCTCTTTCTAAAGAATAGTAAGCTTAGTATTCTAACTTTTAACTAGCCTAGTCATTTACTTAGTATAACACTAAGTAGGTAAAGTAGGGAAGTTACTAGTAACCATTATTAAATTAAAGACTAAATTTATATACCTAAGTTTAGTTCTATCTAGGGGAGAACTTTAAAGTACTAAGAGGTCTAAGCTACTAACTAGGGTTAATTTCTAAGGTATATAAGGTAGCTTAACTACTTATAAGTAAAAGGTTAGCTAGTACTCTTTTTAGGAGAAAGGGTGTTAACCTTACTACTCTCTATCTATGTTATAGCTAGCGTTTATAGCTATACTTTTGCTAACATACTAGTTATAGTAGTAATGAGCATAGTAGCGATTTAGCTACCCTTAAGGTAGGGTTAACATTAGGTACTAGAGAATTCCTAAGCACCTAAGAATTACTAGGTACTAGACAGAGTAGGCACCTAACTCTTTCTAAGTACCTAACTATTACTAGGTACTAGACAGAGTAGGTACTAGACTATTTAAGGGCACCTCCTTATAAGATCCCTATGTAATAGAACTATAAGAACTATAGGAACTCTTATAGTTCCTCTAGTTCCTTATAGTCCCCTTTAGTACAATGCTACTATATAAGTAGATAGTTAGTTCTTAGATAGGAGCTTTATGCTTAACTTAATATAGTATTCTATTATATACTATAACGTGTTTTATAAAAGCCTTTGTGTCTAATCCCCTACCTCCTCTATTAAGTAAACTAACGTAACGAAACCTCTATAAGTCTTATAGTTTAAGACTTAGCGTTACAATCTACTTCTAATATTTAGAGGTATAAGACCTATTTCTTAAATACTCTTAAAGATCTTAGCCTAATAGGAGTACTAGATTTACTTTATTCCTACTTAAGTATAGTAATCTACTTCCTAAGTATAAAATTACTTAAAAGATCTATATACTCTAACATTAAGTTACTAGAGTAGATAAGAGTAATAAGGAGGTAGAATAAGAAGGTTAATATTATTCTCTATATAAAGTATAATTATATTACTAGTAATATAACTAGAATAGCTATCTATAATTAATAACCTTAGCTAATTTCCTAACTTCTTATATAATTCTAGCTTAAGAACCTTATATAGCTACTTAAAACTATAACTATTAAAGGTCTAGCTACTATTACTAGTTAAGAAGTGCTAATTTAAGGGTATGTCTTTATAAATCTAGCCTATATTAGTATTCTTAGCCTTAAATATTATACTATCCTATATAGGGAGCTAGATGTTAAATCTATAAATAATACTATAGATAGTAATATAATATATGTTAACTAGGTAGTAAGATGCTACTTTTACTAGGATTAGCTCTAGGCTTATCTTAAGGATTTAAAACACTTTATAATGAAATTTTTTAATATCTTTATATATAAGACAACTAGAAGAAAACTTTTAAGTCATTAGAGGTTAGTATCTATCTTAACGTTATAGCCTCTTATATAAGGACATAGGGAATATAGCTCTCTATAGGTATATATAAGAATGTAAGTTAGAGGTAATGCTATCTTCTATCCTATAGGTCTACTATAAAGGATATAAAAAAGATAAGGAGGGAACTCCCTATATAACGTTCCTTTAATACCTAAAACCCCCCTAACTTAACTAACCCCTTATTTGCCTAAGGCTTCCTTATACTATATACCTAAGGCTTATAGTTGTAATTAAACTATAATAACCCTAAGTCTTAAGGGTGCTATATAATAACTATAACTAACCTAAGTAAGGAAGTATCCTTATACTATCCTCTACCTTTAGAAGGTACTTTGTCCTTAAAGTATATAAGCTTATACTATATATAAGTTATTATATAGGTTATATAGTATAGAGGAAGAATAGAGACTAAGGAGTAACTATAACAAACCCCTATTTAGGTTATTATATAAGGTATAGGTATAAAGATTAGGATGCCCTTTATTTATCTAGAAGTCTAATAGTTAGTAGTTGTTTAGGTAGTAGAAGTAGTCTAAATCTATTAGTATAAAGTTACATCTTTGTTATATATATAGTAATTAGTGTTATAAGGGTCTATATTAGTATTAAATTAAGTCTATATAGTATATGTTATTATAGAATTTTAATATAAAAGGGGAATTTCGTACTAACCTAATTTAGACAGCTTTGTTATAAGCTAGAATATAATTTTAAGCTTTGCCTATAGCCTATTGTTTTCTTTATAATAACAATGCTAACTCCCCCTCTTAAGACTAGTAAGTAGCCCCGCTTCCCCCTAAGTTACGTTACATATAAAAATAAAACTATTTTGCCCTCACCGCTCGTTCCATCTACAATAGGATGGAATATCAGAAAGAGGATTGCTAACGGCGTACTTGAGCCTTAGTGGAAATAATGCAAGGCTGACATTATGACTCAGGATGGTGCGAGATAGACGGTGCGAAAAAAAGAGATGAATCGTACAAAAAACGTGAGATGGGTGTGTAAAAAAGCGAGATGGATGGTGCAAAAAAGCGGGATGGGTGTGTGTAAGAAAAGCGAGATGGATGGCTGGTGCGAAAAAGCGAGATGGATGGTGCGAAAAAGCGAGATGGATGGGTGCAAAAAGTGAGTTAGGACATGTAAACAAACGAGATGGACACAGTGTGCGTATTGCTAGCGCAGTGTGCGTATTGCTAGCGCAGTGTGCGGGTTGCAAGCGCAGTGTGCGGGTTGCAAGCGCAGTGTGCGGGTTGCTAGTGCAGTGTGCGGGTTGCAAGCGCAGTGTGCGTATTGCTAGCGCAGTGTGCGGGTTGCAAGCGCGAGTTGCTGGCACGAATCACGAGCGCTGCGAACGGCACTCACCGGTCGGTGTGGTGGTCGTTGCGGACCATGCTCACAAAAGACGTATCAGGGGCCTTACATTTGCTCCGTTCATGCAAGGGGTTCGTGAATATTCACGATTCCACTTTCCTAGTATTCCCCGGGGAGGATCCCGGAGCTAACTTACTACATACCTACCAAGATTATCAACGCTGCACGCCTTCCTTCGCAGTATAACGTGGCAGCAGGCTGCGAGATAGCGCCGATCCACATTCTGATGTGCAACTACTAATCCATGCTTGCTAGTCCTCATATCGTCTGAAACCTCTCGCCTTTTATTCTCGCCCCTGCAGATAGTGCTAGATGACTCGGTGATGGCCCTCGGGCATCCTAACTGGAAATGGGAGTCGAGATAGAGGTTCGCACACCGGGAAAAGGACTTTTCACGTAAGATTTGGCAGCCTTGTGTTGGTTCGGGGGGAGTGGGCCATGCATTGAGGCGCCTAAAGTTCGGTTTTATCCCACTTGTCATATGTCTATATTCACGTAATGTAGCAGAAAAACGTATGGCCCCTCGAGAATGAGTTACATCTACAGTTCAATCCAAAAGGGTAGTATATCTATGGCAACCCTCTCGAGTCGCTCATATGGTGCTTTTAAACTCTGTGGAGCCCAGCATATTGCCAAGGCTGCAGCCACGGCTACGTTATAACGGACGTAGCGTAGAGCACAGTTAACAAGTTCGTAATTTAGCATGGATAATGCCCGCCTCAAGGCGGTGTCGCGGCAAGTCACGAACAACGTCGATCCCTCCGAGCCGTATCCCCGATATAAACTTATTGGCTGTGACAGGGCGTTCCCGAGCGCCACACCATAGGCCCCGCTAGACTTCAATGTGATTAGCCTGAGTATTATGATAGTAGACAGTGCAGAGTGTATTTTGAGTAGAGCCAGGTTGAGAGGAGGCAGAGAGAAATCTTCGCGCAGACCACAGAGAGAATATAAAGTCTTTCCCTCTCCCCATCTTTTAATCATGGACCCCGTCAACTCAAACACATTTCAGCAGAAGACGCCGACGTTTCAATAGACTTTCATCCGATAGAAATGCCTTCGCTAACAGGTGCTTTAAAAGGGGGAGGATCCCGATATCTGAGGTGACAACACCCTACCCTATTCATTAATCTAGCTCTTCTCATGTGTTCTACACGCCATTGATTCCTTGAATCACCGCTATATTGCCTTCGCAGTGACTAACGTCTACTTAAATAGCGGTCCCAGTGCGGAAGAATATCAAAAGACAATCGACTTTTCCGACAAGTTGGCAGCTCACAACGACAGGCAAGAGGAAACTTGCAAGACACGCCGAATCTTGTTACAAGAATGGCTCTTTGCAACCGACGGCCCGTTCGCCACACATTGTTATCCCCACGACGACACAGAAGCGGCGCAGCAACAGTAAATGGCAGGCCAGCATGATCATCGTTGTGGCCATTGGTTTCTTCATATTTAACATATGAATGACACATAAGGGGTAAACATACGCCATAATCACTTCTTTGAAACTAATTCTAACAAAACGAATAGGAGGTACGCAGAACACGACACGCAGAACAATCAACTTGTTGTTAAAGTCGAACTTAGCCAGCATTAATCCAATTCTATATGACGCTGCTCAGCAGCACGAGTTCGCCATTGCATCTATTCCTTTCATTCTCCATAATATGTCGTAGCAAGACAACGTCATGCCAAATCCAATATAAATATGGATTCAGCGAATAAAACGCCAACAGTGTCTCTCATATTTCACGAGGAGTTTATAGGCTTTAGATAGAAAGTTAATATATCATAAATAGAGTCGTTGATATACTCTCCAAGTAGCTGTGTGACAGTAGTCCTCGCCCTGTGGACAACTTTCCACAGAAACCACTCTCCTGAAGTCCGCGCCGGTAACATAGACCCGTGCGGCCCACTCTAATCTACAGGTGAATAGTTCCCGTTCCAAGTGATCCTGTACCTATCCTGTCCCTGCGTCACTTGTTGTAGGGCCAGAGGCGAAGATGGCGTCTTCGGAAGTATCACAACGAGATGAGACAATTCAAGACGGAACAGGCAGGGACTAACTGCCCTAGCATGCCCTGTACTATGAGCATCGCCTACCCTGTGTAAAGCCGGCAATGTCCCGAGCAACCCCGGTTATAGCAGCTCCAGCCGTTACCTGATGCCAGCGTAACAGCAACTGTGCGTCTTAGGGGCGAGGGGCTTAGACCAGTGGCCACGGTGCGGCCATCAAGCCCGAACTAAAACAGGCGATGTGCATATTACACTAATGTTATTAGTATACATTGCTTCAGCTGCCCCGTAGCTGTCTCGGGGAAGGATTTAGGAACCTTATCCTCATTTCCCAGAGTTCACGGGGTTGGCTATAGCCGCCACTATTATGAGAAAGTTATTGAGAGCGATGAGGCTGATGATGTTGTAAGGCATACAAGGGTCGATTGGAACCAGCGCTCTAGAGTTATAGTAAGTACTAAAGTACATACAAGTTCCAATCCGGTCTAACCCAAAACGTCTCATCTCTCATCCCATGGGATGGGAACTACTAGATTTTAGGTTAGACTAATCCATATCGACCCGTCCCGGATTGGCAGTCGCACCCTACAAACTTACATGATATCCCTCCACCGCCAAAACCTACCTTTAAGGATACCTATCACCTATAGAGTCAGCATGCACGAATGTACCCTGCAACCGCCAAAACCCACCTTCAAGGATACCTAACACCTACTAATTTAAGGATCCCTTACACTATAAACATTCTAGTTAGGAATAGTATACTGCCTTAAATTTTCCTAGGAGGAGTTACCGTTTCCTCTTAGAATAGAGTAGGTGTAAGGTGTTATTAGTAGCACCTTTAGTAGCAATAGAGACTAGAAGGGCCTGTCTTTATAAGAACAGACTCTAAGTAGGCGTAGAAGGCATCTAACATATTCTAATGACAACAACAAGCTGTTAATACAGCTAAAAGAGGTTAATAAATTATAATAGGACGAAATTGTAGAGTACTTCCTAGGAAAGACTAAAGGGACGTTATAAGTACACTATAGCACGAAGTTAAAGAACTGCTTATAGACGTCTAAATCTAAGAAACGTAAGAGAATGAACTTAGCTAAAGAAGGCGGGGAAATATGTCCATTAGGGTTTTTAATGGACTTAATTAATCAATCTATAGCTTTAAGATGCTCTTCCTTCTACACTAATTCTACTAGCAACTGCTGACTTAACTAAGGATGCTTATAAAAGCATACTATTAACTAGAAACAAAGAGCACATAGCAGCGCAGCTGCGTTGTAGCAGCTAAGGAGTGCCCACCGTGGCCTACAAATAGTAGCGTAGACCCAGTAGATAGATTACTTATTCAATTGAATCAAATTTACTGTTCTATATACTGTATTCTACTTCGGTGCCGCTATTCCGGCTGCCATTACTCGGAGCGTGCCAAAGCGATAGCCGTGGGATATTCACCAAATTCTGGTGGACATCCCCGACGCTGGGGTAATATTCCAACAAGGAATGTTGGAACATGAGATGTTCCTAGAAGTACGCCGCACAGCGTAGATCGTATACTGGATGTATATAAGGCCTCCGGTCCCCCATAGTTTCTCAATCAAGTCGTCAAACTCCAATAATATATCCAACAAGGAATGCGAAGCTCATAGATCACGTGAAAACACTTTATTTAGTATTTATTCTCTAATAAACATCCTCGCCTCAAGTATCCATCAGGGCCCTTTCTTATTACGACCCTATATGGCAGCGCCATAATTCTAGTTGCCATGGCTCACTCGCTCTCAATCGATGTTGACTGGACTGTACCTAGTTCCTCAGACATGGCATACATCCAAGAATGCTCTGCTGCCATCCGTGGCGAAAAACTACCGAACGACCTAAGCTTGGAAGCTACGCGCCTTTGCATAATTCGGGGCATCCGGTATCACCCTGGATTTGCTACCGAACTGTATAGCTTAGGCGACCAGTATCCAGAGCTCATTCGAGCACTCAACGCTCGCAGCATCATGAGCAACATTATTCCCAACATGAAAGAGGCGCATGAATTCCCTTACTGTATCTGGCATCCGAACGTCGCGAGCGAATCCATCTACCGCGAATTGGCGCGGCGATATCCTCAGATGCGGTATCAGGCTGGCCGTGCCTGCGCAGTTGCCGGTTATACAAGCTTGTTTCACGAGCTTGACCTCCTTCCTGAGGTCTCCATTGCAGAGGAGGCCCGTGATAATCAAGAAAGTGGGAAGGCAATATTTGATTCTATAATGGCAAGCATGGTTAAATATGCTGTTCTGGATGATTACAAGCTCTCTGCAGAACTCGACTACCCTAAAGCTGGCGCTTGCTTGAATGGTGACACAGCAGTGCGATCATCACTTGACGTGAAAAACCCGTTTGAGAGAGATGGTACATTTAGCCAATCGCTTTGGTTGTGGAGATGGAACTTATACTTTGATATAACTGAGGATGGCCACGTCGATAACTACGAAAAAGAAGACCGACCTGCTCCTGATCCACATGTGGTGCAATATCTTTACACGCCTCTGCCAGTCGACCTACCAAATATCAACAAGGATGTTCTGATTCTCCAGGCTGCTTATTCGGGAAATGTCGATAGGTACGCCCGCCTACGGCGACCACGGATGCTCCGAGGTGAATTCCAATGTGTCATGCGAGGTATATTTCACAACACTATGTTTGCTAAGTGGTGGTCTCTTCAACCTGAAGTTACCCATCATCAACACCTTCGCCAAGCAATTAATGCCAGGTTTATCATGAATAACGACTTGTCGCGTATCACTGATGACACACCTTACAGCGATCTTCCATACAACATTTATTATCCAGCGCGCCCTGCTTGGAAAACCTTGGAGGAACTTGTTCGCCGCAAACCGTCCATGGCACCACAAGTGGCTCGAGTTTGCATTGCGGCAGATATGCAAGGTGTGTACGACGGCATTAAAGCGGTTCCAGATCAGTTCTTAGTGCGCGAAGCACGCGGAAGTCTTAATAGACACTACCTTACAGACCTCCTACGCAGGGCCGCCGAGTTAGGCATTGACGTAGAAGAAAAATTATCGCATGGGGAAACTTGGAAGATTCATTTGTGGAAGTGGACAACTGAGGAAACACGCGACTGGTTAACTGATTACATTTCGTGGTTTAACAGGGATTACACAACTGAAATGGTGGGCGATCAGCCAGGTGAAGGTATTTACGAGGGTTTTGATTGTAATTTTGGACGTGTCAACCTCAATGTTTGCATTCACGACCTAACGCAGGAGAAGATGCTTGGAACGGGAGGAACTGACATTAGTCGTGATTCAGTCGAGTAGTCTATTCTAAACAGTATGATACAAACTCAATCCACTAGCTTGGAATTCTACAAGGCCAACTGTGGTGTAAACTTGCTGCATGTTTGCGCACACAATGAATGTGACCACAGACATTAGCAGTTTGTCCATGTGAGTTTGGTATTGTGGGAGAACATGACCCTCGTCTCGGAGACCGTCAACGTCAACGTCGAACAACATTCGTACTCGCAGGTGCAGTACGTGGAAGCGATGCTGTCAACGCCGTGGTGGCGAGAATAGGACTGTAGATGCTAGGGTTCTGTTCTGTTCTGTTCTGTACCTTGGCTTCTTCGCTAGGATAAATCGCCCGAGTGAACCGGATCTACTGTACTGCTGCACTGTACTGCTGCGCCGTGGAATCGTCCGATATCACACAGCCACTGCGCAGGAACCCCGTTAGATTGTGGTGGAGTTGGGATTCACAGCCATTCCAACCGTGTATCCCACATCCAGACTCACCATCACACCTTGGCACCTAAAGGAATGCGAAAACCCAGTTGCACACCCCTTCGGCGCAATAAATAATTGTCAGCAAACAGACCCGGCAAACAGACCTAAACAGACTCGGCGAATAGAAATACCACTCGTCCAATTCTACAACTTCTGGCTAATCGTCCCTATAGCCAACTCAATCCTACGAAAGGACCCTGTAGACGGCTCGTGTTGGAATTACTTTGTGCTATATAGAGTGCCTCACCATTCTGCACCGTCATTGGCTGTACTCCACCAAACGCGTTGTGTGGAGAGGTACTTCATGTCTATGCAACCATGGCCCGCTAGACCACCCGTTAGGCCCTGCAAGGCCCTCCATAGCGCCAGGCACTGGAGACGCTAATGCGGTGCAGTGCTACATTCCACTTTGGTCGATTATGTTGGATGCCATGGCTGTAATTCCAACATCTATGCAGACATCCTATGCACGTTCTAGGCAGCAGCCAGAATTGAGTCTTTGATCTCTGAACTCTACACTGCTGGGTAAATGCGCGTCTCGCCGCCAACCCCCCCCCCCCCCCAATTTCCATATTATAAAGACCCCGCAGGCGCAGATCCTGATATTGTTATCCCACCACTCCACTATCACTATCACTCCTTACTTAGGTTAGTTATAGTTGTTATATAGCACCCTTAAGGCTTAGGGCTATTATAGGTTAATTATAAGCCTTAGGCATATAGTATAAGGAAGCCTTAGGCAAATAGGGAGTTAGCTAAGTTGGAGGGGTTTCTAGTATTATTTAGCTAGGAACTAGGAGATCTATCTCTAGAGGTTAGTAATAGTAAGATAGACAATTTATAAAGGCTAGAGGCTAGATAAGAACCTACTAGAACATATACTATATACTAGGTAATGTAGTATTTACACTTAGAGCTTTCTAAGCTCTATATACATAAGATAGTAGGATCTCTATCCTTCTTATGCCCTTTAGTATACATATAGGCTTCTAATGGCATCGCCTACTTCTAGACCACAGTTTCAATTGCAATTTGAAAATGATACTATGATATTATCTAGTTATGATGTCGTAGATTCCGCATATTCCCCCTCTCCCTTCTTATGCTCATTCTTTACCTTCTTGCTCACAACGCTTAAAGCCTTGTCCTTCGTGTCTTGCATGCTTTCCTTACTATCTTCTCTCCTTCTTTTCTTAGTAACACAGTTTAAACGTAGTTCTTTAATATAGTAAGCATCCTAAAAATAGGCCTAGGAGTCTAAAGTGTTATAAGTAGTATATAACATAAGGGATATAGACATTCCTTTTTTACGCTAGTCTTAAGATGCTTTTTAATATAATTAATTAGCATAGCCAGTATTAAGGAACAGGCCGGGCGTTAGATAAACCCCCTGATTTTGGCCCTAGAAACCTAGTTATCTGCACTGTAGAAGCCAGCGTTCCCTATGGTCCTCCCAATGGGTTACTCGAGGGTTTATGGGGTTGCAGTAGGCTCTTACAAGCCTATAAATACTACGTAGCTTCATTAGAATAGGAAAAGGCAATTGAATTAATAACTCTGTTACTATATACTAAGTGGTACCTAGGCAGTCCACATCTTAAATTACCATATAGGGTTGACTACTAATGTTTATAGTTGGCTTGATTTCTCAGCAATTCTCTGGCAACTCTCCGGCATCAACGGCATGAACTACTTTTCACCGCTCATATTTAAATCACTAGGCGTAACAGGAACCGACACTGGTCTTTTCGCAACAGGAATCTACGGCGTGGTGAAATCTGTGTCTGCCACAATTTCAATGCTCTTCCTAGTCGACCGTATCGGCCGCAAAACCCTCCTACTGAGCTCGTGCGGGATCATGAGCTTTTCGCTCTTCTTCGTCGGCGCCTATGTCAAGATCACGCATCCGGACGGCTTCACGCAGCAGATCAATAGTGGTGCTATCGCTGCTATTGCATTCATATATATCTATTCCATTGGCTATGCTTCTGCCTTTGGCGGCATCCCGTACATCCTGTTAAGCGAAGCAGCGCCGTTAAATGTGCGCACAGTCAGTGCGACGCTGGGGGCATCGATGCAGTGGGTCATGAATCTGGTCATTACGAAGGCTACGCCATACATGATTAGTAGCATTGGGTATGGCACGTTTTTTTTCTTTGGCTCCTGTGTCGTTTGTGGTTGGATTTATATCTTCATTTGGGCGCCGGAGACTAAGGGCGTGTCTCTAGAGCACATGGCGGCGGCGTTTGGGCATGATGATGTGGTTGCTATTACGGAGATAGCAGCAAAGGCAAAGAACGAGCATTTTGCGCTCCCTAGGATGTAACAGGCGGAGAAAGTTTAGGGTAAGGATTTTTTAAACAGAAATTCCGGTTACTATAGAGATCTAATGTATTCTCGTAGGACTGCAAAATGGTGTACATCAGGTCCTAGAGCTGTGGCTCCCTCCGTTAACATGCCAACTACCATAAAATCGCTGTCTGTAGCAAAAAACACTACGCTAATATTATATTATATATTGTATAATGCGCTCATGTAGTTATGTGACCACAGGTATGTATACTCCTAAGCATGTCGTAGGAACCGTAAGCGCACAAGGGTGGTTCGAGAAGAGGTTGTTAGGGACCTAGAGTAGAAAGGGCGTTATAACGAGAGAAGATCTAAGCGTTACAGAAGAACTGCTTGTACTAGAGGCTTCCTTTGCAAAGTGGAGCTTTATTTGAATAATGCCTGCAAGAGATTCTCTAACCGTTGGACAATCAGTTGGAATAAAGATTTAGAAGGAGCAGTTTCGAAAATCAATCCTCTCGAGTATGGTCGTACCATGCACTTGGCCACCAACGCATTAGTCCGTATTGATGTGTTACTGCTAACGTCTTATGAAATTATAGCCTATATACTTTTGTTGCATATGCATTATGTCGTCGTTTAACATTGTATCATATTATTAACATATCTGAGAAACGTCTATCACATTTATGTGGCACACAGGTCACGATCAAATGTCGAAGCCTTTCCTCGAGAAAAATGCGGTTTCCTGTCTGAGCCAGTAGTTATTATCGTTTAATAATAAACAAATAAAGAATAAATTCTGCTTCCGTACACGAATAACCAAAACCATAATACTCTAACAGCCACAGTTTCATCAGTAGATATACACAAACTCGTCATTCTTGCGATCAGTTAGATCATGCAATGCGGCGTCGGTATTTCTGCTATCAATGTCATCCTGCGCGGTATACTGGTCCATCATGGAGCGATCAGTGATTTTCGCTGGCTTCCCGTTCGCAACACGCTTCCTCTCTTGGCCTTTGTTCATGGTGAAGAGTAAGAACCACTGTGCTAAGATAGCAGCAACCATTGCGCAGAACAAGCCCAGTACAACGCGCAGTCCTGGAAGATAGCTTGGAGCATCTGATGCTTTGAACAATAGCGGGCCAATGATGTTGCCAACAGATATACCGATGTTGTAAATAACCATTAGGACCGTCTTCTTAGTTGTTCCAGCAGTGTTACCCACGAGCCAAGTGATAAGGAGGGGGTTTCCACCAAAGAGAAACGCGAGAAGGTAGTATGCAACTAGATTAGGGGCAATGTTGGCGCTGTTTCGCGGAAGGGCATATAGCATGGCTAATCCAGCAACGACGGGGAGCATGAGGATAGCTAGGATAGCACCCTTTAGCTTCGCCTTATGTGCAGCGTAACTCGCTAGGAGAATAACCAAGAGCTGCACTGCACCAAAAGGAATGTTAAGTAGCGACGTGATGTACTTGTCAAATCCAAGTCCGTTTAGGATAAGTGGACCAAAGACATTGCTCACCGCTGCTCCAACATTAACGAGAAGAGCTAAAACAAACCAGAGGTATGTCTTTGGATCAAGGAAGACCTCGACGACTTGGCTCCATTTGAATTCGCGAGAGCCAATACCAGTATTGTTTGCGCGAAGTCGCTCAATAGCTTGAGCGCGCTCGTGTTTAGTAAGGAAGCGTGCGCTTTCCACGTCGTTGTCGAGCTTCCAGTAAACGAACGGGGCAGTAATAACAGTAACAAGTCCAACGAAAATGAAAATACTAGTGAGAAATTAGCTACTATGCGCATAGCATCCACTTCACTGGAGTGCACATAAAGGGAGGCTAGAATGAAGCTTACATCTGCCATGACCTAAGAGTGCTACTAGGAATATGACCCAGACCAAAAGAAAGTGCAGATCCAATAATGGTTGCCATGCCGTTAGTTCCATACCAAGCTGCGATACGAACTGGTTGTTCAGCGCGACGGTACCACTGACTAGTTATAACGCCAAAAAGTGGCAGACAAGCAGCTTCGAATAGACCGAGGAAGAAGCGGGAGGTGACAAGCCCAGCGTAGTTGTGAGATGCAGCCATGCAGGTCTGCGCAAGACCCCAACCAAAGATGAGTATAGACATCAAGATACGATGAGGCACCTTGACTATCACGGCAGAGGCGAAGGGGAGCCAACATAATTGAGCGATTGGGGCTATAGAGCCGACCATAGAGTACTCTGTGCCTTTCAGCTTAGTATCTTCTCGGAGGCCAAAGAGAGAAGCATATCCAAGCACTGATTTGTCGAGGATCTAGGTCAAATTAGTGGGCTGCGTGGGGCTTTGCGAGTAGAGTAGAATGCTGACCTGGAGGAAGTACACCCAGACAAGTATTGTTAAAATTGACTTGTCTGTTTTGCGAAGGATGAGTTTGTTCTATTGGCGAGCGTTAGTAATCTCTTCTGTCTCTAAGTAGATACACTTTAAAGATGGACTCACATCTTGCTCAGTGAGAACCACTCGTTCCTCGCTGACCTGAGCCCCCTTGGTGCCAGACTCTTTATCTTCGATCTGGTTTGAGCTCGTCTTGCTGTCACCGATGGATGACACGTCCTCGTTACCGTTAAGAACGTCGATTGGCGCCATTGTTGTGTTCTTACAGGAATGCGGGATGAGTCTTGATGGGAAGATGGGCTCAGAGGAGGTTAGATGATGTCGAGAGGGTCATATATTGCTCTGCACGGAACTAGTGTGTTACCCCAGACTCGCAGCTCTTCTAAGTTTGACACGGGATGCGGGGGTTAGCGGTTTCCATTACCTTCATCGAACTCAAAAGGGGAAAGATTCGGGGGTAGCGGTGAGATGTTGACAACCTCCATGATCCGCTGCGAACACAATAATAAACTGGGTGGGTTTTTTTGGGGGGGGGAGAGCTTTCGTTGCCAAGCGATCTAGCCCCCAACGCTTGGATCTTAGGGGTGTATTTGCCAATCAACAGTTCCCCACCCCCGAAATTAGGGCGGAAGTCTAGAACAGCTTAAAACAATGCAGCTGACGACAACGGCTTGCTTGGGGGAGGTAGGGCTTGGGGGAGTTTGGGGGAGTTTGGGGGAGTTTGGGGAGTTTGGAGAAGTTTGAAGAAGTTTGAGGGAGTTCGGAGGAGCGTGGGGGCGGGTAGTAGCGTGGGATATGCGGGGTAACGACATATTTGCGTTGGTACCCACTAGTAATAATCTATCGGACATTTCGGCGTTGGACCGAAAAGTCGGGACCTAGTCTGAATGTGGCGATTGGTAGTACGCGGTCTAATCGATGGGCCAGAAAACGTTGGGGGTGTTCCGAGGCAGGTCCATAACGACGCTAGGCTCAAAGCAGCTGCTACACTAATTGGAAACCCCCACGGTCCGATTTCAGGGTATGTCCGTGCAGAACAGTTAATCATCAAGTTGGCGGACAGCCACGAATTCTATCACTCATGCTTCTCATTGTTCGATTCTACTCTTCCATATCTATCAATCATACGCCTTTCCCCTTCCCCACCGTGCGACTTTCTAAAAGCCTTCATCGACTAATTGCCTCATTTCATAATGGCCAAAATCACAAGCATCGAATATTTCCGCGTTAAGCCTCGCTGGCTGATGGTCAAGATCAGTGATGACGCTGGGCAGTACGGCTGGGGTGAAGGCACCCTCGAGGGCCACGATCTCGCTGTTGAGGGTGCACTAGACGAGATGATTGTGCGACTTATTGGCCAGGAAGCAAAGTGCGTCGTTTATTCATGTTGGCTGCCTATTGAGTATACCTTGCTAACAAAATGAAGTAACATTGAGCATATATGGCAAATGTTCTGGAGACATGGCTTCTACCGTGGTGGTCCGGTCTTTATGTCTGCACTCTCTGGAATTGACATTGCCTTGTGGGATCTCAAAGGTTAGTCCCCTCCATTGAAGAATAATTGGCAGGATACGAAAGCTGAGGATCTTCGCCCAACAAAGGCCGGACTCTCGGAGTCCCAGTCTATGAGTTGCTCGGTGGGAAGGTCAGAAATAAGGTACAGGTCTACGCCTGGATTGGGGGTGACAGGCCAGCCGACGTCGAAATCGCCGCGTACGTGATCATGCACTCCTCTCACTCACGACCAATTGCTAACTCGTGCTACAGCAAAGCACGAATAGCACAGGGCCTCAAATGCGTCAAAATGAATGCAACCGAGGACACAAACTGGGTCGACTCACCCTCCGTCCTCGACGCCACAGTCGAGCGCCTCCGCATTGTAAAATCCCTAGGCCTAGACGTTGGCCTCGACTTCCACGGCCGCCTGCACAAGCCCATGGCGAAACAGCTGGCCAAAGCATTAGAACCCCACCGTCCACTCTTTATCGAAGAGCCACTTCTCTGTGAGCACCCGGAAGCCATCAAGCAGCTTGCAGACTCCACAAGCATCCCGATCGCGTTTGGCGAGCGCCTCTACACGCGTTGGGACATCAAGCGCTTCCTCGAAGACACGTCGGTCGATATTCTGCAGCCGGACATTGCGCATGCTGGCGGTATCTCCGAGACGCGGAAAATCGCCATTATGGCTGAGGCATACGACGTCGCAATCGCGCCGCATTGTCCCCTTGGCCCTGTTGCATTTGCGGCCTCGTTACAGGTTGCATTGGCGACGCCGAATTTTGCGATCTTGGAGATGAGCTTGGGCATGCATTATAATACTGAGTCGGGTGACGGAATTGATTTACTTACGTATTTGAAGGATCAGAGCGTGTTTGACATTGCGGATGGGTATGTCAACGCGCCGACAGGGGTGGGTTTAGGTATTGAGATTGATGAAGAGATGGTGAGGAAGATTAGTAAAGACACGAAGCCCTGGCAGTGTAAGGAGTTTTTTGGTCCGGACGGTAGTATAAGAGAGTGGTAGAGGGTCTATATCCACAAGGCGACTCTTTACGGGGAGGTCTTTTAGGAAATGATAAAGCTATGCTCTGTATATTCTGAATAGTTTCCGAAATTTGCTGCATGTGTTCATTATGTGTACTTTTAAATTGATGCAATTCTCTAAGCGTAATTGACGGAGGTGCTGTGCGCTATTTGGCTTTAGTAGAATTGACTTGTAACAAGGTGAACTCAAAGCTAAAAGGCTATTGAATAATTACACCTTCCCACAAACTGAGCAGTGGTAACAACCCACCATTTCCTCGAGTGCAGGGTCAAGTAAAAAACCAAATTCATAGAATAGCTTTATCTATCCAAAAGATCATCACCTAGCCCGTCTCTACGCCTCTCAAATATTAACAACGACCTTCAGCACCAAGTCCCCCTTCTTATCAACACCCCTCCCGGCCATTTTAAAAGCTTCCGGAATGCTATCCAGTCCCAAAAATCGATGCGTAATCAGCTTCGAGATATCAGGCAGGCTCCGTCCCGCATCTTTATTTTCGCCCGCGAGTACAGAGATCCCGTATGGGTATGTACTTGCGTAGCGGAAAACACCAATCAGATCCACCTCCCGTAATGCAGCGGCAGACATGGGCAGAGTCTGCACAGGCGTGCCCATCCCGATCATGATCACCTTTCCGCCTGGTCGACTTGCCTGTATTGGCATATAATCAGTACAGTTGAACCCATGCAATAAGTTGAAAATACATAAAGACGACGTACATAAATCGCAGTTTGCATGCAGGCCTCAACACCTGTGCATTCAAACACAGCATCAAAGCCTGCGAACCCCTCACCTTCCCGTACCGCTCCGACAGCTAAAGCCGCCGTCTCCCGAGCAATCTCGAGATTTTCCTCAATAGTTGATCCGCGCCTCATGGGGACCACGAAGCCGAGATCCGCAAACTCGTTCGCTGTGGCGAAATTGACGCGCCGCCCTTCGATGTCGCAGATCACGATCTTCGAGGATCCTGTCACCCGTAGCATGGCAGCTGTGAGTAATCCAACCGCCCCGGCCCCGATTACGAGCGTAGTCGCGCCTGGAGTGAGAGCTGCGCGGCGGATGCCATGGATTGCAACGCTGAGGGGCTCTACGAGAGCACCTTCTTCGGTGGAGACGGATGGTGGGAGCCTTTTAAAATCGTTCCGTCAGCCACCGATGATTTATATACGCATGAGCAGAAACACAATTGAAAAGAGGGGCATGGAACGTACCGATGGCACCACTTCGCCGGCGCATTGATCGCCTCTTGCAACGTCCCCTGGAAATGCGGGAAGCTCTTCGCGCTGCTCCGGAAGCTCATTTTTGGACAGATATTGTACCTGCCTTCCTTGCAAAGCCCACATTCCTCGCATGGCTTACCGACCTCAAGTGCGACTCTATCACCGACGGCGAATTTCCCTAAAGGCACGTCTGAGCCAATAGAGGTTACGATGCCGGAAGACTCGTGCCCAAGACTCAGAGGTTCCCGGACCAGGATATCGCCATTTGCGAAGTGGTTGTAATAGTGCTGATCCGATCCGCAGATTCCGGTGCTGCGGATTGCGATTTGCAACTCGCTAGGGAGCGGTGGCTCGAGAAAGCGTTGTTCCTGGGTTTGGGGTTCAGTTTTCAAAGGGCCATTTTGGTGCGGGGTTTGGGTTTCCTACGGTTCTGAGGTCGCGAACGCCGTGCAGGCAGGATGCCTGGATTGTTCTGGCTTCTGTAGACATTGCTTTTGGCTATTGCCCTATTAATGGTAAAGAATTTTCCTTAACTTAGAGTGATTTGAGTAAAAACTCAGTGTGAAGAGTATAATAATACATAGTTATGACAAAATATTGGCTAAGAGCTTCCGTTATTCGGGTCTCTCCCCAAAAAGGAAGCGTGGGGGTGGGCCACTCGTATTTGCTTGCTATTTTTGGGGTTGTTGGGGTTTGTAATACAGTGTAGAACAGCAAAGTTTAGTCAACTTTATCGTTTGTTTCGCCATAGCCAGAATTCTAAAAGAGCGAGTAAGAATCAATAACTGGATAGTAGAGTTCAGAGCGAAAATTATTATCCGTCGCAATTCATAAATACTTGGTTGACATTATCATATACAAGATTTAATTGTGGAATATTTCAATCTACCTTCCCATCTACCTTCCCATCCACCCACCATCAACGAGAAATATCTCCCCAGACACATACGCACACGCAGAACTCGCAAGGAAAATAACAGGGCCCTTAAAGTCATTAGGGTTGCCCCATCTGCCTGCCGGGATCCTCGATAAAACACTTTCCGCCCTCTCCTTATCGTTCTGTAACGCCTCAGTCATATCAGTTGCGATATAACCGGGCGCGATTGCGTTGACGTTGATGCCCTTGCTTGCCCATTCGTTGGAGAGAGCTTTTGTCAGTTGTGCCACTCCACCCTTTGCTGCTGCGTATGCTGGCACAGTTATCCCTCCTTGGAATGAGCATAGAGATGCCACGTTGATTATGCTTCCTCGGTGGCCCGCCGCGTTCGGTTTGCGACTGAGCATGTACGCTCCAACGTCGCGACAAAGGGTAAAGACTGTAGAGAGGTTGACTTGTAGGACCTGCGCAAAGGGGGTTAGTGTGAAGGATGAAGATTTCTGAGATTGGAGGCACGAACATCGTCCCAATCATTTTGAGGGAAGAGATGGGCAGGGTGGCGTTTTTGAATCCCGGCGCAAGTAACCAGAATATCAATGTCATGACCATCATTGAGAATCTTTCTTGTTAATGCGGAGACCTCTGTAGATGAAGCTAGGTCCGCAGTGTAGATGGTTGCCTTTCTTCCTAGCGATTCTATTTTTGATTTGGTAGCTGTGTTCGAGTTGTCTCTCTGTTACGAGTCAGCTCATGGGCATGAACGCCAGGAAGGATGGAACTACTTGAATGAGAATGATGTCTGAGCCTGCTTCGGCCAATGCAACGGCCATTGATGCGCCGATCCCACGAGTTCCGCCTGTGAACATGGCTGTCCTACCGGCCAGAGAGAACATATCCAAAATTGAAGGCGCCATACTGATCCTGGATAGTTAAAGCTGTTGCGATATATTGCGTTTTGCTGCGGAGAGGGAGTATCGGAGGATTGTATTTTATAGCATTGGTGACATGGCGGTACGGAGAGGAAGAGTCCGAGGATAATGTTTCATAGTATTAGTGGCATGGCGGTACGAAACATTGTCTTGAACAGGCTGGCGGTTCCACGATTGGGATTATTGGGGTGACCCCCTTGGGAAGTGAGGGGGGAATGCAGGGGTGATTGGAGAGGAGTAAGCTAGAGCCGGCTAAACTGCGGAGTCCAACTCAACCGTGTTAGCGTGGTTGATGGAGCATATGTACCCCAATTTTAGTGCAAGGCCGGCCGGAGTTTAGTGGCAGGGTCTTGGTGGAGTCGGGCAAAACTGACGCTTTAGAAAGTGCGAATGTTGAGTACCACCGTAATTAAATTACACTATCATTGAGTTACCCGCTGTGAAGCTGTGTACTCGCAGTATTGGTAGTGGTGAGGTGGACACTCGTCATCGGCCAAAATTACATGTGAAGACGGCAGATGCAGTATTAACTTCGCAGGTAAGTGCATTATCTTCATGCCTCATTTCACGGACTTGATGTCTGTTTTAAATACACGTTCAACTCCGTAAGAAGCGTATATATAGTCTCCATGATAGGCACCTTCATGCCGAACTCCCTAGCCTTCCTCAGCGGTGTGCCCAAAATGATATCAACTTCCATCTGTCTTCCGGCCACGCGGTCAGCATGCATGCTGCTATGAATCCCCGGCATCTTCAATATCTTATTGATTAGCTCGTCAATCAAATCGTAGGATAAGGGTATACCGCATTTGCGCGCTACGTCAATGACTTCTGTCATTAATTGGCGGGTTAAGGACATCCCGCCTTCAGAACTGAGCCAGGATTGCGTGTCAAGGAGCGTTAGGGTCGTGACTGAGTTCCAGGCGGCATTCCAGACTACTTTTTCCCACCGCTTGATTTGCATGTCTTCAACAACGTCGAAAGGTGTTCCGCCGGCCCTCAAGAAACCTGTGAAGGCGTCCAAACAACCCTGTTCCAGTGCGTTGTCTACCTTTTCGTTTGGATACAGTCCAATTTGAGTATGTTCAGATTTGGTGTGCGTGATCACCCCGGGCGAAGTTTGGAGAGCACCAACCCATGTCTACGGTGCGTTAGGAGTGATAAAATATGGTAAAATGAGGTCAAGAAAACTCACAACGCATGTGATGATGGTGACATCAGGAAAGGCCTGCCTAAACGGCTCCTCATTTCCTACTCCATTTTGTATCACGACAAGGGTTGTTTTCTTTGCGTCGACGGCTGGTGCTACCTGTGCCGGTACTGAACTTTGATCAATTGCTTTGTGTGAGCACACTACGTAATCGAATGTCCCCCTTGCTTCTGCGGGAGTTTTTACTACTATATGTCTTGTCAGTCTATAACTTGAAAGATTGTCTGGGTCGTAGCGCGTATACCATTGTATGGGCGAAACGTATGTGACCCGTAAACTTCACTGTTGATGGTGAGACCCTGAGTGCCGATGCATTAGCTTTTTCGTTCTGATCGGGGCCTCCTGTTGTTGTGTTGTAATACACACATTCATTTTAACAGCGTCGTAATTTGATCGGGCAACCACCGTCAGACGAACATTTTCCGACTTGGTGAGTATGTAGGCGTAGAAGGACCCAATGCTGTGTAGTGCTGGTCAGCTCCGAATAGGCCACGATACAGGATACATCGACAAATTCCCACCAGGCAGACTTACGCCCCAAGCCCAAAAAGCAGCACATCAACTGCTTCGCTCATCCTGGTCAGTATCGAGTGATTTTTCGATATCGTAGAAGTAAATGTGTAAAGTGATAGATGTCGGTAGGAGGGAGTGGTCACGTAAGTTGGAGAAACTATTATTCTTTGAGGACGAGATAAGTCGTGACTACGAACAAAACGCCAAGCGCAACCCCCACGGCCCCGGATTGGATCTGCCGAACTAATGCATGGGCACCACACGATCCTGCAGGTCATCGGAGGCTGATTGCCATGGGTAGTGCGGGGTTGTTTGGGGGCCCCACGCGGTTGGGGGTCATGGCTTTCTTGGCGTTTGAACCATTACGTTGTGGTGATCTCGGATTGTTGCCGAGGTCTCGCGATTTTGGCGCGCCTGCAGTAATCTCGCGCTCTGCAAGCTATTGCCTATGTTCATGGAGACTTCGCTACGTTCAACACAATCACCTGTCCTAGGCCGTACTGGCACTACTTGCCATCCCTTGCGACCGAGAGAATGCAGTTACGTTACGCGCAAGAAGAGTAAGTCAACAAACCTCACGTGAGCTCTGTTAGGAGGAGGCCACATCGATCAGATAATTCAGATGCTTGTATAGAACTCAACGCTAATGCTAGTTCTATATTTCAAATCATAGACTGTTTTCTAACTGCATTAACTCCGCAAGCTCAGAATTCATCGTCTCCAGATCCTTTTTTTCAGGAAGGGCACACGGTCTCCTCGGGAGGCCGCCATAGCCATAATAGGCCTGCAGTCCCACCTTTACAGCGACAAACCCTCCCTTGATAGCAACCCAATCCCCTCTGGCAACAACATGCTGCATTCTTACTGCTTCGGCCGCCTTCCCGGCGTTTTGAAGCTGCAAGACCTTGAGGCATGCCTTTGGGGCAATATTTGCCAATCCTCCAATGATCCCATGACCACCCACAACCGCTGTCTGCAGCGTAAAGTCTGCCGAGCCGCCTAGAGTTAAAAAGGGGGCTGATGCGTCAGCAGCAACGCGAGCAAGTTTACCCGTATTTCCACAAGTCAGCTTCACGCCGACGATGTTCTTATGCTGCGACAAGGTAATAATTGCCTCGGAGTTGAGATCGAGCCCGCTACAGGCGCTGGGGAAGTTGTAGATGATAATCGGGATGGGTGATGCGTCTGCGACGTCTCTAAAGTGCTGAATGATCAACTCCTTAGTGAGGAGGCCACCGTAATAGCTGGGCGGAAGAACGAGCGTGAATTGGCCGCCTGATTCCGAGGCTTCTTTGCAAAGCTGTATTGTCTCGCGTGTTGATTGTGCGCCGCAGCCCACGATGAGTGGCATGTCTGAGCGGCCGACAGAGTTCATAGCCTCGCGGGTTGCGCTGTTGATTTGCATGCGCTCATTGTGGGAAAGATGGACTGCTTCGCCGTTGCTGCCATGTGTGACGAGACCAGTGACCCCCTCCTGCGAGAGCCGGATTGCATGTTTTCTTGTTGTGGCGAGGTCGATAGCTTCGGTATCTGGATCAAAGAATGCGACTGTTGGGACGTAGAAGCCAGGGATGAGTTTCACACCTGCGCTTTGCGGAAATTCCTGTGAGTGGCCGTTTGCCCGGCTCATGGAAGGCTCGAGAATTGATGGTGTCATGGTGCTTTGTTGGGAAGTAGTACTTGAAGATATCATGAAGGTTTTGAAGGCTAAAAACACCAGACCTGTCACAGAATTATGTTTCTCGTTGGTGGATGCAAAGTCGACAAATGATATTGGGCTCCTGCCAAGCGGTTTGTGGGCTCGTTACGAAGGTAGTGAGTGTTCTTTAAGAAAGTGGGCAGACACTCCTCAAATGCCCTCTAGTAGCCGCCCGACATTCCTCCCAGGTGAAGGATGGCAACCCACAGCTTCTTGACGGCCTAGCTATCTCACTCTTCAAAGTCGTCTGTTTGTCAATTGCCGCTGTTGAACCCCCACACTAATGAGATGTGAACTAGCATGAAATCAAGTGTCGCGTGTCGGTTTTGTGTAAGGGGGGGTTGGGGTTCTGGTGGGTTGTGGGAACGGCGGGCAACCAGAGTTTGGTCCCGTCGCCTTACCATGCCATTCATTCCCCGCGCTGCCCCCAAATTTAAGTCGGAAGCCACTCAACGACTATTGCCAACAGTCAACCCCGCGGGTCAGCGCCGGTACTGCAAACTCCCACTTTTAACTCTACTTTCCACTTCTGGCCTCCTGCTTCCTGCACCCCAAATTTAGTGCTGCGTAACCAAACTTTTTATGCCCCTCCGTATCGCGAGGCGTGCGGCAGGATGGTCTAGAAAACTGCGGATCTATCGAAGATCACGCGATCAGCTTGGGCTAGACGTGCAGAGAATATTGAATCATAGACGTACCTTCAAAGACGGGACTACGTTTTGGGTCTGCGGATTCCTCTCTACCCCAATACCCCCGAGGACTAGGATTTGAACCCCATAGGCTTGGCGAAAAATTGAGTTGAGCAATACACTTATCATTTTAATTACGACCGTGCCTTTTCCTAAATTTGAGGGGCGTGGGGTGGCTATTTGTGAATTTTCAGTTGTCTGTTGATGGAGTTGGGGGCAATTCGCTTCGGAGTAATTATTTCCGCGACGATTTCGTACTGGGCTCTGCGAGCGGGTCGCGTTGTCAAAATATATATATGTACAGATGTGTATAATCAGATAATTAGAAATTGCTAAGGATAATATCAAATAACGCATTGTTGATTGTAACTCCGTACCGTTCTCCCAGCTCCCAAGATAAATTTGAGGTCAGCATTATGGCTTGTAAGCGCACTATTTCTCACGCCTCACTCAACCCAACTAACCTCGCAACAGCAAAACACTTTCATAATGATCCCAATCACTTGGTCGTTGCTGCGCTAAGATCCCTCACAAAGATCAACCCTTCAGTAGCAGTTGATGAGAAGCACAAAATAGTCTACCTCAAAAAGCCAAAGAGCAACCAGGTTTCAGTCATATCGGGCGGGGGCAGCGGGCACGAACCAGCGTTCGCAGCATACGTCGGCCATGGGATGTTAAGCGGTGCCGTGGCGGGATCAATTTTTGCAAGCCCTTCTACAGTGCAGATTTACCAATGTCTAATGCGGCGCGTGGACAATACGCAGGGGGTCATGGTTATCGTCATGAATTATACCGGTGACGCATTGCATTTCGGCATGGCGGTTGAGAAATGTCGAGCGCAAGGTATTAAGATTGACATGTTGGTTGTGGGCGACGACGTAGGTGTTGGGAGAGCGAAAAGCGGTAGACTGGGGAGACGAGGTATTGCTGGCACAGTGCTAGTTCACAAGATTGCTTGTGCTTTAGCCGCAACCGGGTACGTGGTCTGTCTGTTCTTGGGAAGTGGTAATTGCTGACGAGATGGCATAAAGAGCCTCTCTAGACGCAGTTTCCAATGTTGCCAATCTTGTCTCCTCGAACCTTGTTACCGTCGGGGCTTCTCTTGCGCATGTTCACCTTCCCGGTCGCGCACTAGCTCGAGATGACTTCAACGCAGACGACGATATTGAGCTTGGGATGGGCATTCATAACGAAGAAGGATGCAGGCGCTTGAAAACTGGTCTCCCTGGCCTTGTCAAAGAGATGCTTGCCCAACTTTTAGATACAACCGATAAAGACCGCGCATACGTTGACATTAAGCCAGGGGAACCAACCGTGCTACTCATCAACAATCTGGGAGGCGTGAGTGGACTAGAATTCGGTTGTATAACTGATGAAGTTTGCTCTCAACTAAAAAATAGTTATTCCCTCCAGCCAGTCCGAATTTTAACTGGGACTTTCATGTCAAGCCTTAACGGCTTGGGATTTAGCGTTTCGCTTCTTAGATTGGTAGACACGGGTCTAGAGTCTCAAATTTCGATGCTGAAATTATTAGACGCGCCGGCACAGGCCACTGGCTGGTCAGCTGCTGTTCAACCAAGTACATGGGTTGATAAGGTAGAGGATAGACAGCAGCCAAATGAAGAGGCTATAGGAGAGTTTCAGTCTAGCAATCTGACCTGCTAGTACCCCCAAGACTCTTCTCGTATCATGACTCAACTGACTGGCAAGCAGTTAATACTAGTCGAGCAATTAAAGCGTTAGAGTCAGGCCTCGTCGGCTTAATCTCTGCTGAACCAGAAATCACAAAGTATGACACTATGGTCGGTGATGGCGACTGTGGACTCTGTCTGAAAGCCGGCGCAGAAGCTGTTCTCGCTCATATCAAGAAAGATAGAATGTCCAGCGACGTTGCCCAATTTGTCAGCCAGATTGCGTACATCGTGGAATCAAGTATGGATGGGACATCAGGGGCAATATACGCCATCTTTTTAAACTCCTTGGCATACAGTCTTTCCCTTCAAGAAACGCCTACACTAAGCCGAGTAACAGCTGAGGTGTGGTCAAATGCTCTAAAGGGTGCTCTTAAATCTCTAGGTAAATATACACCCGCCCAGCCTGGAGATCGTACCCTAGTGGATGCTTTGCAACCGTTTGTGGAGAAGATGGTTGAAACGCAGGATGTGGTAATGGCTGTGGCAGCAGCAAGGAAGGGATGCGAGAGCACGAGAGGGATGGAAGCCAGCTTAGGTCGCTCAGTGTACGTTGGTGGTGATGACTGGAAGAATTGTCCAGATCCTGGTGCTGCAGGTCTCGTGGAATTCTTGTCTGGGTTAATCAGTGGACTTTAGAAACATAAGACATCTCCAACCCAGAAGAATACTAGTAGCGAGGGTATGCGTCAATTATTAGCGTCGTATAATGCAGAGGGTTTAATTCCGCCCAGTAATCGTTTTCGGCACATGCTCTATCGGTATCCACTAACTATACTTGTACATTCCAACCTTGGAATGTATTGTCTTGGAAGACAATAACGGCCTCGTGTGAGTGGGGTACGTGGGGGTAAATCGCGTGGGGTCAACCACGCCCGCCACCTCCCCGCACTTGGGCTTGGGCTTGCATGGGTCCTTCTGGCTTGCTCCTGGCGGGTTAAACTCCAGGCTGCTGCTTAAGTTGCACACTTCAGCCAGCTTCGACTCAAAACTTTTTGAAACTCAGTAACATCTGAAATTTGATATTATAAGGATGAGCCAATCCCACATAACTTTCGACCATGAGGACAGCGCTTCGACATCGTCGAAACATTCCTCCTCTAGAAGACAGGCCCGCCGCCGGCGGTCCTCTAGAGTGTACCAATGCCTAGTAGAGGGTTGTAGCAAGGTTTACTCTCGAGCAGAGCATCTGTAAGAAACACTGGATTTCTAATTACTTGGAGACCTGCCCTGGTGCAAGATATACTCATACTTTTTGTGCAGAAGCCGTCATCAATTAAATCACGACCCAAAGGAGATTTTCAGATGCCATGTTCCAAATTGCTGCCGCAGTTTTGTTCGAGAGGACTTGCACAGTCGGCACGAGACTCGTCACATGAGTGAGTTTTTGCAGCAACACAGCGGCAGTTCGAAGACGCCATGTACCAACCACAGTGTAAGGTTTATAAACTTGCTTTAAATCCAGCCTGGTAATCTAATATCTGGCGCAGGGCTCGACACGATCCCCGGAGTTGATGGACTATACCTCCGATGTTACTTTAGATCCAGATTGTCCAGTCCAGATACGACCGCAATATCCTCCAAACGGGGCGCAGACAGGCTGTCACTATGTTAAATCAACAGCAATGCAGCAACCTGGACCCCAAGACACATCCGCTTTCATCGTTCATGAGGTACCTAATCCACTGCCAATAAATTCCAACCAATTAAACCAAAATATCACCCTATTCCAGCAAGAACAGCTTCCAGATATTGGAATCTGGAGAACCGGATTGCCAGCCCCAACAGCGATACCTCAGTTTAGTGGTGACAGATACTCTCGTTCGGTATTTACGATGCCTGATGATTTTATACAGTTTCTTTTCGACGGAAACCAACCAAACAACTCAAGGAATGGTGATAATTTAAGTACGGGGAGTTTTCCAAGGTGAGCTTGCCTTCGTGACATAGATGCAGCTTGTCTAAAGCTGTGCGTGCAGTGGATGGTTAACTGATATAAACAGCTGCATAAATACACAAAGCCAATTTTCCGAAAGCCCTAATCCTGATATTTTTAGCGAGAGCTATCTTCCTCAGTTTCCTTTAACTATAGGAACGGCATCCTATGAGACCAACCTCCCTTCAGCGGCCCTATCAAATGAGAAGAGCAAAGAAATTTTCAATCTGATACGAGATAGGCTTACTGGCAATAAGCATACTCCTGAGTTAAATTTCCAGAACAGCACCCTCCACAGAGATCCCTCCCAGGATTTGAATATTATGAGTCAAAACATGATGCAAGAATATATCAATAGTTATTGGATGAACTTCCACTCTCAGTTGCCAATCTGTAAGTATACCACTGTCAAAGAATATAAACCGAGAGTAACAAAACATGATTAGTGCACCGACCAACGTTCTCTCCAGACAAAACCCCTAATCTTCTCTTGGTTGCTATCATGATTATCGGCGCGTCTTGCTCCATGAAATCGGAGGATCATGCTCTGGCCAGGTCGGCAACTGAATTCTCGACAATTCTAGCGTGGTATTTGAGATGGGAGGTCTTCAGCAGCATGCATATACAGACAAACAATCTCTGGGTATTCCAAACACTGCTGCTCCTCGAGACATATGAGAAAACATGCTCTTCGAGGGCTCTCCATGAACGAGCACACATCCATCACGCCACGGCTATAACGTTAATGCGTCGAGGAAGCTTCCTAGTCGGAAGTTCTCCATTGGACACACCTCCAAACCAAGAAGAAAATGATCCCGAAAACCAGACGTCGAGGTCATCTTCAGATTTGTGGTGGGAGAAGTGGATAGAGAGGGAAGCTACCCGACGTGTTGCTTTCGCAGCTTTCATGATTGACTCTACTCATGCAGCAATGTTCGGGCATTCAATGATTATGGTTACGCATGAGATGCGCCTAGTATTGCCTTGTGATGACGCCTTATGGTCGGCAACGAGCGTTGACGAAGTACGTAAGGTTGAGACCATGCTTCGTTTAAATGGCGTTAAACCTCTGCCTTTCGTCGAGGGTCTACAAAGAACTTTAAATGACCAAGAGATCCATACCAATGCCTTTGGAAGATCAATTTTGCTATGTGGGTTGCTCAGTGTAAGCTGGCACATGAATCAACGGGAGATGCAGATTAGCTCTCTTGACGTGAAGTCGAACGGAGCAGACAGAGGTACCAAGTGGCGGAGATCCATCACAAGAGCGTTTGATCTGTGGAGAGGAACGTACGAACACACAACACAATCTATCTCAAACGATATGTCCAAATGGACCCAAGATGCCGACGCCCTCCTTGGGTCCAGGTCTGCTCTCTTCCATTTAGCTCAGTTAAGCGTTCATGCAAACATTCTGGAATGCCAGATAACCGCTGGAGCAAACCGGGTGCTAGGTCGAATTATGCGGAAGCAAGAAGTTGAGACTGCACGACGGCGAATCCAGAATGAGTGGGCGCCGACTATGGAAGCTCGTAAAGCCACGTTTTACGCCATTCGATTTTTATGCTCGGTTTTTTGCAAGTCGACAGAAAGCAATCAAGTCTGTGATCACAATTTCATTACTAACTATGCAACGAGTAATACCACACTGCCTATTCATCGATGGGTGCTTTATTATGCTGCTTTGGTAGTGTGGTGTTACAGTTACGTCGCTGATGGGCCTGCACATGTGCCAGCATCGCTGGGATCTACCATCGACGATCACATCCAAGATATGCAGCACTTTTTGAGATCGACTGAGAGGATCAAATCCCCAGAGGATGTAGCCTTCCACCGTCTTAATGGCTGCACAGGAATGCTAAAGGTGTTGTGCTATATCTTCCGCATGGGTACATGGGAGTTGCTACACGAGGGGGCGGATTTGTTAACTAATTGCATAAAGTTGATAAACAGCACGGAGTAAAAGGATTTATACTTGATAGATTACATATGATATCTGCTTGATAACAAATCCACACTACTTTTATTAGAATGAGAGCTATGCTATACTATTACAGGGCTCTAGAGGGGTACCCTTAGGCAGAGAACAGGGTAGACTAAACTATACATGGTTTGATATGTAATACTAACTATCAAACTATAATACACATAACGTTCATATATAGTAAACTATGCTACGGCAAGCGGGGCGCGGCTTTCAGCGTCCTGGCTCACATTGGTTTAGCGCCTCTACTTCGGGTGGATTAGATGAACTTTATTGTCTATGATTTCCAAGGTGATGCCAGCAGCATTAGTTACCGCGTTTAGCGTAAGTTCGGTGTAGTAGTCGTCTGAGGATTCCTTGCTTGTCGAGTTCATCTGCGTCGCCAGCGCGGCCTCCAATTCTTTCAGTGTTAAAGGTCTGCGGCCATACACAACCCATGCTAGAATGCACTGTACGCGGCGGTTTCACCATCCCTCCTACCACAAAAACACGAGCGAAATGCACATCGTCCACCTCCCCGCGCCAAAACAGCGAACACTCACCCTCTCTTGTGAGCGTCATCCAGCTCTTCCGCCTATGTAGCATACATCTGCTTTCAGCTGCCCTCCCTAGTCATCACCCTGTTTCCCTTGTAACTGTGATTTTCCTTACACCAACATTACCACCCTGGTCATCTCTTCACCGTATAACATTCTTAACGCAGGACAGCATCGGTTTTTTTTTCATTAGCGAACTGACAGCAGGAGCCTTTTCAACCGCTGCGCTTGTTGGTAACTATTAGAACTCTTCTCCGGTTTGATTCTTATAATACTGACTACAAGGCACTAGCCACGTTTTTCATCGTCGATCGCAAGGCCGACTTCAACGCGCATGTCGATGCTCCAGTGGAGGGTGAAGCCCAAATTCCAAATTATTTAGAAAAGGTTTAGATGAAACAGCTACTAGGATTTAGAGACGGCACCGGCGCCTAATGCAAATACCTATTCCCCTGCCACAGTATTTGTCTTGGGTACAAATAATGATTGAACACAGTGGTAAGAACTATTAAATGGTACGGCAAGGCTATGAGTTCAGATCATGAAATTTAAGATACGCCTTAGTGGTCTTCTTTGTCTAATATTATTGCTCTTATGGAGGTTTGTAACTAAATATCAACTGATCTCGTTCATGTGCCGTCATTGCTGATCAAATACCATCATAAGTTTCTCCTTGTATGGTAGATCTCATCATCTGCAATCCCAAGTTGGTCCTTCGAGTCTAGAGGATTGGATGACTACAAGTGAATCTCATCCTTATTGGAATTGACTTGAAATATGCGTAGTTTGGCTGTTGTGTCTTTCTTATCAATTCGGGCCGTCTGTAATACCCAATGAGTTCACGCATACAAATATAAACTATAATTAAACAATGCAGTGAGACCTGTAGTTGCAACTATAAATACCGCCTGTGCTTTGCATGATACTTTTTTGTCTGCATCGCGAACAAGAAATAATGGGCTCGCAATGCATAAATCCATGAAATAGACGTGTGAAATTAGATAAAGACGTTGTATCGTTTTCGCTGAGGAAGATCGATAACTTGGATCGTAAGTGATGGGGAGAGTTCTAACACATCTTTTAGGCCACGCACTACTTACATACTATCCTCTACGCCTGTTTATAGGTCTCTCCCTGCTTCACCTACTGCCAACCCCTATCGCTAGGAGCAAACTATATTAAACGAAGCATAAGTCCAAGGTTTGATGCATTTCATTACTTGCGCGAAAGCCCCCCCTTAATAACCAGGACAGTCAGTGGCGTAGATGGTATCTGGATCATTGCTAGCACCGGATTAAATTTGGTATCTCAGATGCAAGAACGTATTAAACTCTTGCATAAGATTCGGATTTTCAGCAAATAGTTCTGATATACAGCTGACGATATCACTTCACACGTTACATTTTTTAGTGATTCTATAATCTCTGCAAATATTCTGGTTCAAGTATATAATTCCTATCCTAAACCCGCTCTTTGGTATTGCTTAGCGTTGATTAAGACCCAATTCCTGCATGATTATATCTGCAGCTTTCTCACCAATAACTAAAGCTGTGTTGTTGGTGTTCGCCCCAACATTCTCGGGTGCAATACTCATGTCAGCAACCTTCAACCCCTTAACGCCATGGACGTCGAGATTAGGTTTGACAACACCCATTTCCTCCAGCGGAGCCATCTTGGCAGTTCCCAGCGAGTGCCAAGTAGTATTAACGTTCTCACGCAGCCATTCCTCAATTGCTTTGTCATCTTCGGCTGAGTATTTCAGGTCGCACACATCATTAAGGGGGCCGTTTGTCTCCACACAAGCGGCATTAGACCCAGCTGGAAATCGTGGGTGGCCGAGGGCCAGTTCGCCCCTATACATCTTAGTGCGACGCATGATCTCACGTTGCTTCTTATACGCCCAAATCTGTTTCTTCAGGTCGATATCGTGTGGGTCGGTAAAGAAGCCGACATCGAAATCAAGTCGATCACTATGGTCGGACCCAGTAATGTGCATATGGCCTCGAGAATAAGGGTAGGCTGTGTAGTTTCCGATAGTGACGTATTGTCCAGCCGGAACCGAGCTTGGGTCACCAAGAAAACTTCTACTGGTTAGCATATCTAGTATCTGGATATTGTCAAACTCGAACCCTTACCATGAGACTAGACCCATAAGCATGAGTGGCTTGTTTGGAGCATTCTTGAAATCTCGGTCCCAGGCAGCCTGAAACTCAGGACCTAGAGCTGAAACCTCATCATCGGTGGGCCGGACCTTGGACGAAATGTCAATTGAATTCCAGCCCATAATCTTGTCGTTCTTCGCAATGAGCTCTGCTGCATCTGCCCGACCGCTAAGTATCCCATCAATAGTCTCGTCGGCCGCTAGATTTGTCCTGTATGGATATAGTACCAAATGGTGATCTTGATAGTCATTACCTACGCCAGGGAGATCTACAACAACAGGGACACCTGCGCGTTCTAGAACCTCTGCGTTACCCACACCAGACCGCTCCAACACAGCCGGAGTCCCACAAGCTCCGCAAGAGATAACGACCAGCTTCCGGGCCTTCACTGTTTGCTTTGGGTGCTTGGTGAGGCTTATGCCGGCCGCCTGGAAGTCTGGGTTAGGTGTGTATTCAACTCCCACTGCTCGACCTGAGTCGTCAACCACGGCCCGTACAACTTTAGCCTCCACAAGCACGTGAAGGTTGGGGTAGGCGTTGCTATCCTGAAGCTTAGGGTGAAGGTACGTATGAGCGGTGTCTTGACGTTTGCCGTCTGGCGAGACGTAACGCAGCCACCGCTCGACACCATTGTTGGCATCGAGGTTCTGCAGATCCTTTATCTCAGGGTATCCAACCTTTTGTGCAGCATCAATAAAGTCGGTTTCCGGCCGCGAAGCACGGTAGGTGCTATTAGATACGTGGATTGGACCATCAAATCCATGATGCTCTTTCTCGCCAGGGCCGTGATATGTTTCCAGCTACTAGGTTGTTAGCGAGTACTCGTCAAGTAAAATCAAATATATTGACTCAAGAAGCCGGACCTTTTTCATGAATGGCAACAGTTCGTCTGCTGACCACCCAGCGGTTTTCCACGAGTCGAAGTCAGAGCGCTGAGCTCGAGTGTACATCATAAAGTTGATAGATGATCCACCGCCGAGGATACCTCCGGAGGGAACGATGGGCTCCCGATCCGCCAGTTGCTTTGCCTTATTACCCTTGTAGAATATGGCTGTCGTGCTATTGGGCGCGAGATTTTGTAGAAACAAGGCCGGGTAGATAACGCTTGCCACATTGTAATTGTTGGCACCACCCTCGATGACTAGGATGGACAGGTTCGGATCCGCTTCAGCCAGTCTTGCGGCAATAATACAACTAGCCGTTCCACCTAGAATTTGCGATGAGCTTCACGCAAACCGGACGACTGGGAAAGGGTAGATATTTTCTCACCTCCGGCAATGATCACATCCACCTCATCGATACCCTCTGCTAGCTTGGTGTGCAAACCCATTGTGAATTCAGCTGGAGCGACAGATGTCTATACAAAATAAGATGTTCGAGCTATAAAATCAGATTTCTCTATATTCAGTCGAGAATAGGCCCCTAGCTTTATAGTTCTCCAAAGGGTCGCGGCTGTACCCCGCACCGTGTGGGGTTGGCCCATTGCCATAACACAAGCCAAGACTTGGCTGTTATTCGCCTCGAATTCCAACTATGGATTCGGACGGTAGCAAATGCTGCAGTTGGGCTCCAAAGTTCAAAACAGCTTGCGTGGGTCCGGTGTGATTTCTATCCACTTGGGCACGGCGGAGTATGGCGATCTCTCGCTCATAGACCGAGAGACCCTTAGAGTTCCTGTCGAGTGAAACCGGATGTACTTTGTAGCACTAACCGGAAGTTTCACCGGTTCCTGAAGTTCGTTGCATGTAAGTTACGGCTGGGATTTGCATATTTCTGAAATATTCAATGACTTTTGTTCCTTACCAAATGAAGATGTCTCTACTTTTCTTCACATTTTCCCTCCGCATTATTAAAGCTAAGCTCAAGTACATCCAACTAAATATATCTAAGTTTAATTGGGAAATACATAAGTATACCTAGATAAGAATGAGTGCTCCGGAAGTGCTCGTATAATGTCTACGGAGCAACGCAGCGAGAACGGTCTTTATTCTATATCAATCTCTTATACGTGGGGCAAGCTGGAGTTAGGAGTCAAACATCCTTCGTATCCCTAAATCAAATATGCAGATGCCCCTGCAACGAAGTGTACTGAATATAAATAACATGCAGGAGGTGCAAGGTTGGCATCTGCACCAATCGGTCATCCCTTTCTAATACGTTATGCGTATTGCGAAGCCTAAGGACCCCTGTATTTTGTTCGGAATTATGTTATGAACTGCGGTGAACATTCTTAGTGACCCAACCTATTTTCGGAATGTGTCCGGTGGCGTCTCCACTATCGGCAAGTTACTAGCCTCCGCCACTATGTCTGCTAGAGTCCTTAGCGGCTCGATCTCAACTGCCACTTTGCTTCATTTTGACATCTCAACATAGGGGCCAATGAAAGCCGAGGTACAGTTAAAAACTAGTTACAACGATGCATCACTTTAGTATTGTTATAACCAGTAATAGACAGGAGTTTCCGTACTCCGTTACAAACAGGTATATCGCTTTATATGTGGTCGTTATAAGAGGGGTTTGACTGCAGGTCGCCATTAGAGTAGAGGATATAGATCTATGAAAGTACACGCCGTCTATAACAAAGTTTATTAGAAATATATATATTGTTCTTATAGTAATGCATACAAGACTGTGGGATAATTCAGGAATGGGCGGCACAGACAGCTGAGTCGACCAACAGCTTCCAGTACACGCTCAAAACTGATCTTGTTGATGATCATTCTTTAATTTGCGAGTGGACGACTGCGAACTTTTGTCTTCATCATTTTCCTCGTCGCGCCGCCTCGAAATCACTTTGGTCTGGACCATCTTTGTGATTCCATGTCCTGAATACCGCTTCTGGGCCCCTTCTGGCGATGTTTCGATATAATTTCTATTGATAGGGAAAGGGTCCGTTGGTTGCTGCCGGTTGTTACTTTTTGCTTGTTCTTTGGCGGTTTCCTCCCTATTTTGCCTCGAGCGTAATTCTGTACCGTCCGCATAAGAAGGGTGGTCGTTTGATGCCCGGACGACCTTGACAATAAGGTCGGCGATGTTCATCTCGATATGAAGCTTGAGCATATAGACCAGCGGGTGGAATTGGACGTAGCTAGATGGGAATCAGCACATACATAAATGGGCGACGTGGTTCTTGTGCGACGTACATAATACCGTTGGGAATCGACATGCTACCAATGAGGATAATCTGGGTGCATTAGCTTTAGCCATAGTCGTTCGTACCACGAGTTGATACAAAGCTGCACTTACATCCAAGCTCATCGACACGCCAACCATAAACATGTTGAACTTAAACAGCGGCATATACTTGGTAAGGCCGCAGGCGATCAATTTGGTTCGAACCAAATATATGAAATAAAAGTTGAGGGCCGCATCGACGAATAGAAAAAGGACCTTTTCAATCCTGTCCCAGATCTCGTTAACGTAGACAAAAGTGGTGGAAATCTGTAATCGAGCCGGAATCCAGATGCAGAACACGCTGATATTGATTAGACCCAGAATAATAGCCACAGACCATCTAATCTTTGCAGCCATGCGACGGTCGACCATCAAAAGAGCGATTCGATTGACAATGATTCCGCATATACACTGGATCTGAATTACCCAGAGGCACACTAGAGTCCCAGTTAACAGGGCACCAAGGGATAGAGTGATCGGGTATCCTCACAAAACGCAAAATAAACCCAGAAGCTATTCCGCAGTACAAGTCAATAACATATTCACTTTGGCCAAACCACCTCATCTTGCATACCTTGCTCGGACGATTCCTCGGATGAAGAGCCAGGACAAAACTCCAATAACTGTGGAGGAAGTCCATTCCGCCCACACCATGACGGCATAGGGCTGAATTCGACGAGACCGTTTCCATAGTGTCGTAGTTTGTTGGAACGCTTTAGCACCAGCGAACAGTCCAGACGCCAGCGTAAATCCCCAGATAATGCTTGCGATCAAGAGGTCATCTAGAGTTGGAACGGCCTCTTTATACCATGATGGGATGAGGAATCCAGCCATTGCATAGAAGCGAAGATAGTCGTGGTTTTTGCAAGATGTCGGCGAATCACTCTAATGAGAAAAGAGAACAAGTTAAGCAAAAGTGAATTGAGGTTAATAAGTAAGATTTTAAAATCAGATATTGAAGTCGTCCTCGATCGCATGGGTTATCCTATTCGAGAACAACCTAGTTATGGGGCCCTATATTGTTAGTAACTGTTAATATCCTCTTCTAGGCCTGAAACGGATTCCCTACCATCTTTTTTTGCTGGTTGGTTGAGAGCATTACAGGATCGACGATCGTTATTCTATATCTACATAGAACCTGTGAAATGTAACATTATCATGTCTCTCTGGAAACTAGTTCGTGCGACGGAATATAGTCCCGCCTGGATGTATGGGGTGCGGTGACAGGGCAGTGTCTCAGGAAAGGGGCCGGGTAGCTAGTGAGGTCGGATAGCTAGGGTGGTGCACTGTTCACAGGCCAGTGGATACAATCACCAACAATTCTCGAGAATTGCCCAGCTACCTCAACCCAGACCACCGTACTGTAATAGAAGCAACCTTGGTTAACCCAATCATAGCCTAGCATACACGCCAATCTGGGCGCCGTGTCAACCTCCCCGATTGGGTTATTATCGGCATGTCATTCTCGGCAGCCTAGGAGCATGCGTCAGCTCGGCAGCGTGTGGTGTGCATTCGACGGCGAAGGATCTGCAATACTGTGGTGTGCATTCGACGGCGAAGGATCTGTAATTATACGTGTTACTATCGCTTCTTTGTCTATTTTCTCTTGCTTTTTATAGGATTTCATTAATTCCCCTTTGGAGGGGACAGCCTGCCTACATCTGGTGTCACTGTGTTGAAGGAACTGCTGTGATTGAAACAGCGTATCTCTTCTTCTTTGACAACATGTCTTTAACCAATCACTGTCAACCACACCCCTGACCGACTATTGGTAGTTTTTGCCCAAGGCTTAGCTCAGCCCCTCTCTAACCCATACTGTAGTCCATGTCCGCCCTCAAACAAATACTCCGATCCCTGCCTGTCTAATGCAGAACCAACGGCCTCTACCAAGGATCAAGTACTAGGCCAATATCCGTCCAACCCCATCTGGTAAACTCCGGACAATGTATTCGATATTGCCTCCTCTCTTCCGCGCCTTTGTATACATGGTTAGAAAATACATCCAGCTATTGATGACATATATATTCTAGGCTCGGCAAGCGCAGTCTTATAGAATGCTTAAGTTAGATGTAATCAGTTGATTGACATGGAGTGAGTTACTATTGGCGTAGTGCAATCTATAGCCTCAATGTATTATCGTTGTCGAAGCCTGTAGTGGTGATCAGGTCTGTTGTGCCAACCTCGAATATGAGGATTCAGCGCTTCACGGTGCCGGAGTTTGCACTGTGTTCGATCCAGACCCACCGGCCCGATGCCGAAACGCTGGCTAAACCTGCAATAAAGCCGAAAATGACTGTTGTGATAGTGTCTTCGACTGCGAGGACGCCCTAGTGGATGCAGACATCGATAGATTGATTAATAAAGCTAATCGCTAGCTCCCTATAGACTCCCTCAGTGAGGAATCGAAGCTTGAACAGTTTGAGGACTGCCTCTGATGCGATATGCTTTCTCGCAATCATGAATCCGGCGTCTCTCCCCTGGAACACCGGTCTCGATGCTGCTGCATATCCCGGGTTTCTGGAAGTCGGAGCTCTGTAAGCCTTTAAATACCAATATACTTGAGAACACATCACATACGACCATAGACTCAAGAGAATTGGGCATCCCGTCCGCTCTGCCATACACAAGCTTGAGATCGGTGGATTAGTAGTTGGGTGGGTGACCACCAGCGAATACCCACTGTTGTATGTTTTTTATTATTTTTGGCATTTAATATGTTAAATTTTAGCCCCCGACCAATATAATCCAGTGTTCCCCAAATAGTATTCGAATAGTATTCGGGGTTTGCCCGAATACTCGTAATCTGAGAGTATTCGGCGAATACTCGTACGAATACTCGCCGAATAGTATTTGAGTATTCGCCGAATACTATAGTATATAGTAATGAAATATGATAATTGTCTACTCTACTTTACTCCTCATCCTCGTCGCCTATAACCCCCCAATCCCGTAGGCAGAGTAGATATCGAAGAGTTGAAGGTAATAACCTGTTCCTTTTCTTTGTGACTATATCACCGCCGACACTAAATATACGCTCTAACGCTGCCGATGAGGCCGGAATTGCTAAATAGTCCCGTGCGATCCGTGATATAACTAGATACTAATACTGCTTTGCCTGCTAATACTTGAGGATATTAGTATTACGGTCGACCCCATTCTCTTTAAACCATCGTCGCCACTTAACTTCCTCAATAGAAGGCCCACGATGCTGATACATCTCGTCGTTAGAATCAAGTTCTCTTAGGATCGCTAGCTGCTCTATTTTAGTAGCAATAGTAGCTTTAATAGCAGCAACCTATATATCGTTCTCACAGTCTTTATACTAGTTATAGCAAGCTGCAAACTATGCTCTTACTCTATCTCGTTTTATAGCGTCTATACTATCTAGCATATAAAATTCGTATATACTTAGGTTGAATCTTAGGTCGTAGATAGTAGCAATTAACGAGTGGCTTGAGCCTTGATTTGTTGCAAGGTTATAATAAGTATCAAGCTTATTATATGCTGCTTTACAAGCTGCGCTAATTGTAGCTATTGTTAATAGAGCGTTTTGCATCGCCTTAAGCTTATTTAAAAGCTGTAGATAGTGTGGAATATAGACGTTTAACGTTAGATAACTATTAGCTTGAACTTGCTCTGCTAGTTTAACGAATATCTTAAAGAACGCCCTTAGTCCGTGTAACACTTGCCATTCTATTGACGTAATAATAATATTACATATACTTAAATCTATCGTTTGCGAAGCACATAAAGCATTAATCGGCTGCTTAAGCTTCAAAGCGTTCTCGAGCATATGATATGTTAAGTTCCATCGTATAGGCATGTCGAGGGACATTGAAACCACCTAAATACCTATAGCAAATGCTTATACTTTTAATGCATCTTTCTACGCTTAACGGTTCTAAAAGACATAGATATGCTAGCGTAGTTTTATAAGAACTATTGCCACTTCTTCTCGATTAGAAACAAAGCCTTAAGTATAAGCTAAGCCTTGCTTAAGCCTATATGATTCTATTTGTTCTAATGGTACAGCTTTTAACATAGTTAAAGCTGCTTGAACTACAAGGTTTATAATATGTACTATGCATTAGACGTCGCCTTCCTTTACTATAAAGCTCCATAGTTGCTATATAGAAACAACACTTGTGCATGCTGCTATTTCAAACTCTGCAAGCATTGCTATATTGTTCGATGCGTTATCTCTAGTAATAGTAAAGACTCTATATGTAATACTAAAGTCATTAGTAACAGCTTAAAGCTGCTCTACAAGATATTCACTAGAATGAATAGGCTCCTTTAGATGTACAATATCAAGAACACAGTGCTAGTAAACCCATTCATTATTTATCTAATAGACAGTTATTACAGCGTGCTCTGCGCCATTCATTGCAGACTATGTATTAGTTGTAAGTAATAACCATCCGCCCTTTGCTACATGAGCCTAGAGTTCGATTTGTAGCTTCATATGGTAGTTGTAGAATGTCTTATGTAAATCGCGCATTAAGGAGCTCGTTGGTATAGCTAACGTCAATGGACTAAGCTAGTGAATAAGCTGACGAAACGAAGGCCGATTAACTAGACTCATTAGTAAGTTATTAGATACAATAAATGTAAGTAATAACTCTCTATATCGAGAGGTAGGAACTAAGCTAGATCCTCCTACTTAAGGAGTAAAGAATGCTTGGGTGTTTCGGGCAGTTCTCATATTTAGAGCGCCCTGCGAATCCTATGAACTCTAACTCTATGAACTCTGAGCACGCTGTGGCAATGAAGATCCTGGTTTTATAGCTTCGTATAATAAAGGATGCATGCTCTCAACATGCCTCTATAAATTACTTGTGATATTCCATGTCAAAAGCTTTGGCTTTGGCCTATAATTACAGCCATCTTACATGTAGACAATCTTTATTGTTGTAGGGCTAGTGCTTAACAATGTTCTACTAAATACATTCTTTAAGAACAACGGTGACTGAGTATTTGGGAGTTGTGGTTGTATTTGTAGTAATGGTAGAGCTATCAACGGCGAAGACTCTAGAAAAAGGGGTAGTAGGCGCTGTATATCCTCATCTTCGTCACTTAGAATCGCTAATAGCTCGGAGTCGCTCATTCTAGTGGAAATATCAAGTAATATAGTATCTACAGATCTATTTCTACGGATCTATCTATGAGGGCGGGGTAAAATCTTCGTAGCTTAGCATCTTGGCGCTAAGGACTCGAGGGCCCGAATACTATTCGAGATCTGGGCAAATACTCGCCGAATACTCCAAATATGGCCCGAATACTGCTCATCGCCGAATACTATTCGAAAACCACAAATACTCTTACTATTTTGGGGAACACTGATATAATCTAGTTCTATGGTTCATACATAGTCCACGTATGATTGAAATAAAATGGCACATGGGCGTTTCTACCCCACATACATAAAAAATGCCTTTCGCCCTAAAGCAAAACTGAGGAAGCGTGGAATTGCCGTTGATGAAAATGGAAAACTAGACGATGAGATCTCGGTCATATCTTCAGAGGTAAGTCAACCCACTCCCACTGCAGCACAAAATCATCAGTTCTCAAAAACCATACTCACATCCTCCCAGCAAAACCGCAAATACAACCGCTTCACCAACACCAACAAGCGCATCTCTAATAAAGGCTGACACGCCGAGTAAGCTTTTTTCCCCATTCCCCATTCCCCATCCCCCCCCCCAAGTATAACCTTCTCACAAATCCCCTCCTCCTACGCCATCCTCCAAATCCACACCACCCCCCCCCACCGGCACCAGCGACGACACCCTCTAGGCCTCCAGCTACGAAGCATATGACCGTCTCTCCCCTCCCATCCAGAAACTCGCCGAGTCCCTTACAGCCACCCACCACCAACCTAATTTCGTCTCCATCAGCAAAGAGCACAGTCTCGACCTCATCAACTCCAACCGCGGATCCCCCCTCAACACCGGTCTAGACTTCCAAGCCACCCACCCCGTCATCCGCACGAACCCCATAACATGATAAAAACCCCTCTTGGCCGCCGGCGGCCAACTAAAAAACGGGTGGATCAACGACCTCACCGATCGCGAGAGCGAGGTGCTGAAGGCGTATTTCTTAGAGGTGGTAGCGGGGAATCACGATCTGCAAGTCCGGTTCAAGTTGGGGAAGGGGGATGTGGCGATTTGGGATAATAGGTCGGTGTTTTATACGGCGACGGATGATTATGAGGGGAGGAGGGTTGTGGGGATTGGGTAGAAGCCTTATTACGACCCTAGGAGTGTGAGTAGATGGGGGGCGCTTGCGTTGCTTGGTTAGTTCGTGTCAAGTTGAATATTTGACGGGGATATGATTTAAGATTTTTTGGTTTATTATAGTTTTAGTTTTGCATATAGTGGGTGGTTTTAATGGGTTTAATTGCATACGAAGTCTAGCAATACCTGGTAGATATGAGAACGTACGGTATCGGATGTAAAGTCCCTAATACCCCCAACTCCTACACAAAGGAAAAGAGCAACCAACAACGGATCGCTCCTTCCCTCCTCCAACCCTCACACAAAGGGAACGAGCGACTAAACCAACAATTAGTCGTTCCTTCCCTCCTTGTAGATCCTCGGACGGGCATACATAAAGGGAAAGAGCGACTAAACCAACGACAGCGCTCCTTCCCTCCTTTTAGAAGCTCCATACAACCTAACCCTAGATACTCGGCCCGCCCGACGACAAAGACGAAGGCAAGGACTACGATGAAGACGGCGACGGCGACGACAAAAGAAAAATGAGAATAAGGGTACAGGTGACGTTACAGTCTAGACCATGGACCCTGAGCATGCGGTTTCTCTCGTCAGCTGACCTAGCTCGCTGATGTTGCTTCTGGTGGGGTGGTTAGAGTAGTATCATCAGCTGTCAGACGATACTCCTCTAAAAAGAGGGAAGGAACGACCCATCGTTGGTTAGTTGCTCCTTCCCCTTCTGTGAGCTCCGCAAAGACTCCGAGCGGGCTGAGAAATGATGCTTAGTCCATCCCATCCATCCAGCACAAACCCTGAGTAGTAGTCAGCACATGCCCTGCCTCCCAGCGATTTCAACACCAGTAAGCGGTGAGAATCCCAACCCCATCCCAACCTCATCCCATCCCATCCCATCCCATCCCAGTCAACACCGGCAATACGGCTCATAAAAACGTGGGGACCCGCGGACCCGACCAGCCGGAAAGTCGAGTCGAGGCCAAAGAAGAAAGTTGGGCGTCGTTGTTGGTGATCGATCGGGCGCGGGAGGGAAGGGAGGCGTCATGCACAGCCACAGGTGGGCGTCGTCATCGTCATCGGGTGGGTTTGTTCTGGGTTGTTGTTAGTGTGGGGAGTGGAGTTAGTGGGGGGGGATGGGGTCAGGAACGCTTGGGGGATGGGGACAGGTGGTTAAGGTATGGGTAGTGGTGGTGGTTTAGTGTCAGGTGGTGCGTTAATATACTACTCACCTACTCACTTTATGAGTCCTATCACCTTAAGTAATTTGTTATGAGTTTATTAGATTAATGAGGGATTAGGAGGGAATGGCGGCGGTGATGGCGGTGGGATCGAGATTTGGACGGGTAGGGCTGATTTATAGTGAGGGTACAGTACTGTAGTGTACGGGGTCGTGGTGTCCATGTCGGCGAGGACGAGATATTGGTTTCTGTATTGATGACTGCTTCATGACTATGAATATTGCATATACTGTCAGACTGACTGTGCAGTATATATATTAGAGAGTATAATAGAGAGTATAATAGAAGCAATATAGAGAACAGTGCGAACAGTATAAACAGACAATCTTATACGCGTATACACACTATTTGATACTTCCGACCGTCCCGTTACCAATCCACTAACTGGTCTGCCTACCTGCACCTAAAAACCTACTGCCACCACCCGTGCGTGCCGTCTGTACCGTCCCCCAAGACCCGTCATACCCTCCCACCGGCGTGTCCGTGCTACGGCCAAGAACACTACAAATACACCTCAAATACACCAAATATCCCTCATTGTACCCCACTGACAGCAGTCTGTATTGCCCGTTACGGCTACACCAACTCCACCGTATTGTTACCGTACAGCAGTACAAGGACGCGTGCATCTCTAACCCCGGCCAACCCCCCCAGCCAAGATCAACAACCACCACCGCCACCACCGACTACTAATCTACTACCACCAACAAATCTCAGCTCACGTCAAACTAGACACTTTACTCTACTCTACTCTACTCTACTCTACTACTACAATCTTTAACTGAATCACCAACGATCCTTACAACATACTCACGAATCCGATATATAAACCAACTCCATCGCATCACCACTACACACAGACAGAACATACAAACCACACAAGCGACGCCGCGGCGGGAGCTACAGCCACCAGTACCCGAACACTGCGGGGCAGCGAGCGAGCGAGCGAGCGAGCGCACATCTCCAGGCGACAACAAAGGGTCTCTCCCCCACCAACGGCCACCATGGAGACCAACACAGGATTACGCCGGAAGGACACCACGAAAGGCGCACCTCTGCGCGTCCTCTCTCTAGGTAACTCCCTCCTCCTCCCTTCACCCTTCCATCCCCGCGCCTTTGCGCCTCTGCCTGGACTGCGCTAACTTCTTCTTCTTCTCCCCAGATGGCGGCGGCGTGCGCGGCTACAGCGTCTTCATCATCCTGCAAGAGCTCATGCACCGGACCTTTGTCGAGATCGAAGGACGCGCCCCGAAGCGCTCTGAGATCCCAAAACCATGCGATCACTTCGACCTGATCGTCGGCACGGGCACGGGCGGACTAATCGCGATAATGCTCGGTCGCCTGCGTCTCGACCTCGAGACATGCAAAGAAGTCTACGTGCGGATGACGCGCAAGGTCTTCGAGACCGACAAGACCATCGCGGGGATCCCGTACCGGAGCACGCTGTTCAAGGCGAGTAAGCTTGAAGAAGCGATCCGCGAGTGCGTGAGGGAGCATACGGTGTTTCAGAGCGAGGGGAATGATGGGGAGGCGTTTGAGGATGTGCAGAGTCCTGTTGGGTATCCGTTGGGTAGGGGGGATAGTGGGAGGAGCGAGGGGGTGAAGAGGCATCATAGTAATGCGAGTATTATGAGCTTTTCGGCGAGGGGGCCGAGGAGCACGTATGGGGATAGGAAGTGGTCCACTTCGGCGAGGTATGGGGATGCAAATGCGCTGCTTTATGATATGAGGGAGAATCGCACGAAGACGTAAGTCCCCTATCCAATCCATCATCATCTTTCTGTCACACTCCCACTATCCCCCCTTCAACCAACCCACCTCCATTCTCACAAACCCCAACTAACACCCCTTAGCGCCGTAACAGCAGTCTACCAAAACACCCCCAAAGGCGCCCCCCCCGCCCTCCTCCGCTCCTACGACTCCCGCAAAGAACCCGCCCCCGAATTCAACTGCACGATCTGGCAAGCCGGGCGCGCCACCTCCGCGACCGGATTAGCCTTCAAACCCATCCAAATCGGGCAGTCGGTATTCATCGACGAAGTCCACGGGCGCTTCAACCCTGCCCCGATCGCGCTGGACGAGGTGACGCTGAATGAATACCCTGGGAGGCCGGTGGGGACGTTTATTTCTATAGGTACCGGGAAGAGGCCCTCGAACACAGATGCGAATAGTCACCTCTGGTACGACGATTTCCTCGGCGACTTCGCCGAGGCGCGACGCAGATTAATTTCCAAGATCGAAGGGTGCGAGACGACGCATCTTTCCATGCCCGCCCTCCTCGCTGCCAGGAACATCGAGATAGACTCCTACATCCGCCTCAATGTCGAGGTTGGCGTCGGGGATTTCGGGATGAATGAGTGGGGACGTCTGGCGGATATCTCGACGTCCACGAGACGGTATCTCGCGAGGCCGGATGTACAGGCTATGTCACTCAATGCCGCCACGCGATTAGCACGCATCTTTCTCACGCGTTTGCGTGGTCGTGATCCGGCGCCGCCGCCACCACTTGTCCCGCCACCCAGGGACCCGAGGAGGATGACTTTGCAGAATGTACCGGAGACGCCGTACCCCTCTTTCGCGGCCGAGTTACCCGCTGAGGTACCACCTGGGTCTGCAGTGCCCGCAGCGCGGCCAAGTTCGCGACGCAGCTACGATCTCGGCGCTGAATCCCTCGGTGTACCCTCCCCCATCCGGGGTAGTCCGAGGACAAGCGATGATGGACGTCCTGTGTCTGCTTTGTCTACTACACCTACTAGCGCTACTGCCGGCGGGGGCGGTTGGGGAGGAGGAGGAGATAGGTTGACATCCCATGCCCCAACGCCGGCGCAGTACTGGACTGCGGGGGGACGGGATAAGATCGCTATCGTGGAGGGGGATGAGGAGCAGGGCAATGGGGGGATGGAACCGCCGCCGTTGCCGCCGAAGACGCCGATTATGGGGGTGCGGGAGCATAGGAGGGTGCCCAGCTCGGTGTCGACGCTAGGGCCGCCGTATCCGTTGGATGATGGACCGCCGCCGGTGGTTAATATGGCGAGGAAGCCGGAGTGGAATGGGAGGTAGGGGGGGGTTCTTGTTCGTTATATTTATTTTTCGGTTTGGTGGGGGTTTGAGGGGTGGAGAGGGGCGGGGAAGGGGGGAGACTGGTTGTTTGGTTGTTTAGTTGTTTAGTTGGTTGGAATACCCGGTTGCAGGCGTTTTTGGAGCGTTTTCTGTGCGGGAGGGCCTTGATTGAACTGGGTGTGGGGGGCGGGGGGTAGATGACTCTATCCCGATGCTGGATATTGGATCGGATCGAACACGGATACCGGGATCTGTGTACCGACCGGTCGTTTAAACTTCAAATCAAAAAACCACAAAACTACATTTCACGAGCTGGACACGGATACAGGCATGGACATGGACATGGACACGGAAACAGGCATGGATAAGGACACGGGCATGGACATGGACACGGATACAGGCATAGGCATAGGCGTGGATGGGATAGAAACCAGGATTTTCTTTCATTTATGCGACTGTTAACCAGGGCGTTTGTGGTGTGGTTCAACGGGCTTGGGGGTGAAGGCGTTACATGCAGATAGGGATCATCTATGGGGAGGGAGGAAGGGGTATGTGATGATGTTATGATGTAGGTTGCCGCGGTCGTTGCCACGGGTGGGGGGGTTGTGTGGACGGGGTGGGGGTGGGTGTGGGTGTTATGTAGGTTAGGTAGAGAAACGGATTATTGCATATAGCTACCTACTTTGCTGTGATTTCCGGTGGTTATGTTTCGTAGGCGCGCGTCTGTGCTAGCTTTGGCGGGGGGCGTGGTGGTGGGGGAGGGGACGGGTGGATGTTAGACTAGTATCATAGGGACGGGCCCCGTTTTTGGTTTGTGGGCGTTTATAGGGGAATGGGAAGGAGCGACCCGGGGGGAGAGTGGGGGTGAGAGGAGGAGTGAACAATCTAGGGAAACATGGAAGGGGTAAGAAGCGGCAAGAGCGAACAGGATTAATGGCGAGAGGGTAGGAGCAGGTCGTGGAAATAGTGAGAGAGGGAAAGAGCGATCTGGATCAACGACGACCAGGGCTAGTGCTGTCTAAGGAAAGAGCGACCCCGGGAAAGAGTACTCTACGGGAAAGAGCGATTCAGAGATATAACTATAGATGGAAGGGACGATATAGGGAAAGAGCGAGGGATCATGATCGGTTCGTCAGTCGCCGTTTGCACCAGCTAACAACCGTCATCTGATCTTCCCGCGATCCCGTCGGAACCGCGGGTAGCGGGATGTTATGTTTTAGTCGGGCCCCTACATCGCACAGACAGCCGTTGGTATCGGGACCATACGTACTTTTACTCCCGATATGTCTTCCGTTGGTGTTGCAATAGGGTTCTACAGGGTTTGTTTGTCATACCCTCACCGTCGCTTGTGGGGGGGGGGGGGAGGTGCGTTCTCATATTCTGCAGGTGTACGAACCTGGGGAAGTTCCGAGACAACTACCTACCGCCCGACGAGATGAGGGTTATATAAGCCCGGTTGATAGGAAGTGTCTATCATCCTGCCGCATCTTCTCTTTATGTGCTTCGCTTTTCCAGCAGTACCGTGGTATGCTCCCCCTTAACAGCGCGCAGGTAAAGGAGTTTCATACACAGCAGGTTTGCGGTGGGAGAACTCCCGAGACAGGGCGGTGTTGTGGTGGTAGCCTTGGGGGGGAGGGAGAAGCGGGGGGTATAAGAGTTTGTGTACTCCGGCATTCTGTGAGCACATTGTAGGATCGTGTAACGAGCTTCACTCCCGAGCAGGCAGTTGGGGTGATTTAACATCGGGCACAAACAACGTAACCTTCAACGATATCACGGGACTGTTACTCTGTGCTTCTCAATGGCGTCGTCTGGTTCTTCTTCTGGGCCCTCATTGAGCTCGTCGGCAGCTTCATCTTCAAGTCTATCCTCAAGTCCCATCTCTAATTCCCCCTCCAACTCCCCCTCCGAACCATCCTCCGAGCCCTCCTCCACCCCTCCCACAGCCCTCACCACTCCTGCTCCTTTTGACCCCTCCTCAACCGCAGCTATCTCCCCAAATCCCCCAACAGATCTCTCTCCCTCACCGCCCCTCACCCGCGCAAACGCCCACCTCTTCGACGCCCTCGAATCTCACACCTCGCAACAACTCCTCCTAACCGCCGTGCAAGTCCTCTGCAGCGACGCCGCGGTGCTAACACGCACGAGTCCTGCGCGTGGCGAGCAGTACCTCGCGATCGCAACTGAGCTCGTGACTGCATTTTTCGCAGCGGAGGGGGAGGAAATCGGTGAGCCGCATGAGGCGGCGAATGAGATTCTGAAGATTGCGAGGAAGGAGATGGATAGGGTGGTGGTAGAGATGCGGGAGACGGATGAGGATAGAAAGGCAGAGGAAGAAGAGAGGAAAGCGGAGGAAGAGAGGAAAGAAGAGGAGAGGAAGATAGAGAAACAGAGAAAGGCAGAGGAGAAGAGGATGTACGAGGTTGTTATGAGGGAGTTCAATGAAGAGAAAATAATGGAGGAGGAGAAGAAGAAGGAGGAGGAAGACACTAGGACGGAGGAGGAAAAGAAGATGGCCCTTAGAGAGGCGAGGCTTGCGTATGTGACAGATACGCAGAAGAGGAGGATGGCGAAGAAGAAGGCGGAGAAGGAGAAGAGGGGGAGGGAGGAGGATAGGAAAATGAGGCTCGTGGAGGGATGGGTGGGTGAGTGAGAGTGGGGTTTGCGGGGGTGTCGGGAAGGCACGGGGGTTGGGGATTGGATAAGCTGGGGATGTTGACGGTGTGCTTCGAATCTCGTGCTCTCTTGTTAAGGTCTACGTCTTGAGAGAGACATGCACCATGACACACTTCAAACATCAGTCTCGTTCATTTCGAAGGCGTTTATTCTCTTCTTCTCCAATCAAGTTGTTATTTTATTCTTCCGTCTCAGGACCACTTTATAGGCAAGAAAATAGACGACAAAATTGTGGACAGCATGTTTTGAGACAACTGATGATACGTGTGAGAAAAACATAGCTCTGTCTCATATGTCTTCCTTAGATTAGCTCAGATACAAGACAATTCTCATTCGACTGCCTCAGACTACAAACACACGATAATGCCACATGTCCATGTCGAATTAGCTACAGATGCACAAATGCCACATGTGCGCCTTGAGTTAGCTACAGGAACAGTAAATGAAACCGTGTTGTCCATGTACAATATTATCTCGGTTTAAAAAGCCATCCGCGTATAAAAGCAGTCGTATTAAGTCGCTATTCTGACGCGTCATGATAATATAATGGTAATATAATCCCCCTTCTCAAGGCCGCGTATGTAGAAATAATATCGTCAGCCAACAATGAAAAACAAAAGCAATGCCAAGCCTGGGTGTCATGGCTGTCAGCCAAGGACCAAGGCACATCATTTTCCCGATTGGCACCGTGCATACTCCCATCAGCGACCTTCCCGTTTTGACACGGCTTATCACCAATAATATCGCGACGCTAGCAATACAGTCTTGGAACACCGCGTGGCATTCGTGATTATGCCCTCTGTAACGTAATCTAACTACGTATGTGCTGTGTTTATATAGAGTTCGCATCGTCGCCGCCGTTTTGTGATTTTGTTTTCTTTGGTTGCAGAGCCTGCTTGCTTAGTATTGATTGCCAATTCTCGCTGGCGGTGACGGAGACTTAATTGCAAGCGGCAGCGACCGAACTCGACGACTACGGCATGGCTCATCATCATGAGTCCGAACAGGAGAATGAGCCTCTCCTCCCTAGCACTAGGCAGCGAAAGCCGTCTATATCACACTTGCCAAATCGCTTGCCAACGCTGCACGACCACCGCCTCATCATTGCCCTCCTCACGGGCGTGATGTTTCTCATCAACCTCGGCGCATACATGATGACTATGCCTCAGTCTCGCATCTATGAGGATATCATCTGCCACCACTACTACGATAACCTAAAAGGCACATCCCATCTCTCCCTCGACACCCCGATCGATGAGTCGCTCTGCAAAGTTGGCCCCGTCCAGGCCGAGCTCGCCACGGTCTTTGGAGGCCTCTTCGTCGCCACCTCCATTCCCAGTCTCCTGTTCTCCATGCCATATGGCATTCTCGCGGACCGCATCGGCCGCAAACCCGTCTTCATCCTTTCCGTGATCGGTATAGAGCTCGGTGAGCTCTTGAACCTCGCCATCTGTTGGTGGTGGCGCGTGTTTCCCCTTCGCCTCGTCTGGGCCGTGCCGCTCTTGCAGGTCATCGGCGGCGGCGCCGCCGTGACTTCCGCTATGCTCTTCGCTACCGTCGCCGACGTTGCTCCTGCAGAGAGCCGCGCCCAGACCTTCCTAATAATAATGAGCGGCAGCCTAGGAGCTCAGATCTTAGGTCCCATACTCTCCGGCAGACTCATGAGCTGGTCGCCGTATCCACCAATGCTGTTAGGCATAGTCATAATAGCCGTGGGCGGAGTATGCTTCCTCTTCGTTCCCGAGTCGTTACACGCCCGCCCAACCAAACCCATTTCCACATCCGCCCCAGTATCACCCCTCACCACCTCTCCACCTCACCAACCATCCAGCCTCCTCACCTCCATCAAAGACCACCTCCGCACAACCATAGCCTCAACATCATCAATGTTCAACTCCACTCCCGCCATCCTCCTCCTCTCCACCTTCTTCCTCGTCGTCCTCGCCGTACAGATGGTCCAGCTCGCCCTCCGCGACGTCTCAACTCGCTTCCACTGGTCCCTCGCACAGGCAGGCTACCTCATGTCCGTCCGCGCCGCTATCGACATGAGCGTCATCCTCGCCATCCTCCCCATCGCCTCGCACCTCCTCACTCGCCCACGCGGACCCGCCCTCTCTACGCGCGCGAAGGATTACCTCCTCGCTCTCCTCTCGGCGGGCGCCATGGTCACAGGGTGCGTTTTACTCGCGCTCTCGCCGCCGCTGGCGCTGGTTTTGACGGCGCTTGCTATCTTCTCGCTCGGGAGCGGGTTCATGGGACTGTGTCGGTCGTTACTGACGGAGCTGGTTCCGGCGAGTCAGGTGGCGAGTTTGTATGCGGCGGTTGGGGTGGTGGAGATTTTGGGGAGTATTGTGGGCGGGCCGGTGTTGGCGAAGTTGTATGGGATTGGATTGGAGTGGGGGGGGTTGTGGAGGGGAGGGCCGTTTGCGGTGGTGGCTGTGGTGGGGTTGTATTGTGTTGGTGCACTTTTGGGGGCGAGGAGGGTGGAGGGGAGGAGGGGGAAGGACGCTGATGCTATGGGTGTGGATGGGGATGGTGGTTTGGAGGCTTTGTTGTAAAAGCGGGCGCTGCATTGCAGCTAGAGTGTGGGGTTTTCTTCGGTTTAGAAGCGTTAGGGTGGTAGTTTAGGCATTTTAGGAGTAAGGCGTGCAAGTGAATGATGTGCGGATCATGCATATATAAATAATAATACGGAAAGAACGATTATCAGGCAAGCTCCAGTCGCAGCTTCTTCGGGGGCCTTTGAGGATATAGATATGGAAGGAACGATTGCCAAGCAAGCCTCAATCGCATCTTCCTCGGAGCTTTCAATTTCTTGATATGGAAAGAACGATTGCCAAGCAAAGCCCCCAGTCGCAGCTTCCTTGAAGCCATCTTGTCATAGACATAGTAGGAACGGTTACCAATCCATGGCTCGATCGCAGCTTCCTCGGGAACGTTGAGGTTGTAGATATGGAAGGAACGATTACCAAGAAAGCCTGGGCCGCAGCTTCCTCATAGGTTTGAGCTCTTGATATAGAAGGAACGATTATCAAGCAATGCGTCAGTCGTAGCTTCCTCAGATCTCTCAGGCTATATATTGGGAAGGAACGATACGAAGGAATGCCTCGGTCGCAGCTTCCTCGATGACTTCAAGCTATATTACGCTTAGAGTATGCTCGGGCAAATAAGTATAGGTGATATTAACAATAACCCTCTTATAAAGAAGCCAGGTTTGCCGAAATAAGAAGTAATCATATGAGAACCTAGGCCTCCTTTCCAGGTTTGGCGTCGATGATAACTTCGTGGGGGGCATGCGTACGATAAACAGGATTCCAAGAGTTATAAATACCTAATTCTTTAATACAATTTTTCACCTAACCTGCGCGTATTAACATATTTTTATTTATTTCACAAATTTTGCCCTTTTATCGAGTTGTTGAAGGAGACCTGGACCCTGTTGTCAAGAATTACCGCATCAGGCTAGTTGCCGATGCGGGGATTGCCGTCGACATTTTGGGTTGTCCATGGCCGCGATAGCTGCAAAACTATTTCTCCATCAGAGGTGCTCAATTGCGACGACAACAATGGTTCCGTGGGTTCTACCCGTCTTTCTATCATTACCTGGATCATACTGATCCATGTAGCCTTTTTCCCACTTGTACCATATAATCTCCCCTCACAATGCGCTCGCACCTAACGCGCACCGTCTTCCGGCGCCTCCTCCGCAACGAAGGCTTCAACTTCCGCTGTCCCCATCGCCCAGCCCTTCAAAGCCTACGATGCGGCGCGGTATCTGCCTTGCAGCCGTCCACCCGACGCTATGCCTCTGTCTTCGGCTTCTCACCTAAGCCCGAACGTGGCATCAAAGACCCGGATATGGATCCTGGCTTCTCGACGCTACTCGACCTGGGCCTGATGAACACGTTGCGCGCGCGCTCGCCCCCCGCCGAGGACCTCGCGAAGGCTTTCCGACAGTTTGTAGCGCACAAGGCTGGCCTAAAGGAGCCGATCAATACACTGCAGGCGTCGTATGTGCTGCGAACTTTCCAGCATCTGAGGGACACAAATAGTGCGGAGCCGGAGTTCGGGCTGAAAACGTTTGATCTGAAGCGCGCGAGGGATGCGATGAAGATTCTGCCTGCGAAGCCGTCGAGCGAACATGTCGATTTTGCGAGGGAGGTGTTTGAAGAGCTGAGTCGGAGGGTGGGGCAGGAGAATCCAGGGGCGTTGCTGGTGGAGGCCAGGGATTTTGTGAAGGTGCTTACGGCGACGGGGAATACACTGGAGGCGAGGGACTACCTTGTTCAATATCTGGCCGAAGGGAAGGAGCTGAACGACCATGGGAGCAAGCAGATCAAGACAATGTGGTTATACGTGATGGATGGGTTTTCTGCAGAAGGCAAAGAGGCAGAGCTGGCGGAGACTTTCAACATGGCTTCTGCGAGCGGATTGCAGTATGATGCCGCGGTGCAGGATATCATGACGAGCTTTTACGCGTCCAGAAACAATGTGACCAAGGCCAAGGAGTGGTTCACCAAGCGGATTGCGGCAAAGGCCAATGAGGAAATCGCATATCCGAGAGCGTCGACACTGTTGTCTATATTACATTTCGCTCTCCGGAACAACGAGCTGGAATGGCTGAATCCGATATTCCGTTCAATCGTCCAGTCGAATCCGGATAAAGCAAACTGGGATGTTATTTTACTTTGGGCTGCGGAAGGGCTTGAGAAAGGTCCAGAGGAGGTAGAGCGCATGATGGATGTTATGGCAAAGCACAACGACGAGAGTTATAAGCAGCCGGATATGGATACCTTTAACAAACTAGTGGAGTCCGCCATATCGAGGAAGAATCATTACCTGGCCGAGAGATATGTTGCGCTCGCCGAGAGACGTGGCATCCGGCCAAATGCCAAAACATATATTATGCAAATGGACTACCGGATCGACGCTCAGGATCTTTCCGGTGCGCAGGGCGCATATGATGCACTGAGGGCGGAGGATCTTTCCGAAAGACAAGATATCCCCGTTGCCAACAAATACATACGAGCTTTGTGCTCTACATCATCTCCAAACTACGACAAAATTATGTCGGTCGTAACGGACCTTGAGGAGCGAAATGCGCGCCTAGAAGCCGATACCTTATCATCCCTCGTCATACTCCACCTCAAGCGCGGCGACATGACCGAAGTAGTCAATGCGCTCCAACGCAACGTCTTCCACCACGATCTCGAAGACCGCGATCGCACCCGCGATGCCATCTTCGACTACTGTCTCGACCGCAGCAACAGCACCGCTCAGGTCTGGGACGCCTATACCGTTCTACGCAGTGTGTATCCCGAGACCGGGCGTGACCTGCGCACGCGCCTCATGACAGAGTTCTTCGATCGCCGCCGCTCCGATATGGCCTGCCACGCCTTTGGACACATGCGGCAGCACGATCTTCCCGAGATCCGGCCGAATATCGACACGTATGTGGCTTGCTTTCTGGGAATCGGGAAGTGCGCGGACGATGAGAGCCTGGATATGGTGCACAACATGATGAAGATGGACTCAACGGTGGAGCCGTCGACGAAGCTGTATAACTCGCTGATGGCCGCGTTCACGGCTGTGGGCGATGCGGACCGCGCGCTGGATTTCTGGATCGATGTCACGAATAGTAGGGAGGGACCGAGCTATGCGAGTCTGGAGATGGTGTTCCGGGCTTGTGAGAAGAACGATTTTGGTGAGAAACCTGCCAAGGAGATTTGGGGCACGATGAAGAGGATGGAGATTGAGATTACTCCTGAGGTGTTTAATGCATACGTCGGAGCTTTGGCGGGACAGGGTCTTGTGGAGGAGGTTAAGAAGTTGATTGAGGGGATGGAGGAGGATGTGGATTTTGGACCGGATGTTAATACGTAAGTGATATCCGCAGACTATCTTCCAGGATGCATGGCTAACCCAAACTCAAGGTTGGGCATATTCTATAATGTCGTGCCAGGGCAGACTAAGAAGGACGCGGTTGAGACTTGGGCTCAAATAACATACCCAGAAGTCTGGGCTGAACTGGAGAAGATTGGCAAGGTGCCAGATGCGGACGACGATTACGAAGTGTTCAATATTGTACGAGAGTTGAAAGCATGAGATGTATATATATATTGCCATGTTTATAGATAATTGACTAGCACCATCGAATATATGGGATATTTAAAATAGATGCTGGTATGAAGCCGTGTTGGCCCATCTTTCCACTTACTCATTGTGTAATTCTTCTTCTTCTTCTTGTCCAATTTATTTCCTCTGTTCTTGTTCCTCTTCTTCTTCTTGTTCCTCCTCTTCTTCTTGTTCCCCTTCTTCTTCTTGTTCCTCCTCTTTTTCTTTTTCCTCTCTTCCTTCCTCGTCCTCTTGTTCTTTTTCTTGTCTGGTTCTCTTTTTTGTCTGTTTTTTTCTCCTCTTCTTCTTTCTGGTCTTCCTCTTCTTCTTCTTTCTCTGATTCCTATCTAGGTCTTCTCCGTCTTCTTCTCCAGCTCTTCTTTCTTCCACCTGATCATGCAACTGGGGCACTTCTCAGTGATCTTATGCCTCGGCGAGCCCTCACAAAGACGACACAGCTTTTGGTGCCTGTCGCAGTAGCGGCCACCAGGGACAGTCGGATGGGCTTTGATGCGGCAGCTTTTTTCGCCACTGCGTCTCTTGTCCCGTTTAGGGCAGAGGACTTGACTGCTTGAACGGAAGCTTTGCTGCGGAGGCTGCTCCGGGGTCTTGTTTTGACTCTTTTTGGAAGAGCTCTTCGATCTTTTCTTGGGGCGCTTTGGGAACGTCATTTTGATGTGTTGGGTGCGGCGAACCAGCATGGGAAGTTGTGGATGGGTGTGGTTGTGGGAATGAGAATATGATGATTAGAGATCTTGAGAAGAAGTCTGGGTATGATTGTGCAATAGGAAACTGATGATGAGAGAACTGATGAGGAAATATCGAGAGATCTTGGAGAGTATTTATACTATTTTGCTCTCACTTGAATTGTTGTCGACCTCGGAAGGGGCCAAGAGCTAGACATTAACGGTGAACAGGTCATGGTCAGCCATCATTGGTCCTCGAGACTTGAAACCTGAACAGTCGTCCTGTTCTCGAAAATCCATTGTTCGTCGGAGTCATATTCTGAGACTGTGGCGGCGCAGAGTGTTCTGATATAGACTCGGGGACGGCGGCTCTTTGTCTTCGGCCACTTTGTGTCAGTGAGTAGTCGGAGGCCCTTTACTACCATAGGCATCGGAGGTGGCGGTCCAAATACCTCTTTTAGAATCGAGGGCCCAACGATCATAGCTGTTCGTTTCAGAGATAGGATGTTGATGTCTGTTCAGCGGTGTCTTAGGCTTTCATACTATCAAACTCCATGTTGGCCAGTTTTTGGTCTGCGGCTGTGATCTAACGCCCCATTAGATAGGGTTCAAGTGCGCAGCATCTTCTAGAATATGTCATAGGTCTCACTTTATCAGAGGAAAATATGGATGTATCCTAGATAGTGAGTCTGGAAGGTTGCGGATCGAAGACCTGCGTCTGAGGAACTGTGTCTGGAGAACTGCATCTCGGATTTTCAGTTTTGCCTCGCCAGGCCTAATGCAAATCAGAGAGAAATCGTCACCAACGGAGGGGTGTGGTGTATCGAGTATGAAAAGCATATATAGGCTTGAGATATAGTGTATAGAATTGACAAATTCAACATAAGAGAGTGTGCTCTTAAAAGATTTATATTGTACAACGGACAACCCTGTGTTTTACATCGTCCTTCTAAATGCTTCTCCCCTCGAGTCCATCTTATATTCCCACAAGCCACGTACCATGTACACAACTTAACATACAGGTGCCATTCCCATCTCCATCAAATCAATCCGCTTAAGCCTTCGTCTCACGGCTAAGCGGCTCGTTCCTCCTCGTGCTCTCCTTCATCAAGATCTCTGGGTGACGATGCACCGACGGCATGAATCCCATGCCAACAGCACGGCGAATAGCCTTAGCAATCCTCCTCTGGTTCTTACTACGCAACCCCGTATCATTCGAGTGCATAATCCTTCCCATGGGCGTCATATACTCCGAAAGCATCGCGAAATTCTGTCCACAATCATCAGCCTTCCGCACCACAACATCACAGCACCACACCACATAGCACAGGGCAAACACTCACGCGATACTCCACCAACGGATCCAGCTCCAAAACATCAAAAACATCCACCGCCGGCTTCCCCCTCTGCTTCCACTTCTTCATCTCCACCTCGCTCAAATCATGCGGCGCGTACACATCCCCAGTCTTCCATCGCCTCGAGATCTGCTTCGTGACCTTCGTCGCCATCTTGTGGCGCGCCAGATCCTCAGCCGAGCTGCCACCCGCGTGCGCGGCGGTGCGCTGGGTGCGCTGTCGCTCCTTGCGCTGCGCGGTGCGGTCGATTAGCGAGAGCAGGTTTTGGGAGGCGCGCTCGTTGCCGGGGGAGAGGGTGCGGGGGCGGGGGTTGAAGTTGGCGCGGGGGGCGGGTTGGCTGGCACCTGTTGGGGAGGTAAAGGAGGAGGAGGAGTCTGGAGGAGGAGGAGGGTTAGTGGTCTGGCTTTCTTTGATGGTGAGGGTGAGGGAGATGGGGAGCGTACCAGCGAAGGACCTGGTGCCGGTGGAGAAAGCTGCACGGGCGCAGAGGCCTAATTGGCGTGCTGCCACGACGGGCTTAAAGCATTGTAACCTCAGCGGCAACATAACTGCGTCGTCGTCGAGATTTACGTTCCTCTCCTTGTGTCGTCGTCCTGAAGCCATACTAACCGGGACCCCCAAAATCTAGCAACCGCGGAACATTGATTTTCCGGCTACCTTAAAAGTTTCTCCGAACGGAAGGAACGACCTACCCAAAAAATAATCTCAGCCTTCTTATCAGCCTCCTCACGAAAATCTTCAACCACCCCAGTTACCAGCAGCACAACCCAGACCTCAGACAAGATGGTCCGCAAACTCAAGCACCACGAGTCCAAGCTCCTCCGCAAGGTCGACTTCACCACCTACGCCTCTGACAACAACCACCGCGACGCAGCCGTCCTCCGCCGCTACGCCATCCAAAACCCCTCCGACTACCAGAAATACAACCGCATCTGCGGCTCCCTGCGCCAACTGGCCCACAAGCTCGCCGCTCTCCCTCCCGACGACCCCGTGCGCCAGAAGCACGAAGCTTTACTCCTCAATAAACTGCATGATATGGGGATTCTCGCGACGACATCCAAGTTATCCGCGGTGGAGAATAGTGTTACCGTTTCCGCGTTCGCGAGGAGGAGGTTACCGGTTGTGATGACGAGGCTTAGGATGGCGGAGACGGTGCAGGCGGCGACGAAGATTGTGGAGCAGGGACATGTGAGGGTTGGGACGGAGGCGGTGACCGATCCGGCGTATCTGGTGGGGAAGAGTATGGAGGACTTTGTGACGTGGGTGGATGGGAGTAAGATTCGGAGGAATATCCTTAAGTATAGGGAGAAGTTGGATGATTTTGATTTGTTGTGAGGAGGGGGTTGAGGCGGTGGAGATGGTGTTTGCGAGGGCTGGGATCGTGGAGTTACTCTATTTCAGTTGGGAGGTCTGGCGAGTGTTCTGGGCGTATGGAGAACTTCATGCGGTGGATGGGCTGGTGAAAGATCCAAGGGAAGCCCTCAGCTACAGAGAGGAGATGGGTACGGATAGTTACAGAAGGGGTTTTGAAATGCATAGCGTCGGCGTTAGGGATATGAATTCAATTACAAAATATACCAATCAACACACCCAAAGTCCCAGTCACAAAATGCCACCCCAACATGCTCAAGTCTACATCCACATTGCCATGAACATTCACATTCACATCAAACACACGAGCGACGATTATACTTTTTGGATCACCAACTTCCTATTACCACCAAGCCCCCAAAAAGAGAGCTCAGCTCAGCCCCTCTGACCTAGGAATCTAGCTAAAGCAAAGCAAGCACACCACAGCAAGAAGCATACAGACCCCTTCACGACCAACAGCCCGAAAGGCCATTGAGCGCTCGGAAGTCCGCGCAAAAAATGCCACATAGTACTTTCTCTCCGAAAAAACTAGCCGCAATCCCTCCCTTTCATCCCATCCCTCAATCCATCTATCCCCATCATCCATCCCCCCCTCCCCTTCCATCCCCTTCTCAACTCTCAAATCCACCTCCCATTCCTAATCCGTTCTTTCGGTACATACACACAATACTCTAACAAAGTCATCATTTCCAGATGTCCCGTAAATGCACCCCCATTCTCGCACAAACAAGAAGCAGAAGCAAAGATATACTCCAAACACACAACCAGCAAAATGTACCACATTTTCCTCCCCGTCCATGCGTGCCGCAAAAATCAAATCCCGCGGGAGATCTCACTATATTCCCTTCTTTTGCATCAGGAACCCCCTCTCCCACTCCCTATCTTCGGGACGAGGAGAAGTGTTACGAGAGAGCCCTGCATAAAAGATTCCTCGTAATCCGCGAGATGATAAAAAACCCCAATTCCAGGGGCCTCCCGCGGGAAACAAGCACAAACAATAAACCTCGCTCTTTTTCGAAAACCAATAAATCAAAAGCCCAAGCACAAATCGCTGTCGTTATAAAACGGGGGGCATTCCAAACAAGAACGCTATTTCGTATCCGGGATATCTCTCATCCTTTCTCAAGGCTCCGCGATGCCAGTAAAAATCTCAAATCTCAAATCATCATAAAAGGTGGTCGAAGGCGTAAAAAACAATCATGTCGTAAACACATACTCAAATCAGGGGTCGTCGTAAGGAGCGTCGGCGGCGTAGAAGGGCAAGCAACAAGCGTAGAATCATAAAAGGCGCGTATCCAGTTGAGGCGGTGGTCGAATGTCCAATCCCCAATCCAACTTCCTCGTCTCAAATCTCCTATCCAGTCGAGGAGCTGAGCAAAGAAGCTGCGTGGCATAAGCCAAAATTGAAGGGTATATGGGGATTAAACATCGATCATCTCGGCGTCGTCGGCCAGCACGTCATCGCCAGGACCCCAGTTGCCTTCAAAGACAGTGGCGCCTGCACGACGACGAGCCTCGACCCAACGAGCACCTTCCGACTCCAGAACCTCGTGGATTGTGGGTCTCTCCTCAGGACGAGGAGTGATCATCCACTTGACGAGTCCATCGAGGGCGCCGCGGTGGTATTGGTCCTTCATGAACGCCGGGGCATTGTTCAATTCGCCGCGCCTAAGAGATCCAAATAGATTCGCTGGGTCGTGCGAAGTCGAGCGCTTAGGAGGGTTGTAGTTGCGCCTCCTGCCTTGGATGCGTTGAGACTTCAGGTCGCGCTCGATCTCGTCGTCGCTGAGATACGAGTCCATGCTGGTGTCGCTATCGTCTACCGGGATGCCAGTCGCGTCGCGGGACACGGCGCTGGCGCTGCTCCAAGTCAAACTCGGAACATCGCTCATGTCGCCTGACCGAAGTCGCTGCCACGTTGGTCCGTTATCGGGTAACAGAACGTTTCCTCCGATTTCGAGCATGATGAGGCCAAACGCAAAGACATCCGACGGCTTGTCATACTGGCCGAGAAGGATCTCGGGTCCGATATACTCACGATCTCCCTCGCCTTCGATTCCCTGCTGTGCTGGGTAAGATGTTGCCATTCCGAAATCGCCAATCTTGATGACACCTTCAAACGTGATGAAGATGTTGGCCGGCTTCAAGTCCAAGTGCAGATATCCAGCGTCGTGGATATAACGCAAACCCTGTCCGAGCTCAAGCAAGATCTTCCAGATTCTAAAGTCGTCCAATCTACCCTTCATACCGACATTCCTCAAGAACAATTGCAGAGTGCCCTCTTCGCAGAACTCCGTCTGGATATAGAGATGGTCGTTCGTCTCCCAGCTGTCGAAAAGCTGAATGATATGGTCCGAGCGTCCGAGTGCCTTGAGCACATTGACCTCTTGCAGCTTGCGCTGACGGTCCTTGTTTCCCGTATACGGAGCGCGAGACTTCTTAACTGCGAAGGCACGGTCCGGCACTGGGGATGGTGGTGATCCTCCTTCAAGTGGAGAATCCGATGTTCCCAAGTAGAACGACTGCTCCTTGGCCTGGGTGACCTGACGCTGTGTAACGCGATAGACGTCCGAGAACTCGCCTCCGCCAATCTTCTCAACCGTTTCAAACAGGGACGTGAGGACCTCGTCCACTTCAACAGGCGCAGATCCGTTAACAGGAGTAACACCTCCGTTAGTCTGGAGATCCTTGCCAGTCGTTGGTGTTGCCGGTGGTGGCATAGTTCCGCTCGTTGCACTTCCCTGCCTTGCGAGCTGGCGAGCCTTCCGAGCCGAAATCGAGAAACGGCCCGCGTCGTGCGGCAGCGCATCTTCACTTGGTGTTTGTGGAGCGCGCTTCTCAATAAAATCTATGCGGTCCAGAGGAGAGGCTGGAGCCACGTGACTAAATTTAGCATTGTCCGGTTTCGAGACAGGACTGACGAAGGGAGAAGCGAGAGAGTTGGTAGGAAAAGACTCCGGGAATTCCAGCTTGGGCCCCTTGGATACTTGAGAGCGGCCGAGGTACGGCATCGAGAGAGAAGGACTAGGAGAGAAATTGTACACAGGAAGAGAGGGAGAATCCGGGTCGAGAAAATCTTCGCCGTTGTCCTCGGGGTCACAGAAGGTAGTAAGTAGGTTTAACTTACTGCTTGTTCTTGGTCTTGAGGAGACCTTTGACATCTCATTGCCAAATGCCGAAAGTTGGAGAGATCGGAGTCCATGTGGGCTGCCGCGGTTGGTGTTGTTGCTGGTAAGTGCTTGCTTGGTAGGGGTTGGTGGCAGTTCGTAATCGCTGGCCGACTGGCTGTCGTTCTGGTTGTCTTCATCGCCATCGATGCTGAGAAAGCTACCGCGTCGAACAAGACCTCCATTCCCGAAGGAGCTGCCAAATACGTTGCTGTTCATGCCAAATACGCCTTGGATTCCGTTCACGTTGAATGGAGTGGATGGTGCGCCAAAAGAGTGCCTAATGTGCCGAGCCTTCGCAATGGCACTTCCTGCAACAGACGGAGCAGGCATTGTGTTGAAACCATTGAGTGGCTTCTTACACGGAGTATCGGGCATATTCGATTTGCCGTTTCCGCGGGGCATAATTTCCGGGTGGTGGTTGACCTTTGAGATAAGCCCAGTAGACATGAATGCAAGTGGGTTCGGCTTCGCCGATTTGTAGTTCTCGGGTGTCGAGAACGTGTTCGAGCCAAACTCTTCCCGAGCAATGGTCTGTAAGGCAATAGGGCGCAGAGCACCCACAGGCAGAGACTTTGAGAAGTCCAGCTTTGGCCTCGGGTTCTCGCCGAAATTGGCGGGAATGTGGGTTGGCGAGTCATCTGGCATGCTAGAGCTTGACGAAGAGGTAGTCAGCGTCCTAGATAGTGGGTGTTGTTTCTGTGTGGGTTGGAGGTTAAACATGTGCATCGACGGGTTTGGGAGTGCGCCCTGTGATGAGAATGGGCTATCCCGAGACATAGGTGGCATGAACTGATCCAAGGAAAGGCGCGGCCTATTCTTCGGTGGTGCTGGCGTCGAGTACTCATTTGACAGTGAGGATAACTCGTATACTGCCTGTCTCTTCCCCCACGAAGCGCTCTTCTCCTGGCGCTGCTGTAAAGTCGACTTGCGCAGAGATGATGACCTCTTGGGCATGCTAGAGAATGAAGTCGATCCCGTAACAGATTGTGCGGAGAACTCAAACTCTGGCACATTTGTATCATCGTGGATATCAAATTTTGGTGATGACGTTGGTCCGTGATCAAAGACATTGAAGTCAGATCCGAACGTCCCAGACCCGTGCAAGCTTCTACGCTTTGCAACTGGGCTTCCTAGACTCGCCTGGTCCAGGTTCATAATCGCATCACTGCGCTTCAACGGGCTAGATGTCGAAGTTGGCGTAGTGGTGCCCTCATTTGTCCCCTCCAATCTTGCCAGCGCTTGGTTGATTGGAGCGCTCATCTCAGGGTTGAGCGTATTCTTCTCGCGGTTCTGTGCCGCCATATTCTTGGGTTCGGTAGGTCTGGTGTTCTCGCACTTCTTCATCTCGTATTCTTCTCGGAGTGTCACACCGAGTGGGAATTGTGAGTTAAGGCGGTTGTTGGACTCGCTAGTCGAGACGCGTTTTAGTGGACTCCTCGGAGAAGTGCGCACTCTAGATGTTGTGGGTGAGTTCTTTGCGCGATTCGCTGAGCGCAGCGACAACTTCACGCTTGGCGGGAAGGGCTTCGCTAGTGGCGAAGGCGCATGGGTTGGTGTGCCAAAGAAGTTGTGGTGTGTTTGGCCAAGTCCCGAGGGCGACCCTGGGGATAAAGGCGAGGGAGATAAAGGTGTCTTTGGCGACTGTGCGGGGGTTCTCTGCGTTTTGAGGTTAAATTTTGATGGTGATCGCGACAGCGAGCGTCGCAAAGATCTTACTGCTGAGGTGACATCAACATGGCGAACATGTGTTGGCGATGGTAGGGTAAGCGTGCCGCCACCGCTATTCGAGTATGACATTGTATGGTGAAGCAGTAGATGTCAAGTGATGTGGTTGGTAAGCGGTATGAAAGAACGAGCGGTCTCGATCTTGCACGTTCAGATTGTATCTCTCAGCTCATCGAAAATAGCGAGAGGGGGAGATGGTCTGATAGATGAGGGGTTGACATCCAAGGTAGATGTCAAAAAGCTTGTTGGTTTTGTAGTTTTAGGTTTGTCGTGGGTTGGTTTGTGGGAGTCGGCGTCGTCGGTATAGATCTATGGAGATGATCAAGGCAACAGTGGAATAGTAGTGTCTTGAGCGGCAACAGACTCTCTTGCTTCGAGATGTTGGTATGGTAGATGAGGATGATCGAAGGCGAACGAGAGCGAAAGGCGGTTTGGAGTCAGCGTTTCAACGTGGCGAAGTGGTGACATGCATGTATAGTATCCTTCTGCCAACACACACAAGCCAGAGATGTTTATTGTAGCCAACAATCTGTCAGTCTTGCCTCATGCACCCCACACACACACACACAACAACAAACACCAACAACAACAACTTCTTCTTCAACCCCCTCGACTCTCTTGAATCCTTAAGCGCGTAGTCGTATGCGCGCGCGAAGCAACATTCATGTGTAATTGTATGGATTGTATGGAAAAATGAAGTTATCGAGAATTGAGTGGCGGGTGGGTGTGCGTTTGGTGTTTAAAGATCGAAATAGGAAGGGACAAGGCCGGGAACGCGACTTCCCCTACGCGGGTTGGCGCTAGTGAGGCAGGGACGGGGGTACGGGGAAGTCGCGACCTGGGATTGTTTACTATTGGACTGATTAGGACTAGTGGGTGTTTAGATTCTGTCTAGTTTCTGTCTACAACGTCGACGGGTCAAGGCACGACGCGTTTATCTGCAGCGGTACGATACAAAAGAAGTCAAAATTCAAAACAATGCCGCGACAGACATGTTTCTGAGGGGTTGTTGAAGATTTTGGGCATTATTGGGCATTCTCCGGCATTCTTTGAGGTTCTAATCCAACATACAGCACCACCATAAACAAACCAAAATACCCAATGTAAACAAACCCTCTCGCATGATCAACATCATCTAAACCCTCATAAAGGATCATAAAGGATCATCTATCATCATCTAAACATCATCTCAAGCATCATGCAACACCCACCACCCAAACATCCCATCTAAACATCATTGTTTTGATCTCCCCCCCACTTCCCAGCCAATAAGACGCGTCCAACACCCTCGCCCCCCCTCCCCCCCATCCCCATCTCATCTCGACCAACGCTTCTGCCGAGACACATCCGTCTATTTCAGGCATCACAATCCAGGGGCCGCCCCGACCGTCGGGTAGACCCTAGGGGGCTAAGTACAAGCCCCCCCAAGTCCGTCGAAGTAAAAAAATCGGAAAAACCGGACACCACCCACAACGATCGACCCTCATCCTCCCTGTACCCTTGCCCCCTTGCCTCTCCTGAAATGAAAAACTCGAAAACCCGAACAAGAGCGGTGGACATGTGGGTGTGGACGAACCGAACAGTGCGCGCGGTGTGGCGGTGGACAGGACCACACGCCGCTCACGCTCATCACCCACGGTCCGCCCTTTCCCGTCCCTTCCCATCCCCAGTTCCCACCGCTCGCGCGCGCGCGCCCCCGCCGCCGCCAGCCGGCGGTCGATCCCCAGTCAAGTCCAGTCATCATCGCTCCACCGCCTGGTCAGAAGCCACCCAGCCACCAGCCAGGCCAGGTCCTCACGGTTCAGGAGGCGCGTGTGAGACAGCGATGAGATGCATGCGGCGGCGGCGGGAAGCAATCGATAGGTGGTGTGCACAATCGATACACTCCCGCTCACTTTTCTTTTCCCCTCTCTCGCTATCCGGCTGCAGGAGATAGGTCGGCTGATTGAGGAGTGATGGGGATTGAAGCAGGTAAGCCGAGCTCGGTGACACACCAAGGGCAAAGGGCAAGACAAACGGAGGAGGACCGAGGGATCAGACATCAGACCTAACGACGGAAGAGACAAACTATCAGTCTCCAAGAATCAATATTTAGTAGCACACCTCGTACTCTACAGAAAACAGTACATACCCAACCTCCGAGTCTCCCGTAAAAAATACCTACTTACAAAAGTATTGCCTTCCAACCTCCCAATCTCCCCTGCCCCCCTCCCCCCCCAAAAAGGTACCAGCCCACCCCCCCCCCCCAGAAGGAGAAGAGAAGAAAAATAGGAGACAGGGGCAGGGCACGAACAAACACGCGGAAATTGTGCAGAGACGTATTTCTTTTCCACAATTTCCTTTCGGGGACGTGTGTGGTGGATAAGTGGGGTATTCCGCGGCGGGGGGAACGGGAGATGGGGAGGGAGAGGAGATGGCGGTCAAAATGACGGTGTGGACTCCCCCTCGCCGCCCTTGCGTCCGGTGCGGTGTGTGTGTGTGGCGAGTCTCAGTTTTTCTTTTACCCCTGAATATTTGGCTGAGTCGGGTCTTCAGTTGCGCTTTTTTTTTTTTGGGAGGGTTCAGTTCAGTTACTGTGGGTTTGGGGATCCGGATGAGGTGCGATGGGTTGTAGGGAGTCGTGCTGAAGTTTCAGAGGAGAGGGGATAGAGGACAGAGGGCGAGTCGCGATATGTCGGCGTGGTGATGCTCGTAATCGGGGTCGTGGACAACCCCTGTTGTCGGTTCTTATCGATTTATCGATGGTGGGAGGGTTTTGGGGCCCACGCCATACCAAAATATGCTCCACAGTGATTTATCACGGATGTCAATAATTGAGAAATCAACGTCTAGATTCGACTCCAGATCAGGATCATCCCTCTAGATTGTAAAAAATAAAGAATCATAGACGTTAGTTGATAATAATTTTATTTGTTTTTTAAAATCATTTGTTAGGTTTTTATTTATTTATTTATGTGGTGATTTGTTTATTTTGATAGGGATTTAAATGTGTATTTATTTATTTGTTATTATTTTTGCCACCATACAAATACAAATACAAATACAAAACCAAACAAACCCCATAACACCCTTTTCAAATACCAGTTGTCGTATCGACCAAAAGTCTAATGAGGGATTGTACATAACAACAGCAATTACAGCGAACATAATTCAAGTAAAGGGCGATTAATCACCTAGGGCTGCAATTAGCAAGTTAGTTACTGACAAATAACCCAAACAGATCTACGAGACTAGGCTGCTAGTATTAAACCCTGAGCTCTACGCAGTCCCTCTTCAGACTTTTGGATCACCACTGCAACAAGTTGAGTTAAAAAATACGATCTATCTGTTTCCCTATCCTATAAAACACCTCATAAACATGCACCCTTGGGGGTGATTGGCGCATGGACCCTGTTGATCGATCGATCGCGCATAGACACTCTCATACAACCAACATCTTATCGCGTTCCAACATAAGATAACATAACATAACATAACAATCAGCCTCACAAACGGCCCTGCCCTACTCTACCCATGCCTCCCCATCCCAAAAACGAGTCTTTCCAAGACCGAAACTCTAGAACTCCAATGCTCGCTCCGACAAGCTGTCATTAATTGCTCTGAGAGGTGCCAGTACCAGTCCGCGAAATGGGCGGCTGAGCTGTTGGATGCGCTTCCGGATGATGATTTGGGCGGGGAATTGACGTCTTTGGCTGAAGTCTTTGATACACAGACGGATCCGGTGGAGTTGCGGTTAGAGCAGGATGAGTTGCCCAAGTATCTCATGGCGAAGTCTCTCCTCGACTGCCATGAGATGAGACGGTTGTGCTGCTGTTTTCCTATCTAGTGACTCCTCCGAACATACTATTCCACTACAGAATAATGTGCTCAACATCTCCCACGGCAAACCATCCAGGTCAGTATTCAGCAAAACCAGCCTGAAAGGCTTATCCCTTGCATCACACGCTCTCCTCCTAGCAGGCGAAAAGCAGAAAACTGAAGAGCTGGGTCCTATCCTCGGACCCTCAGATACCGGCGCTGTTATCAACAAGCAGTTGGCGCCTCTCAAGCGTATGTTGGAGACGTGGTTTGACCAGGAAGCGGGGAATAGGCTGAGTCAGGGATGGCTGGAATACCTGTATGGATTCCCATTCTCTGGAACGTGATTACGGGATTAACAGTGCGGTTCTCTCAAGGCACGGAATTGTACTGGCGAAAGAGAGAAGCCATGATCTTGCGATAGATTGGTTGTTGAAGAGTGTACTGCTGTATCCTTGGAATTGGGGGGCATGGCTGGAGTTGAGCTGTTTAATACGTGATGTGAAACATGTGAGAATCCAGCACTGTTAACAGTGGCATAATAACTGACAATCGGTTTAAGCTCAACCAGGTCCAGTCTAAACTCCAGCCACATATTATGGCCTTCATATTCTCAGTCCACTGTTGCCAAGAGCTGCACCAGTTCTCACCGGCCCTCCTTTCCGAGATATCCCAGCTCCAGAGAGTTTTCCCCCGTAGCCTATTCCTCCAAGGCCAGCGAGCCCTGGTGTTCTACCGCATGAAAGGTACCAACCCCCCCAGCACCACCTCTCTTATTCCTTCTAACACCCCGTCCAGACTTCCACACAGCAAACACCCTCTTCTCCTCAATGCTTATATCCTCCCCCTTCCACCTCGACTTCCTACCCCACCACTCCAACATCATCGGTTCCTCCTCGCAACTCGCATTCCCCACCCACCTCAGCACCTCAATCTCCCGCCACCGCCCTGAAACCCACGTCGCACTCGGGAACTACTACTCCCTAACCTCGCGGCACTCAGATGCCATCCAGTCCGGCTCGCCCTGCAATTAGACCGGAATTTCGCGGCTGCGTGGACGTTATTGGGTCATGAGTACTACAAGGTGGAGAATACGCATGCGGCGATATCGGCGTATCGGCGGGCCGTGAAGGGGGATAATAAAGACTATCGCGCGTTTGTGGGGTTAGGGGTTGTGTATGAGAGGCTAGAGAGGCCAACATTATCACTGCATTACTATCGCCAGGCGCTGGCGTTACGACCGGATGACGGCGAGTTGTGGCATATGATGGCGAGCTGTTTGGGGAGTATGGGGAGGGTGATGCAGGGGATTGAAGCGATGAAGAGAGCTATTGCTTGTAGTGGTGATGGGAGGGGGAATAACCAGGACGATGAGCTTGGTGCTAGGTGCAAACGCATTGAGCTGTTTTTCCAACTCGCTAATGCGTATGCGGAAGTGCAGGAGCGCGGGGAAGCTACGAAGTACCTGGAGATCTGCGTGGATGAAGCTGATGAGGTTGAGGGTAGTGGCGATGTGGGTGCACCCCTTTCAACCGCCACTGTGTCGGTTATAAACCGATCACGACTACTTTTGGCGCGGTGGATAGCTGCGGATGGCGATGATACGAGGGCGAGATATCTGGCGAGGCAAGTTGATCAGGGCTCGGAATTTGCGGAGGAGGCAAGGGATCTGTTGCGTTCATTTGTTGTCACGGAAGAGGAAGATGATGGGGAATAGGAGAAGTCCACATATTCAGTTTGTACAACGCGACCATTTACAAGCTATTCGAAACAAATGGAGCTCCAAAACCAAAACCGGAACCGAAAGAGTCTAAACAAATGCAAACAGACCCGAGCAACTGCAAACCGATCCAGTCGGCGCCATGCCCTCACCATACCAAAGGAAGGCGACAAACTCCAAACCAGCAAAACCAACTCCCCACACCCACAAACCGATCCAGCCCAGTCCCTCCCCCCTCACAATTCAAGCGGAAATGTATTCAGATCATTCCCCCCACGCCTCACCATCCCCTTCGTCCGCATATGCATCGACAGCGCCCTCAACCGATCTCTCAACCTCCCATACTCCGCCAATTTGTCATTAACCCTATAATTCTTGACAAACAGCGAGGCATTCTCGAGCTGCGCCTTGCGTCCGGCTTCGGTACCCGGCCCTCCCTTCGCCTCGATATCAGCCAGTTTTTCTTGGACCTTGGGAGTTATCTGGGCTCGCGCGCGCAGGAGGTCCGTGAGAACGCGTTCGTAGCGGCCGAACTCGTGGTAGAGTTCGCCGCCGAGTCGCCAGCAGCCGGTGGTGCTGGCGGGGAAGGGTGGGTCGGGGGTGAGTGAGAGGGGCGGGGCTTTCATGAAGGAGGCCATGGTGGTAGTCTGGAAGAGGGGGTTAGGAAGAGTGTGGGATAGTTATAGTTTGGGGAGAGGGAACGCACATTAAGGTTGCGGATATATGAGTAGTAGTTGGTGACTCGAGACAAGAAGCACGATGAATGTTTGGATGAGAAATGAGAGTCGAAGAGTAGCCGATGGAGCAAAGTAGAGCTCTTGGATATGTTGATAATGGTAGATGGTTTCGAAGTGACTGGATTACTAATTTGATATAACTCTACAGCTGCGACATTTGAGAGTTCTTATACCCATCCCAACCTACGTCGAAGCTACGATCTCCAACACTTCGCGCTGCGCAACATGATACTCCATCCCACGAAACCCAACATCTCAAGCCCATCTCATGATAACCCAGGCTTCAATACGGAGCACCCAGCGCCTGTGGCCAGATTCAGCGGCCATCGAAAACACCACGCCGCGTACCCAACAGCACTTTAAACCATCGATATAGTACTAAAAACCGCCTGGCCTGCCCGCGCTATCCCTCCACCAAAGACCGTTGACGCCGCTGCTCCCACACACAAAAGCGCAAAACAGCGCTTGCCCTCGCCCTCGCCCTCGTCCCCAGCAGCGGGCGACCGTGGTTAGTTAAATTATCTGAGTTTTGGGTTGAGACGGAGACCATCGGTGTTGGTGGGGGTGTACAGATAGTGTATCATAGTATAACATTAACATAAGCGCCGTCGATCCAACAACATCTCACATCGCTCTTCTCCTCAGCAAACATCCAGCTTACCTAGACCGACGTCCTCCGTTTCGAACTCGCAGATCTGACCGCGCGCGTAAACCCAACTTTTGATTCCCCCACCTCCTCATCCGGTCGCGATTACGCGCCGTACATACGCCTCAACCAACACCATTTACGCCATACCTCGCCTCCTCCAATATAGCCACAGCCGCAGACCTAGATGGCGCAGATTATCTACAACCACAACTTATGGTCGAGTCGTGATCATGATTGTGGTTTGAGGGTCTGTATGCATATGACTTGATGTGGAAAGGGAGGGGAAAGGAGGGGAAAGAGGGGAAGGAGGGGAAGGGTGGAGCCCGATTGTATCCCCAAGCACTAAATGTGGGTTCTTGATCAAAATGGAGGACGGGAGTTATTCAAATTCTGTCGCGGGGTTGGGTAAAACTAACGAGCATTGGCGAAAAAGCGGATTTCCCCTCCCCCATGGGGAATCTGCGTATCTATCTCCAATGGTGTAGTCAATATGAGAACGAAGTTTGCTCCGGTGGAAAAAATGATGCGGGGTGCATGATGATGTCTGTGCAGCTGGGGAGTGACCCATTCCGAGTGGTTGAAGCCAAGTCCTAAACCCAGCTACGGGCTGTCTAATGACCAATCAACGGGATGACCCCGTTTTCGGAGAACAGGACATAAACCGGCTACCGGGAGTTATTGTCAATCCTCAATTTACATCATCGTCCACCGGATCGCGAGAGCATAAACAATTTGACAAGACGGCGAAGGCATTGTGCCGCTGCATATTTGGCCCTTGCCATGGCAGGTAGAGCTAGGTCTGCCTCTAAGGTGGGGAAGGCATGTGACCGTTGCAGAAAGCAGAAACTGAAGGTCCGTCATTTACTCACAACCTCTTCTTGATATAGCAATTCGTATCTGAAATACGTAGCTAACGACTCTTTCCTTTGTAGTGTGATGTAGAGCGCCCTTGTACACTTTGTGCAAGGAGTGGCATTGAGTGTACGAGTAATAGCACTCATGGGAGTAAACCATTAGGACTTGGGCGAGGCCGAATCGCGCGAACGAAGTCTCACCCAAACCGAAGAAGCCTCATTGCAAACTATGAAATTCCACTATCTCGTGAGATGAACAATGAAACTCCAAGTCCTCGGCTGGTTACAACATCAGCTACGTCGGATGCTCCTTCCGAAGCTACCTCTGACACGGATGGCCCGATGACCGAAGAAGCACTACCGCATGAAAGAGGATCTGCTGATTGCAATGTTGAAAGCCGTCCACAGGATTACCAACATCGACGTGGAGGCTTGCAGCCTACTACCTCCCCTAGATCGCAGGACGACACCCCAAGACTATCATCTCGTCATTCAGAAGCTCCTACAACACGAAATGGCTTCACCGGGGATAGTTCTACAATTGGACTTACAAGAGAAGTAAGTGTATACTATACTAGTAGACATGTTTTGTTTTAAACTTCTACAGGTTTTCGATTTCAACGACTCTCAGCATCACTCCTTAACCTCAGCCCTGCCAGGTGGGGCAAGCCAACCTTCTCCTGACAATGTCGGATTCCAGGAGTCGATTACTGAGACCGCCGAATTGCCTCCAGCCGTGGTGGTAGAGGCTTTGCTTGACACATACTTTGATGCCGTTCATTGGTTTATGTTTATTCTTCACGAGAGCTCCTTTCGGGAGCAAGCTAGACGCTTCATGGAGAAGGCCTCTTCCGACCGCACAGCCGAAGATGCAGAATTCACAACCTTGCTTATGATGGTACTAGCATATGGTGCGCAGTATGCTGCCAAGAACCCCAATTGGAAGTTTAGAGCACTTATTGAGAAGCACTCTATTAACCTTCACACCCTAACTCAAAGCATGATTCAGCACGTGCGATCTCGTTTATTCGACAGTCTCGAGCGATGCCAGGTTGAGGTTGTACAAATCTGCGTTCTTCTAGGCACATTCTATATATATCACGGAAAGCCAAACTTGTCATGGCCAATTCTTGGCTTAGCTGTTAAATGTTCTTATGCCCTGGCTATGCATCGCGAAGTTGACTGGCGCGGGAGCAATATTGCATTACAGACCCGGAAAAGGGCTTGGGCACATACTTTTATATCTGACACCTTTGCAGCTGCAATATATGGTCGACCATCCACCATCGACAGGGCATTTTGCGACATTTCATTCCCAGACGAGTGTGACGATTCACAAATACCGATGCCGCTTCGAAGGTGCGTTGAGCGGTTGAACGATGGTAAACCAATATCGAGGCACACTTTTCATACTGAAAAATACCGTCTGTATGACATGAAGGCTCAAATTGTCAACAAGATTTACACTTTGCGTGGTCGAAGGGGGGTTTCGACCGCAAAGGGCATCGTGAAACTGGTGAACACCATTCGCGGACTCGACAAGCTATTACGAAACTGGTACGATAGTCTACCAACTTTTCTCAAATACGCCGAATGGAAAGACATGCAAGGAGATCCCTTTGATGGGCTACAAGGGTCTGAAGCAGCGATTCCTGCATCTCAAGAGACCCTCAAGCGCCATATGATCTTGCAAGTAATCACCTTGCAAGTCTCTTACGACAACATTTTGATCTTATTACACCGTCCACTACTTGAATACAAAATGTCTTCTCACAAGGAAGGAAGTTCACCAGAGGTAGCCAGTGACGACCCATTTGCCTACTCGTTTAACACTTGTATGGACGCAGCGATGCGAATTTCTCGCACGCCTGCCCATAAGTTTGAGTACGACATGCCCTTTGCACTTATGTGTATGCATATGTTCACTGCCGGGGTCATTTTATGCATCCCGGCGACTATGAGCCCTTTTAGCTATCTTGCACACAACGCCAAAGCTGGAGTTGTAAGGATCATCCAAATGCAAAAAAGTCTATCGAGCCATACACCAATAGCCGTACAGAGCCACACCATCTTGGAAGAGCTCATGAAAGTTGCGATCAAGCGAGAGCTTGACATGATGTTACAACCTACCGAGCATCAACAATCGCGAAATAACTATGAAGAGAGCATGGGGTTCAACTCGAGGCATATGTTCGCGACGGGTGAATCGACTCCAATCTTATCACCTTCCGGCGGCAGGCTCTTAGGGGATGTCACTTCACGCAATGGCCAACTATATACAAATCAGACTTTACCATATGGACAGCGGCCGTCAGGAGAGTCCCGACTGACCCCAGGCGCAATGGGCGAGAACAATAGTTCTTTGGAGCTTGAAGCGGGTCCACCTGAAACGGCGACCTATTCTGTGCCAGGATCTACAAATACTAATGATCTTCCTCTTTTACATCCTACATATGAGGGATCTACGTCTGCTATTTCATGTGATGGTGTTGATTACAGTCAAAACTACAGCGACCTAGGTGCTGAGCTAGATGATGGATTTAACAACGCGTTCGGTGCCTTAGAGAAAGGTTAGTTCAAGGAAAATCACCCCTCGTCGATACATACTTACTCCTACAGTTATGTATGATTTTGCGCCTTTAGAGCGGCTCGACCCTGCCTGGATGCATTCTATGGCGACCAGTGATCTACAACATCCCACCGAACATCGGCCGCAGGACGGCCTTTCGGGACCAGCAGACGCAAGCTCAGCTGGGTTACCTGCAGCTGCCGAACTGCGTGAGGCCTCTGAAGAATCTCGAGCTTCACAGTTGGCTTTCCATGGAGGAGCGGCCTCTGCAAGGAACATTGGAGCTACTAGCCTCCATAATTTCACGGAACCTGGACCCCCATGGCTTTGGGGTCTGAATAGAATTACATGAGGGGTTTGAAATTCTATTTGTATTAAATAACCTCTTGAGATGGAAAATAATTACTCTCTATTATGACGCTTCATCGGCAAGATCCTTACAATCTTGTCATCTCTCGCCTCGCTGAGATCTTCAAACACCGAACTCCGACCATACCTTTAGTATCATTAACCCACCCACCTCTCAGTTAGCTGTTTATCAATCACCGATAAACGTAGTCTTTACAGCAACTGTAATTCAAATATAGATTCCTAATCACTGTTCTGAAATATGTTGTTTATAGAAATTGTGATTAATGTAGAGACGCTTAGTTACTATGTACAAAGGTCGTGTTTACAGTAACTATAAATTAAAACAAGGCGCTCCGTCACTCAGAGCTCCAATTAATGAGCCAGCTATTTTTAGACACGGAGATCAAGAGATAAATCATCTCAGTATAAATATCTAGTATGAATCTTCAGTTGTGATCAGACTGTGGAGGCAATTCGCGGTAACTGGATGTGTCAACCGGCAATTACTCGCGCGGGGGAGGTGGCTAGGGAAACAGGCGGAACGGGTGGGGCTAGAGACTTTCGGCGGAAGCGCGGGGAAATGGTTGGACAGGAGGACCTCTCGTCCTCCACCGGATGACCTCCGGTGGAAGAGAAAGAAGGCCTCGAAATAATGTTTACCTCTGCTTCCTCAAAAAACCCACACAAACATCTAAGTGGCCCTTGGAACCCCGCAAACTAGAGATGGACGCATTGGAGACGGGCTGTCATGCCAATTGGTCTCCACAGCGGAATCCAAGGTGTTTTGCGGGGTCCCCGCAAAACAAGAACAGGCTATCATGACCCTTGATTTGATATAAAAGCCCTGTCACGCATGTCTGATTATAATTCCTGCTCCTTAGATTCTTTTTCCTTGTGAGAGCAAGATACATTATCAATTCGGATCTGCTAAAATTTCACTATTAAAGAATGTCGGATCTTAAAGAAGAATGTGTAGAGAAGCACATTGAGAGTAGCCCAGCCGGATCAACGTACCCTCCTGAAATCGTCGCATTGTACGAGAAGTTCGACGATGACAGAAGGAAAAAGTTGCTGCGGAAGATGGATTACCATCTAATCCCAATCATCACCCTGCTCTATCTTTTCGCATATCTAGACAGGTAAGACAAACCAGGCCAGACCTAGAGCCACTGCAAGGCCATAGTCACTGACACTGGGTTTCTTCCACAGAGGAAACATCGGAAATGCAAAGCTGGCTGGGCTTTTAGAGGGTGCTCATATCAATGACGCCGAATATAATATCTGCCTTACGGTTTTCTTCGTCACCTACGTGATCTTCGAGGTTCCTGCCAATATGCTTCTGAAGAAGTTCAAGCCCTCGGTTTGGAGTAAGTCCAGCCTCGTTAGATATAAAGAGCTGTAATGCTAACCAACACAAGTCCCAACAATTGCCGTCTTATGGGGAATCGTCATGGTCTGCCATGGATTTGTCCACAGCTACGCCGGCTTGTTAGCTTGTCGACTCATGCTTGGTATCCCCGAAGCAGGAATCTTTCCCGCTTGCTCGTACTACGTGACGATGTGGTACCCTCGAGCAGAAGCACAGTACCGGACAGCACTGTTTTACGGGGCCGCCTCCCTCGCGTATGTTGTTGCGCTCAGAGTCCAGCCCAAGAAATATTGCTGACAGTTCCTACAGTGGCGCATTTTCTGGTTTACTTGCTTACTGCATCTCACTAATGGATGGCGTTGGAGGATATGGAGGGTGGCAATGGATTTTCATTCTTGAGGGGGCAGCTACAATAGTTGGTGGCCTAGTGGCATGGTTTTTTATCCACGACTCCCCGAATGGAGTGAAGTGGCTCGATGAAGATGAGGCTGCCTTCGTTACCGCCCAGCTTGCTTATGACGGAAACAGCACAGGAAATGCCATGCAAGAGGGACAAAAGAAGAGTGTCTACATCAAAGAAGCTTTCTGTGATTGGCAGGTATGTTCTAATCTCTCAACCTCTCACATAGATATCCTTACTCTGGGTTACTAACCTTGCGTAGATTTACCTCAGCTCTTTAATCTACATTGGAATCTCAACTAGCACGTATGGTATCGTTTTCGGCCTACCCACAATCATTAAGAACCTGGTCCGTCCCCCTTTCACTCTCCTATACAAGACGCCGTAAACCCAACGGGGATAGCATTAGCAAAACTAACAGCGTTCCTCTCACCAGGGCTACACCGCTCGCATCGCTCAGCTTCTCACTATTCCCCCCTACGCCACCGCATGCGCGATAACCATCGTTGTGGCCCACTTCTCCGACAAGTACAAGAAGCGTGGTGTCTTCGTCATCGGCAGCCTCACTGCCTCCGCTTTCGGCTTCATCCTCGCCATCGCTACCTCCAACCGCCGAGACCTCTCTGGCGTAACCTACGCTGGCTGTTTCATCGCCTGCTGCGGCTTCTATCCCGCGTTCCCAGGTATCATCGCCTGGCTTGCTAACAATCTTGCCGGGTCGTACAAGCGTGCTATTGGAATGGGGTTGCAAATTTGTAAGTGCATCTTCTCCATTGATTCTTCTCTTCCTACGTCCCAACCGTCATTATTTTATTCTCTGCAAGGGCCAGTGACTGACAAGTTTGAAATAGCACTGGGAAACACAGGCGGTTTGATCGGGTCGAATATTTTCCGTGCTCAGGACGCACCTGCATACAGACTTGGTTACGGCATCTCGATAGGCTTTATTTGTATGTCTGGTGTGTCCGCGACGCTCATGGTCATCATCCTAGATAGGATCAACAAGAAGCGCGCGGCGGCTGTGGAAGAGATGGGCGGAGAGGCGATTGTCATTGAGGAGCAAGGGGAGTGGAATCTCACGGAGATGGGTGATCGTAGCCCGTTATTCAGATATATCTTGTAGAATTATGTCGATGAGTTTGGAATAATCTAGAATAGCAAATAGGCAAATATATATCTTGCACCTGAAGTTTAGTAACAGAAATGGAGATGTCGTTTTTTCTTTCCTTTTGGCGCGCGTGTCTGGTTTCGCAGGCCTAGATGGCTGTGCTGGGGCGGGGGGTGGGTAAGGGGCTGGCGAGGTCGAGGTTGTAAAGGAGAACTATAAGGTGAGATGATGGGTACGTGTGCCACATGCATAAGCGGAATTCAAACGCTAATCTTTGTGGTAATCTACTATAAGTTAATTCTATAGTTATGCATTAGTCTATATATGCTACTAATTTAGGTACACGCCGGTAAGGTATGTTAAAGGCTAGTTTAGTTTACCACAGATAAACCTCTTAGCTCCCTACCTAGAGACAAGTGCTCGTAAGGTACGAATTATCATTAGAGAGAAAGAACTTAACTCCCTATCTAGAGACAAGTGTCCGCAAGGTACGATTTATCATTCCACCCGCTAAATTCTTATATACTGCTTATATATGCTTTAGTTTTCCACACACTATCTTTATTATTTAGCATCCAAAACCACAATAAAAAGCCATACAAAATTCAGGAGCAATAGCCAGGATGGTCGAACTATACGCAGACATCACAGTACTGCCCACGGACATTGGCACAAGGGACGCAATTATCATCGCCATGGCCGGAATCCTAGCCAACTTCTTCTGGCACATAGTAAAGCTCAGCTGGAGAGCGTGCTTCGGGAATTCAGGGGGAGAATCCTATGTGACGGAGCCAAAGCTTAAGCATGACGAACAGAGAGACATATCTATAAAACTGCGCAAGGAACTAGACGAGGCTCTCAAGAAACGGGATGTAGCTCATGAGGAACGGGACGAGGCACTCAAGGACCGAGACAAGTATTGGGACGAACGCGATGACTATTGGAGGCAACGAAATGAAGCTCTGGGGGAACGAGATGCCGTTCGCAAGCAACGAGATACTGCTCGCCTGCTGCGAGATAGAGCATATGAGGAACTCGACAAGCTCTATAAGGCGAAACTTTATAGTGACGAGAATGACAAGTTGAGCCTGCTGGTTTTGGAAAGACAGCAATATCACTAGGGGTTTAAGTTTTCGAGGGGATTACGGAGTTTATGGCGGATGAAGGTGGGATCAGCACGTACGTAATATAATAGTTCTATCGATTCCCTGTTACTGATTTTGCACGATAGAGGCGAACATTGCGTTTAGATACATTTACCTACGCTCACCAGTGCTCATCTTTATCTTTTTCTTTTGGCGCGCGTTGGGAGTTGGTTAGTCTGTCTGGATGGCCTGGTCGGAGAAGAGGGTGGTTTCAGATTTGGATGGATGTGTACGCACTGATATCACTCATATGCATGCGGAATAATATATCTATTATGCATATCCATATAATCATCATCATCTCATCATAAGTCCGTTTCTTCCCCCCTCCCCATCTTCCAACCACTCCCACCATTACACAAAACGAAATCGCAGTACTAAAGCCAAAAACAATACAAAAACAAAATCAGAAAAACCTCCCATAAATAAATACGAAAACCCCATCACATGACACCCCCCCGCCCCGACCAACCAAAAAAAACAAGAACGCCCGATACAACCCCTTAAACGTATTTCATCTCATCTCACCAACCACTAAACCCTCTCAACCCTCTCCCCCGCATCCCCCGCCGTCTCCCCATAATAATCCGGATTAACATGACCCGGCCCCGCTGATCCCCCCGGCGCTGGTCCCGAATGCGTAGAATGCGCCTCATACCCCCCATTCGGCGGGGCATGGTACGCACCCGATGGCGGGACAGGGGGTGGTGGAAACGCGGTGGGAGCGTTGGGATCGGGGTGCGCGCCGTAGTGGTTTGCGTCGGGGTAGGGGTGTGGGTCTGGGGTGGTGGGGTAGGGGTGGGAGGGCGGTTGGGTGGAGTGGTTGGGGTAGTAGGCGCCGCCGGAGGCGTGGGGGGGGGAGGGGGAGTAGTCGGCTGAGCGGCGGGAGGAGGGGTAGGAGTCTGAGGAGTAATCTAGGGGGTGGGTGTCAGTTGGTGTGTGCGGATGTAAAGGGGGTTGGTGGGGAAATAGGCGGGGTAGGTAGATGGGTGGAATAAAGTGTTATGTCAGGGGTATACGCACGTCTCTCCCTCGCAGCCTCCTCCTCCCTCCTCTTCCTCCTCGCCTTATACTTCCTCACCCCCACCGCCGCGGCCGTCGCCGCCGCCGCCCCACCGAGCACATCCCTCGCGCGACTCCTACTCCTGCTTCGGCTCCTGCTTCGGCTCGGGCTTCGACTCAAACCCCTGCTACGGGTATTAGCATCATCAAACTCAGATCTTCTCCCGAAATCCGTCCCCCGCACCCTTGGCACGGGCGCGGTAATCCCAAGAACAGAACTAGGATGTTCTTCACGATGACCAGTAAGGAAACGTTGATCCGCATACCCTCTCTCTAACCCGCGGCTGTGTAGCGGCTGCGCGCCGTACTCCACCAACCCGGGACGCTCATAATCATCATCAAGCCTCCTCCTCCCGCCGCGGCTGCGACTACGACTCTTACTACGGCTCAGACTCCTCGATACGCCCCTCTCGCCCTCCTGCTTCGCCTTGCGCCGCTCATACAACCCCGCGGCAGCTGCTGTCGCCAGTCCCGCAGCCGCGAGCTCCGCTCCCGTCCGGATCCGGGATTTACTCCTCGTGCGCTCGCCCTTGCGGGATTTAGAGCGCGCCCGCACAGCCTGCGCGATCGCTAGCGCTGCTGCACCCGCCGCGCCGGCCTTCGCAATGCTCTGTCGCCGCTTCTTCGGATCGGAGTGTCGCCCCTCGCTTGAGGCGCGGCCTGCTCGGCTGGGGCTGCGCGTGCGGCTGCGACCGCGGCCTTCCTCTGCGCGCTTGGTGTCGTGGCGGTCTTTGAAGTATTTCCCTGCTGCGAGGGCGGCGACGCTTAGTGCGGCGGCACCGAGGCCCATTTTAAGTTTCGAGTGCTCTGGGCTGGGCGAGCGGCGATGGCGGGAGTGTGAGCGTGACCGCCGACGGTGTCCGTAGTGGCTGTGTGCGCGAGTGGCGAGCTGGGCACCGATTGCGCCGAGAGCGGCGCCGGAAGCGAGGTTGGCGGCTTTGTTCTGGCGGACGCCGGATTTGGAGCGCCGGCGCGAGATGAGTGCTGCAGCTGCGGCGCCAGCAGCGGCACCTTCGGCGAGGTGCAGTTTATGGTGCGGGCTGTGGGAACGGGAGCGGGAACGGCGAGTGGTGCGGCGTACGACTTTCTCTTCGTTGCTCCACTCGCCGGAGCTGCCGGAGCCGCGGCGGCGAATCACTTTGCGCTCGGAGACGTAGTCTTCCTCTGGATGGCCGGTGTCACGGACCTCGTGTCGGCGGTAGTAGACGTCTTCTTCTCTGCGCGGTTCGCGCTCACGGTCGCGGTGGATCACGACTGGCTGTGGTGCGGGAGGAGCCTCAACAATGATGCGCTGTGGCTCGGGCTGCTTGTGTCTAATCACCAGTGGAGCCGCCACATCGGGTCGTCCATAGTACTCAGTCTCGCGGGTGACGAGGTCGTAGCCCGGCCCGCCGCTGCGCTCAATGACGCGCACGTCCTCCTCTCTCTCCCAGGTCTGTTCGCGCTCCCACGGTCGGAGGGGCTGTTCGCGTTCCCGCTCCCGTTCATACACCAGTGTCCGGCTACGCGCCGGCTCGTCCCGCCCGTAGTTGGAATCGCGATCGCGCTCAAAGCGCTCGACGCGCGTGTCGTGGGTGACTTCGATGCGCGGGCGCTCGTAGTCGGATTGCGGGGAGGGAGAGCGTGCGACGCGATAGCGATGCACGGTTGTTTTGTAGGAGCGCTCGTCGTCGGAGTAGTCGTCGTCGCGGTAGCGCGACTTGCGCGTGCGCACAATCTCAGGCATGGCTGTGGTGGGTATGACTGTGAGATGTCGGTGTTGTGATGAGGAGATGAGGAAATGAAGAGGTGAGAATGTGAAGAGGAGGGGAATGAGAGATGACGGTGATGATGGTGGGGTGGAATTCCTGCAAGGATGTTTAAGTGGATCCTGGAATGCCGGCTCAGCCCCAGTGCGGGAATTCTGGAAGGGTGGAAGAAGGAAACGAGGTCAAGATAGCGGGGCTTTGTTGACAGATGTGTGTATATGTATGCGGAGAGGAGGAGGACGACGACGAGAAAATGGAGGATTTTACCTGGTCAGACAGAGCCTTGGCTGGGTCTCTGTCTGTCCGTCCTTGGTCGTCTGTCCTCGTCTTTGGTGTGGGAAGGAGTGGCGGGGTGCAGTGAGAGATAGACAAGGATGTGGCAATTTGGCGAGGAGCCGTGAGACTTGATTCGGAGAGGGCTGGAACAGTGATGCAGTGAGATAGTAGAGCAAAGATGATGTATGTCAGCAAGGCAACGGGTGAAACGACGTAAGGCACAAAGATGACGCCGTCTCCACTGGCAGCAATAGGGATGGTGAAGACGAGCTGGATCCAGAGGTGGAGATGAAGATATGTATGAATGACAGAGAGAGAGTATGAACGACGAAACAAATCGCCGCCGTCAGCACCAGTAGTAGTACTCTAGTGCTCTGCTGCAGTGTGTTCGGCAGGTGAATAATCAATCCACCCAAACAATGGAAAGTCCACAGTGCCACAGCCGTCGATGCGGTGCAAGTCATCAGCTGGCCCCTCAAGGGAACCGGGAAGAGCCCATGTACTCGTCGTACTCGATGCCTGGGCGCTCTTGGTCAGTTATCCTCTATCCACTCAGCTACTCAAGGGAAACCTCAACTCACCCAATCACCCAATCAACCTCTCACCAGCCACCCGGTCTGCATACTAGTTTTGCCTTCTGTCGCAGGGCTGATGACGCACCTGGCCGTGGCGATCCGGTGTGGAGAATCAACGATCAACGATCAACGGGTAGGACTCGCAGTTCCGGCTTGGCCTTGACGCAGCCTTGCGCGCGTGGTGTATGTCGAGTTTTGAGGGTCAGTCAAGTATCAAGTGTGAAGAATCGGATCTCGAGTTGAGTATCGTGCATCAGAAACCCGGTCTGGGAATGCATGAACGCATGTATGTATGTGTATATGTCTGCTTGTCTCTGTGTATATATCTCTATCCTCTGTGTGTATGACTGCCTTTCATCTGCATGTCTCCACGTCTGCCTGTGTGTCCCGCCCCTGTGCTCTGTGTTCGAGTGTATATACTCAGTATGGTGAATCACGCCCACATATGTTCGGCGACAGTGAGGGCGTATTCCAAAGAGAAAAGAGCCTCATGGGTGAGATGATGGGATGGTGAGGTGGCGGGGTTAACTTCGTTACTGAGAGTGAGTGTGCACAATAGTACAGTACAGCCCACAACAACCTTCCTCACCGCCTTCAGACCTCCTTTAGATTCACTATACTGTATATCCCAACAAAACCGATCTATCGTATACACGTAATATAATATAATATTATATTACACATACATACATACGGAGATATCTACCACGCCTCCAATATAGTACCATCCACACCCACCGACCAGCCACCTGGAAACGGCACGGCTTCCACCGGTCAGACCGGGGAACTCACTACCGACTGCCGCCTAGGACCACACACAGGCGATACAGCGCGGCGCCGTGAATTGTGAATTGGGGATTGGTCTAATGCACGAGATAAGCTGGGCGATTGGCAAGGCTAAATCGTCTATTCCGTGGTGGTGTGGGCATCCTGCCGCTGCTGCCTGTCCCGCGCTCCTCCCGCTCTTCTCGATACAAGTTTCAAGAGGATGGATAGGGTTGGATAGGGTATCGTGCATATAATCAAATACATGCACAGCATCAGCAAGTGCTCTAGCCAGCCAGCCGGTGAGAAGCGCCATGCGGCTCAGCTGTCTCCTGTCTTGTCTCACCTGTGTGTCTGAAAGCTGCATCACAAGCCACCACACCGAGGCAGAGCACGCCGCTGATATATCCATCTCGCCGATAGGAGAGGCGAACTGTTTGACTTAACTCACAGTTCGCATTGTGTTGTGATAAGATAGCTAGATCGAGTATCTAGCTACAGCGATATGATGTCGTGCCGCCCATCCGCAGCCTTGACTTTTCGTCTCCAATTGATTGATAACCCCCCGAAAATCGAAAATATCCCCCCCCCCTCCATCAAACGCCCATATGCTACAATACTCCTACACCCAGGTCACGTCACTCACTCGACCTTAGGCTTCTTCCCACCCTCTCCATTCCCCTCGCCTGCCTCCTCGGCGCTTCTCTTGCCGTTCCCATTCACCTCCTTCTTCTCCTTCTTCCTCACCATCCCCGACAGATCGGTTGCGCCTTTCTTGGCCTCCTCAACGCGCTGTGCTGTCTGTGCTGCCGTCTCGCCGAGCATCGAACCGATTACGCCGGATGAGCCGGCGCCGGGGGGCCCGTTGAGGGCGGCGCTGATGTCGATGGGGGGTGCGCGGAGGTCGGTGAGCTGTGGAAGAGTGTTAGTTGGTGTCTAGATAGCTGTATAGTGAATCGGAAAAATATACCCTCTGCTCCATCTCCGCCACAATCTCCTTGACATCCTTAATCTGCTTCGCTGTCTCATCCGTCTGCTCCTCCTCGGCCTCTCTCGCTGCCAGCTTGAGTTTTGTACTCTCAATCGCGCTCTGCATCTCATCGGCAGCCTCCCCCCTCATCTCCTCATCCACCACTCCCTCCTTAGCCGCAGCCGGAGCTTCGTCTCCCTCCTCCCCCGTAGTCGTCATACTCGCAAACTCCAGCGCCAAACTGAGCTTATAATGCGCCTCAGCGATGATCTCCGATGCCTTCTCGTACAACTCCTTCTTCAAGCCCAGCGCGGCCTTGAAATCCGCCACGGCGCTCGGGAAGCGCTCGCTCTCCAGCGCGATCTCAGCGAGCAGATCGTGCGTATCAGCAATGCGCTCCTTAACGTGTCTTGTCAACGAGCTATCGCCCGTATCCGCCTCCTTGCCCTTCCCCGCGTCTTCAGCAGGAGCAGCAGCGACTTCCTCAAGACGACGCGTAAACAGCACACGCGCCAGATCAAGAACCTCAAACGCAGTAGCGAGCTCATCATCCTCCTCCTCCTCCTCCGCCTCAGCATCCTCATCGTCATCCGAGTCCTCAAAGTTCTCATCCCCCGTAAACTGAAACAGCGGTTTCTTCTCCACCGCCTCCTCCGCCTTCTCCTCCGCCTTCTCCGCCCCCTCAGCAATAACCGCCAACCCCGCCCCACCCTCCTCCTTCTTCGGCTTCACATCCTTCTTCTTCTTCTCCCCCCCCGCCCTGCCGCCCAGGACATCGCTTTTGCTCTGCCCGACCCTGAACAAGCTGCGTCCGTACAGGAACAGCACTTCCGCATTCGCAGGGTCCATCTCGCCATTCAACTCGGCCTGCAGCTCGGCGGCGCGAGCGAATAGGTCGGCCGCCTCGCCGTACTGGCGCTGGGCGTAGTGGCTTGTGCCTTTTGCGCTGAGGTCGGCGAGGGTCACGAGGGTGGTGTTGTGCGCTTCGGTCTCGTTGTAGTGAGGGGTTCCGCCTTCGGAGGCGGGGGTGCTGATGCCGGTGGAGGCCATGGTGGCGGTTGTGGGGTGGTGCGCGCGGTGATTGTCAGGTGAGGTGGGTGTGGTTATTGTGTGGTCAATTGGTTTGGTGGTGGTGTTGTTTTGGGATTGTAGATCGAGGTGAGGTGCGCGCTGGGGTCGATTGAGTGGTGGATTGGGTTGTTGGAGGTGGTTAAGAGGCCCTGTTTGGAGGTTGGAGGTGGAGGCAATGGATGACGCCGTGCATTTCGCGACCAGCTCTTAATGCGCGGCGCGTCACTGGAGCTTGAGTGGAGCGCGGCACGTGACATAGGTATAGATTGACGGGCTAACTACTTTAGGTAACTTGCTTCCTACTGAATTCACCTCAAACTCACCAGCAATTGCGAAATATACATCAGCTATTTAACCAGTTCAGATTGCAGCTACTGACTTTACTAGTATGGATTTGAATTTAAACTTAAATTTGATCGACATATCTTATCACTTACATTGCCATTATCCATCAAGTGAACAGAAGAGAGCTCTGCCCTTGACCCCACCCCCTTCTCATACTAACACCATCCCGATGGGACGATATCCTTATGGCGAGCATATCCTTCGGTATACTCAAAGTTGATGTGCATGCTAGGGCGGTAGTCCTACTGTTACACCCGGTGGCATTTACATGGTAGCTATGATGCTGATCCGAGATCTAGTTTGAGATACACAAAACTGACGAGAATAGATAAATTGCACTTATGTCGTCCTTCATTGGACCGGGGGAGAATAGGCAGGAAGCGCCAGGGGAGAAGCAAAGGCATGGATATTAAGCTCGTCCCTGAACTGTCTTGCACTACTTATATGAGACTGTGTAGCGTTGGCTGTACTACTGTCCGTCGGTAGATGTAATGCAATGCTGATGATAGTGTGCATTTTTTCTGTTAACTAGGGGTTGTGTGGTTGAGATATTGTCCATTTAAGTTGGACTTCCTGCCCTTTGCCGTCACGCAAAAACACACTCATACGAGTTTTTCTCATGTCCGTCTGCACTATGGTTCCAGATACCGCCGTGAAAACACCGCCAACTCGTCGGTCTCATCCCTTCAGTTCTCTAACTGCCCACGAAATTGTCACCGCAGCCAAAATCGTCCGTCAGAATGCCAGCCTCCGCCATCTTGTCGAGGCCGACTTGATTGTCACTAAGATAATCACGCTTCTCGAAGCACCGAAGCGTCCGATGATCCCCTACCTAGACAACGAGTACGGGGATACACTTCAGCCCGGTGACGATATTGCCATTCCTCGCTGCGCCGAAGTCCACTACTGCATCCAGGGCCAAGCACAAATGTATACGAGCGTGGTGTGCCTGACCACATCCCAGGAATCCTCTCATGTCGCCGTGCCCAAGCCTCATCAGGGGATTGTCGACCCAATCGAGTACAGGGCCGTTTTCGCCATCGTCGCCAGCTCCTCCGAATGGGCGACCGCAGTGTCCTCGCTAGGCTTGCCCGCTGGCGTGAACTTGTCATACGATGTAGTCTTGTATGGCGCGGACAAAGACACTGGTCCTAACCCCCTGAGGTACCTTCGGGGGTGGGCGTACGCTCTGGGTCCCGCGGGGAGCAATCCAGAGAGCAAGATGTACTCATTTCCCCTGCCATTGTCACACGTGGTTGATGTCGCGAACAAGACTGTGGTCCGTATTGATCCCATGCCCGCAGACGGGATTCCCAACGAACGCATACCTTCGCCGTGCGCTTCGCCAAACTGGGCCAGCGGCACCGCTCTAGACGGATGCCAACCCAATGACTACCATCCGGATCTGCTCCGGCAGCCTCGTCAGGATCTACGACCTCTCCATATCGTCCAGCCCGAGGGAGTGAGCTTCACAGTCACGGATGGCTCGCTCGTAGAATGGCAGAAGTGGCGGTTCCGCGTGCGCTTCGACTTTCGAGAGGGCATGGTGCTGCATGATATCCGGTATGATAACCGGTCGCTGTTCTACCGCCTGAGTATGAGCGAGATGACGGTGCCATATGCTGACCCTCGCGCGCCGTATCACATCAAACAGGCTTTCGACCTAGGAGATGCGGGTGCGGGGGCTGTGGCGAACGCCCTCCGGTTAGGTTGTGATTATTTGAGAGGTATTTACTATTTTGATGGGATTGTTAATAATATGCAGGGGAAGGCGATTACAATGCCCAATGCCATATGTCTCCATGAAGAAGACGACGGGGCTTTGTGGAAACATACAAACGGAATGACCGGGGCTGCTGTGGCAGCTCGATCCCGCGTCTTAGTTATACAGACTACAATGACTCTGAGGAACTACGATTATATAATGGCTTGGAGATTCGACCAAGCTGCCGGGCTCACGTATGAGATCGGTGCGACGGGAATCCTATCCACTTGTCCCATCGACCCTGGGTCGTCGCGATGGGGAACGGTTGTCGCTCCTCGCGTCCTGGCTCAGAATCATCAGCACATGATGTGCGTGCGAATTGACCCAGCTATCGACGGGCACCTGAACTCCGTGCAAGTGGATGAGGGAGGCTGTCCCATTGCCCCTTGACGACGAAGCTAACGTCTACGGAAACGCATGGGAGGTGCGGAAAAGACATATAGAGAAGTCCGGCTTCGAAGACGCGGATCCTCTCCGAAATCGTACGTGCAAAATCGTCAATGAGGGCAAAATCAACGGAATCTCTGGGAATCCCGTGGGATACAAGGTGGCCGCACCACCTTCGCAGCTGCTTCTCGCCCACCCATCATCCGTGGTGGCGAGGAGGGCAAAGTTCGCTCAGCACCACCTCTGGGTCTCTAAATACCGCGATGGGGATCTCTGGGCTGGGGGGAAATGGACTACGAATTCGTATGAGGAGATTGATGGGATCTCTAGCTATGTGGCGAGAGATGGGGGTGTGAGGAATGAGGATCTGGTGGTCTGGGTGACTATGGGGATGACGCATATTCCTCGAGTGGAAGATTTTCCTGTCATGCCGACGGAGAAGATACGTTTGATGTTGAAGCCAGCGGATTTCTTTTCGTGTAACCCGGCGATTGATGTGCCTACAAATGTGCAGAATCCTTCTTCTAAGCATACTTTGGCTGATGGGACGCAGGTGCAAAACGACAATGGAGGTTGCCACTGACATTGCATGCGCATCGGATTATCCTTGGATAGATACATGATATTAATGTAAAGAGCTCTTGATATCATCGTCTATTTGACGTTACGACGTGCTAGTATCAAGCCGTTATTCTCCAGAGGAAGCTGCGATCAAGGCATCGCCTGGTAATCGTTCCTTCCATATCTAGAACTCGAAATCTCCTGAGGAAGCTGCGACTGGGGAATTGCTGGTAATCGTTCCTTCCATGTCTATAACCTGAATGATCTAAGGAAGCTGCGAATAAGGCACTGCTTGGTAATCGTTCTTTCCATTTCTAGGGCTAAAAGGCTCTTGAGGAAGCTGCGACTGATGCATTGCTTGACAATCGTTCTTTCCATACCTTGAGCTTGAAAGGAGACAGGATCGGGGTGTGCTGGCCACCATGCAACGGCTACCTCCAGCCGGTGGACAATATTATTTGCAAGAGTATCACTGGTCATTCAAGCCGGAAGATACAACCGACCTATACTCGAGACTCAGGAATCATATCGCATACGCACCTTCCTCTTTACTTATCTGCTCGAGTTATTACTTATACATACTTTGCATGTTCCAGCCCTCTCTCTGTCTCGTTGGTCGATCGTTTTATGGTCGGCCCGTGACGGCCGGTTAATAAGACCGGATAATTTCCCCAGGAACAAATGATCGCCGCTGTCGCCAATCCGCCAGTCGTCTATATGCGGGGTTCCGGGGGTTTTCTGCACGACGGACCCTTTCCTTCCAGTACCGAATCAACTGCGACGCTAACCCCGCCATTTCCATTTCCCATATTCCAGTCCATTTCCATTTTACTCTCCACTTTCAAATTTAAATCGCCACGAGCACTCTATCCTTGCAGGGACGGCACGAAGTATGGACCCCTCAGCATACCTTGTCGAGAAATCAAACTCTTATAGGCCATAATTCTCTCAATCTCTTCTCCATTGCCATGTGGCTTTAGCATTTGAGAGCCATCTCTGCCATAATATAGCGCTTCGAAAGCCCCGATGCATCCTTGGACGTGTTAACTATTCCAATCCCAATGCCCGGCTTGCAAGGTTCCTAGCTATATATCTGTGACTACCACAGGCCGTTGGACTTGCGGCTTAGGGTTCCATTTTGCGCCCGCCAACCATGTCGGAACGTGATCCCGTTGGAGGAGTTCAGGTGTCACCACAATATCCAAGTGCTGCCAGTGGTGCAGATGACCCCAAGATACAAGATATAAAATGCGATATCTGCGACAAGGTCTTCACCCGCTCAGAGCATCTGAGACGACATAAACGCGCCCATTCATCTGAGAAGCCCTTCGCCTGTGTTGAGTGCAAGAAGCGATTCGCAAGACAGTAAGTGGCCAACACTACTGTATGATGAAACCTGCTAATCGAAATGATAGAGACATTCTAAGGCGGCATCAAGCCAGCCATGAGCTGAAACGGAAGGTGAACGCATCGGACGAGACGCGGCGCTATTCTCGGGCTTGTTTTGCCTGCGCGAGCGCACGAGTGAGATGTTTGCGTGGAGTTGTCTGCCCACGGTGCAGAAGCCGGGATCTGCGGTGTGAATATCCCTCGAGGAGAACTCGTACGTGTGAACCCGGCGAATCTGCGATCGAGGCTGACTCTGTAGACTCGTCTCGAGCTAGCTCGGAAGAAGCTGGACAGGGTGATGAGATAATGACAGAACGAGACGAGGATGAGTCTGCTGTTGTCACCTGGGAGAATGAATCAAGCACCGGAGTGTTTGGATCGGTTCCCAAAGAGAGCAACTGGACAAGTAATCTCCTTATACCAACGGCTTCTAACTCGACCTCAGTCGGGCAATCATGGAATGCCAGCGGGTCGGAAGTTACGTCAGTTGATCCAAGTGCTGCCCAGACCCTTCTGGCAGGGGACTCCCCAATGAGTACTAGAGATTGGTTGCTTTCGCGAGGCATTATTAGCCCAGAGACAACCATTGTGGCTGGAGCACAGCTTGTTCCTCAAGTTAGCGAAGGCAATATCGGGAGTCTTTATAACTACTCGAGGATCAACTGGCTGCCCCCCAATGACCTTTCCCACATTGATCAGGCCTTTGGGGCCGCTTCACTTCAATCAGCGAGGTCTCCCAATGTCAGCGCCCAGGATGCTTTTGGCAACGGACATCGAGGGCAAAATATACAATCAAGTCCGCGTTCAGCATCGACTGGTCATTTCGACGAGTCATATATGGAGTCGTATGCCAATTCAAGGAATATTGGGTTGGCTTCAGGTCGGAGCAAACCCTTCTCACTGGAGAGAATCCCGTCGATAGCCACAGTCGGATCGCCATCCGATGCCTCAATGTACTATGCTGATGGAGATGCGGCACAATCGCCCCTTCTATCTCACCACAGACAGCCAAATCAGGCGCCCCTTCCGCTATTTGGTGGTCAGGGAAGCAGCCCTCTCAGCCCGACTTTGGAAAACATTCATACGCATTTAGCTGGATACACTCATCAACAGATCTGGATTGCCGAGGAGTCATACGTTGCCCTGATAGACTATTTGAAGTATACGTCCAGGAGAGATATATCTCTATCTTACACAGACTCCTTCCCGTCTCTGAAAGAGCTCAATGAATTCGCTGGGCTGTATTTCGACAGGTTCCATGAGTCCTTTCCCCTCTTGCACAAGCCTTCCTTTTTGAACACCAGAGATGGGTGTGTGTTGGAACTCGCCATAGCAGCCATTGGGGCGTGTTATGTAGGAACGGCCTACGCACGAAAATGTAGCGAGTCTCTACATGAATTGGTCAACAAGTTGTTGGAGATCGCCACATCATCATATTACAATCCTAGCGAGTTTCCCGAGGTTTTTGGACTCAGGAGATATCCGCAGCGCCCTACCCGTTTACAGGCTCGGATTTTGAATGTCCTGGGTATGTTCCATAGTGGAAATCAGAAACTGTCGAGTCTTGCCCGCGAGGGCCGAGCTATTCTCGTGACGACGTGTATCGAAAACAAGCTTCTGGCGTCAAACCACTACGATGGCTGGCAGGCTTGTCTTGGAACGGATGAGGAAGGAGACAGATTCTTGCAACAATGGCTCGAAGGTGAACTGAAATGCAGGGCAGGTTATTTTGTCTGGGTAAGATCACTTGAAGCCCTGTCAATTTGCAACCTTCTAACTGACTCTGATAGATGTTGGATTGTATGATGGCTTATGAATCTGACTTTCGAACACACATGGATCTATTGGATGGCAAGGCGCCCTTACCATGTCCAGAACAAATCTGGGACGAGCCGATGCTTAACAAAGCACCACTTCTCATCCTCAATGGCGGTTAGTCTTCTCATATACTCCTTTTGCTCTTCTTCATCACCGAGACTGATCCATTTTGTCTTTATAGGGCCTCCATCTCTTTGTCTCGCACTCGATGTTCTCTATACTGAAAAGAGACTTGTGTCAAATCTTGGTGAACTAAGCAGAATTCTACTGATTCACGGCATGTACCGTCGAGTTTGGGAAGTCGCAAGATATCAAAGCGATATTCTATCGGACTGGGTTCCAACGGCATTGAGCGAATCCCATCACGGGGTCACATCGGAGAAAACAACAATGCCATTAACCAGCTCTGTGGTTTCGAGATGGACTAACGGGAGTTGCGACTGCCTTGACGTTCTCCACTGGTCAGCCAAAAGTCGAATCCTGCAGGCATCTGGCCTTGAACACCCTACAATCTTACACCTTCATCTTGCGCGTCTCATATTGCTAGCCCCTGTATCCGACCTTCAAGAGCTGGCGAGGGTAAAGCTTCGCCAGGAAACACAGAGCCACTCCGAATCGTTCCTCGACGCTACTACGCAAGAACAAGACTTGCAGAATTCCGTGCACAAGTGGGTTTTGCATGATCAATATAAGGCGCGTCTGGCGATAATCCACGCCGGCTCCGTCTTCTGGTATCTGCGCCGATACAGCTGCGGTGCCGTCATAGAACCATTCGCCAACTATCTCGCCACCCTCGTGCTCTGGGCCTACAGCGTCTCTACTTCAGCAGCTAAGCTACTCGCCAGCTCCACGCCCAACACGGTAACCTACGAGTCCCACAGGTCCGCCGACGCCGGGGCCTCCCACGACGCCTCACACCACACCCAAGACCTCGCCATGCGCGCCAACTCCGAACGCCACCACAGCATCTCCAGCTACTTCCCCAACCCCCCATCCCTACACGCACAAATCGCCGGCGCGCTAGACCACCTCGAGTGCCACGAGACGTCTCTGATACAGCTAGACCGGCCCTGCGACGACGAGATCGTGCAGCTCTTTGTGAGGTTTGGGGAGAAGATGACGCCCTATATGGCGAGGATTGGGGATATTAGCATGAAGGGGTCCGGGAGGAAGATTCTGAGAGAGGGGATTAAGTTGTTGTCTACTCATGATAATCATGGTGTAGGGGGGGTGGGGGAGAGGATGCCGAGTTGTGCGTGGGGAGCTGCGGAGAGGTTTGGGGAGTTGTTGGCGGCGTTGGGGAGTGCGAGGTGAAGGGCAGGGTGGTACCGTGTTAACATAGGGTGTTCAAGGGGAGTTGTTGCGGAGGGGGTCAGGTGGGGTGCTAGATGCTAGTTATTATAATATAAATATGAATATACACGTGCGGGGCAAGTTGAATGAGCGGGAGGTTCGTAACGAGAGCAACGAAGAGTCTATACGCCAATGACAACAAAGTCCATTGATATACATGCCATAGAAGTGGGAAGGACACTAGATACAAGCTGCTGTGCGAATAGGCGAAGGACTGCCTTGTGATGGTAGTGGCTGTTTAGCAGATGTCAAGCGGAATAGAGGCTGCGGGTAGGAGGACCGGGAAGGAGCAAACCATGGCTGGAAGGTTCGCATTAGGAAGGAGCAACGGCGGCAGGAAGGTACGATGGTAGGAAGGAACGATGGCGGCAGGAAGGAGCAGCGACAGGAAGGCGCGACGACAGGAAGGAGCACTGACGACAGAAAGGAGCGGCACAGGAAGGGCCAAAGACAAGGACGGAAGGAGCAATGAAGTTGGCTCCATCGTGTCTCTGGATTCTCCTGTGCCGTGGCGTCCGACAGCTTTCCCATAAACTCTGATAATGCCTCTGCCGTCGCGGCACCGTTGATGGAGGTTTTGAGGGTGGCTCGCTCCTCTTCCATACTGACTCGTATGATCTCGATTCTCATGTCCATGAGTAAAGTATAAACAGCCGCTCACGTCTATCTCAGCCTCACTCCACCCTTCCAAAACATCACACGACCTCACTGCTTCCCAATCAATATTATCCTGTAAAAGTGGCGCACTATCTCGATATGTCCAATAATCTTGGTGGAGAACCAATATCTCCCCTTTACCGAGACAAGGCTGAATGAGGGGCAGATAGGCATCTACGACGGCAATACCACAGCGATTTCGGAGACTAGAACTTTTATACTTAATCATACTTCTTGCTCATACTTCTTTTATCAGATAAATATTTCTTAATATATCAGCAGACTACAGAAACTACCCATTATCATCCCACCCAGCCGAAAAATAATCAATTCCGATTCGTAAAAAACCGCAGCCTCGCCATCCCCGCAGCTATGGCTCAACCAAGTACGCCCTCTCACAATCCCCTCACAGTCATTCAAACAGCCAAATCTGACAATACTAGCCTATATCATCCTCGGCGGAGGAGTCATCGGCCTCACCACAGCCCTAACCCTCCAAAAGCGCTCCCCAAGCGCGCGCATCATACTCGTCGCGCACCATCTCCCCGGAGACCTAGCGCTAACATATGCCTCTCCCTGGGCGGGCGCGAACTGGCTGAGCGTGGCCACTGATGGAGGGCGCGCACAGGCGCGGGATGCGGTTACGTATGTTAAGTTTGGGGAGCTGGCGGATGGGAGGCCGGAGGCGGGGGTGAGGAGGATGCCGATTCGGGCGATGTTTGATAAGGAGAGGGAGGAGGCGGGGGTGCTGAGCCCGGATGGGAAGATTTGGTATGAGGAGCTTGTGGGAGGGTTGAGGGAGGTGAAGGAGTTGCCTGAGGGGGTGAAGTTTGGGTATGAGTTGGATACTTTTGTGGTGGATGTTACGACGTATTTGCCTTGGTAGGTCTTCTGTTTATGGATCCTTGGAGGGGAGACTAGAGAACATAAGTGAGAGGAGAAGGGCTAATTCTAATCAGGCTTTTGACGGAGGCGATTAAGGCTAGTGTAGAAGTTCGCCGGAAGGTAATTGGGGACATCAGGGAGGTGTTTCAGGAGTTTCCAGAGGCAGAAGGGTTCGTGAACTGCACGGGCATTGGCAGTTATAGCCTGAAGGGAGTTGAGGATAAGGAACTTTACCCAACTATGGTATATTTGACAACTCTCTATGCTATGGGTTGTTGCTGACAATATGTAGGGGCAAGTAATCCTCGTCGAGAGCCCGAAGACACCGATAGAGAGGATGTACTTCCGTTCGCCACAACGGACGCACTCAGATACCACGTACGTCTTCCCTCGTGGCAAGCACGGAGGCGTCATCCTTGGCGGCTGCAGACTGGATGGCGTGTGGACGGGAGAAGTGAACCTTGATCTAGCAGAGGACATCAAGAAGCGCTGCTGTGAGCTTTGTCCCGAGCTGGGAAAGCCAGAGGATTTGAAGGTCATTAGGCATGGTCTTGGGTTGAGGCCGAGCAGGAATGGAGGAGCGAGGGTTGAGAGGGAGGCTATGGATGGGAAGACTGTCGTCCATAGCTATGGTGCTGGCGGTGCTGGGTACCAGGCCTCGTGGGGGACAGCGAAGGAAGCAGTTGACCTGCTTCTCCAACTTCGACAGTCTAATCTGTGAGGAGTACCCAATGAATAGGAGCAGAAGGACATACTTGGTCAGGGTCGAGCCTTGGATTCGCTCGTTGAACCGACATGCAAGTTACTAGATTCTGGGCCATTTGCGGAGTATTATACACTCCGTATCATGATCTTAGAAAAATCTAGTTTAGTCTAGTTTAGTATTGTACAGTAAATATACCTATTCTACAGTCTACAAGTCCCACTCGCACCCGACGACCCCTCTACCAGCTGTAGAACTGCCTCTGCGACGTGATCTTGCGGTTCGGGAGTTGAACCCACGTCTTTCGTGCTGCGACCTTAGCCTCACGCTCTTGATTCTCGCGGATACGTGTCTTTTCCTCCTTGAGGACGACGTGGATATCTGCGACTGTCAGTATATATTCAAAAACACTGCCTCAATCTCGGCTCGGACTTACGCGTCGTAGGGTTCTTCATCATGTTGATCTGCCCACGTGCCCTGTGATCAGGAGTCCTTCCGTAATCACCCTTCCCAACCCAAGCCTGCTCAATGTACAACCGCGACGGATCCTCAATCTTCATCCTCTTCCCATCCTTTGTCATGATCTGCACAGCCTTGAAGCCGTCTTCCTTCCCCAGCCCCATCCCTCTCCTCACAATCGCCTCATTGCGCGCATGCACCAAGTGCTCCCTAACGCCCTGCGCAGCCTTCTTCTTCGAGAATCGCATCTGCACAATCGCCTCCTCCAGCGGCTTCCCAGTAATCTGCCTCGCCAACGGCCCCAACTTCTTGACGCTCGTCTGGTAATTGTGACTCTTGCTGTGGCTGACGCGCTCCGAGCGCTTCAGGGTCTCGCTCTTGCTCAACCGCCCGCGCGCCGTGATCTCGCGAATCACCATCTTGCGCTGCCAGCGCTCGCGGCTGCTTGGGTCAGGATCGAGCGCTGCGGCCATATTGCGCGGGTTGCGGAGAGCTGCAGCAGGTCCAGTGGTGGTGGTGACTGGACCGGCGACAGTCTCGTCTTCGAAGATGGAGGAGGAGGCGAGGGCTCCGCGTTTCGGTGCCACTGGGACGGCGGATTTGGTTTTTACGAACTCTTCGTGGAGCTGGTCGCGGGGAGCGGGTTTCGTGGGGGTCTCATCGCGGCCTTTTGAGCTCCAAAATGCTGTGCGGTATTGGGGGATCGAGGAGGTGAAGGAGGTGACTGGATGAAAATATTAGCACTGGGATTGTTGGCATTGGAGGTTAATAAGACGCACCGGAGGTAGCCACCCGCCTGGTACGCAGAGGGAGGCTCATATTGCTGGTGCTGAGCATTGCATTGATGATTTTATTGCGGCTCGTGAGGTTGTTTGTCGTCTCGGCCCCGTAGAATTTCGAGCCAGGCCAAGGCGGGTAAGCTGGGCAGAACATCGGCGCTAGTCCGCTTCCGGCCGGCATTTGTGAGAAGTTGCTACTGGCTGGTTGGTGGCCTTATACCTTGTTCCACATCGCCATGATCGCGCGCAATACGAACAGACGCGTTGATTTACTACCTGGAAGCCTTAGAAGCCTTACAACTGCTCTCCCATCTCGTCGAATCTTCATATTTACAAGGTCGCACACCTCGCTACCTTCGACGACGACCAAGCTGGCTTGATAACGGACCCTGGCGCCAAGCCCTTCCATGACGACCAACAGACGACCATGGGTGAACCTGTAGGAGAGGATGCGTGGGTGTCGCTCGTGGACGAGGGCAGTCGCAGCGCTGCGAACCTGGAGCAGCGAGTCGAGGTCGTGGAGCTGTACAAGCGAGCCGTGAGCGCCGAGCCATACAGCCTGCGATTGTGGGTGCAATACTGCGAATGGATCTGGTCGCTACACACAGATTGCCAGTCCTCCGATGCGGGCTGGTCAGAGGAGGAGCAGCACCTGGGCCAGGAGGTCTTCTCTCTCTCTGTCGCCATCGATCTGTGGCAGCAGGGCGCGCATGCTATCCGTTACCGCCTTGATGACAGCCATTCCCTGTGGAACAGATACATGTCGATTGAGCTGTGGCTGCTTGCCAAGGCACCATCGCCAGCTGCGGTGGATCGCGTGAAGTCACTGTATCTGGATCGACTTCAGGTGCCGCATGCGACGTGGGAGGAGACATCTCAGGCCTTCTCGACGTTTGTGACGAGATACGACGAGGCGCACTGGGAGGAGACGATGGTGCGCAGTACACAGCTTGCGAAGAATGCCAAGGAAATATACGGACAGCGAGAGGACCAGGAGTTGAGCCTCGTACGATCTGTGCAGTCTGGCGATCAGGAGAAGCAAAAGGCTGTTCTTACAGAATACTTGGAGTGGGAGACGATCCAGAGCCGAAAGAAGAACGGAATCCCTGCTCTCTGCTTTGCGCTTTACGAAAGAGCACTCCTCATCCTCCCTACTGATGTTACGCTGTGGGAAGATTATGCTGGTGCTGTCAATGGCTACATTGGTGCGTCCCATGGCCGTCCACAGGATTGCCCGGATATTCTCCAACTTCTACAGAGATCGGTGAAGCACTGTCCGTGGTCAGGAATGCTGTGGTCGCGATACATGCTGCGCGCTGAGATCGAACATCTTGACTTCAGAGACGTAGAGCAGATCAAGCATGCCGCCACAAGCTCTGACCAGCTAGACCGCAATGGCATGACAGATGTGTACATGGTGTACGGTGCATGGTGTAATTATCTACGACGCAGAGCTGTTGATAGGGATGCCACTGACG